GTTTGTTGCACCGATTATGGACATCCACCGCTGCCGTTTCGTCTCCTACAACCCGCAGGCGATTAATGCGCTCGCATTCTCGCATCCCCCATCCGCTGATCTAGCTGGTCGCGGTGTGCCTACTCTTCGACTCGCGATCGGGCGTGCGAACGGCGACATCGAGATATGGAATCCCATGCGCGGGGCTTGGTTCCAGGAGACTGTCCTACATGGAGGAAAGGATAGAAGTATTGAGGGACTTGCATGGACACTGGATCCCCAAGAGGACGGTCCCGACGGTGCTAAGCTGCCCGGCAAGTTGAGGTTGTTCAGCATTGGATTCTCCACCGCGGTAACTGAGTGGGACCTCGAGAACGGTCGTCCTTTGCGCCATTCGAGTGGGAATTATGGCGAGATCTGGTGCCTTGCTGCGCAGCCGCGGTGGCAGGCGACGCGGCGAGGCCAGGATGGGAAGCTGCTGCCTGCCGCCGACGGGGAGTTTACGGGCCAGCATCTCGCAGCCGGCTGTGCCGATGGCTCGATCGCGATCCTGTCTACCGCCGATGACGACCTCAAGTTTCTACGTCTGGTGCGCCCGTCGACCAAGAGGGCACGCGTGCTCAGCGTCACCTTCCAGAACCGTAACACCATCGTTGCAGGCTATGCCGATAGCTCGATTCGCCTCTTCGATATTCGCACCGGCCAGCAGTTGAGAACGATCTCGCTTGGAAAGGGTCCCACGGGCGGCTCGAAGGAGCTTTTGGTCTGGTCCGTCAAATGTCTCCCGGACGGCACCATTGTCTCTGGAGACTCCGCTGGTGAAATCCGGTTCTGGGATGCAAGGAATTTTTCCCTCACCCAGCGCATCCAGGGCCATCAGGCCGATGTGCTCGATGTGGCAGTGAGCGTAAATGGGGATACTGTCGTTAGCGGAGGCGCTGACCAGAGGACCGTCGTTTATCGCAAGAAGGAGGGAGAGAAGGGAGACAAGAAAAGTCGATGGGTGGAGTTGATGCATAGGCGTTACCACTCGCACGATGTGAAGACTTTTGCTGTTTATGAGACTAAGGATATCAGCATTGCTGTGTCTGGAGGTATGTGACAATTCCGTCGAATCCCCCAGGTCGCCAGATATACTAACCCATTGCTTGTAGGCCCCGACGCAACACCGGTTGTACTGCCGCTGCGTGAATTTGGCAAGGAACACCACCGGAAATTATCAAGTCTGCCTCAAATTCCCCAGCTCGCCTCCTCACCCTCGTCTCGTTTGGTGATGAGTTTCTGGGATCGAGAGATCAGCCTTTGGCGTTTGGCACGAGGACCGACCTCTCCGTATGAGAATATCGACGGCCAGAGACAGAGACTTGTTGGCAAAATTATGATTCAGGTAAGAAATAGGGCGTCCGCATAGCTTTGTCTCATTCTAACTCTACAATTTCTCACAGGGCGAAGAGAATATTACTTCTGCCATGTTGTCCCAGGACGGGAAGATCCTTGCTGTCGCTACGATCGCCGATGTCAAACTATTTGCTGTTCGCCGACGAAAGGGTGACGAGAAAGGTGCTCTGCGGATACAAAAGCTTGAGGTCCCCAAGGGAATTTCTGACGAAGGTGCACGTCTTGTTACAATCTCCCCGGATAGCCGGTGGCTTTGTCTTATTCGGCCAAACAGCGATATCCACATGGCAAGGATCCAGCCTTCAAACACGGAGGGAGTCCAAGTCTTGCCTCACCTCGCGAAACTGAAGAGAGCTACACGACATGCACGACACGAGAAGGCGTCTCACGGTACTCTGGGTGACTACGAGAGGACGATTCGATCTGTCATCTTCTCGGACGATAGCAAGGTCTTTGCTTCTGGTGATATTTCGGGTTGTGTCGATACCTGGGTTCTAGGCACAGAGACGGGCTCCGGCGCCAATGGTCACGTCAAGAGCAATGGGGTGTCAGCATCCGACGATGAATCATCCGACGAGGAGGACGAAGATGTGGCGATCGAGGGCGAGCGCTGGCAAATCGCCGCCTCCGACTCTCCTATTCCCCGTATGAAGTCCGGAATAGCCTTGATGTCCTTCCGCCCCCCGGTTACTCCTTCGAAGAACCTGCTGGCCAACGGCACTGATCACAGCCACCGCAAGTATAGGCTGATGGTGCTTACCAGTGAACACCAGCTTATGGAGTTTGAGGCTTTGAATGGCAAGCTATCGGACTGGTCGAGGCGCAACCCGAAGGCTTATCTTCCTGCAGAGTTTCGGGGAGTGAAGGACAGAGCCATGGGTTGCATGTGGGATTTGTTTGAGGGCCGAGAGCGTCTCTGGCTGTATGGAACATCCTGGCTCTGGATGTTTGACCTGCTCCAGGATTTCCCATCTCCCGAACAAATCGAGGCCGAAGCAGCAGCAACAGCAGAAGAGGCCAACCCGCCTGGTCAGCTGGCCAAAGCATCGAAACGGAAACGCGACCTGCAAGAAGAGGCCGGCAATGAGCGCAAGAAGCCCAACAGTGGGGCAGGGGACCAGATTCCTCGCTCGCAGACGGACATCCACCTCGGAAGCAAGGTCCGCAAGGTTGTTGGAAGCGATGGGTCGCGGGGCGAGTGGATTTCACTGGATAAAGAACGTTCTCGCGTCCCGGGCGAGGAAGACGAGGCCTACGAGTACGACGAGACCTTCGCGGCAAGCAGTGAAGCCAACCTGGCCCGTCTCCGCCGTGCGAATGGAAGCGAAGTGGAGAATGGATCACCCCTGAAGCAACTCGACGCCAAGGGAAATCCAACCCCCCTTGTCAATGGAACCGGAACCATCCCCCAGAATCAGCTGGTCGAGATCAACGGCGCCTCGTCGCAGCATCCTCGTCGGTGGTGGCACACCTATAAATATCGGGACATCTTGGGTATTGTCCCTCTCAACACCGTGGCAGGGGATAGCTTAGATGAGCAGACAAGTGGGAATCTGGAGGTTGCAGTGGTAGAACGACCGATGTGGGATGTTGAGTTGCCGGGTCGGTATGTCCGGGATTACGAGTGATGGGTGGTGGCTTTTTAAAATATTGTATTATTTTTTCGTCGAGCATTGCAGGAGCATCTCCTCCGGCGCGTTGTACAGGGATAAATACATTTCTTGCACTTCTATACACTATTTCCGAGTAACTATCAGATCTATGACCGGGAGATCACGATTCCCGTGCGGGGTTGTGGCCTGAGGCAGCAAAACCTACTTCAGCTTGTTTCTCAGCTTGACGTCCCCCGACCTTCCCCAACTTTCCTTCTCTCCTCCATCCCAGTTCGAAAGGAGATTGTTTTATGAGAAAAGAACATCTGCACCCGTCCCACAGCATCCTCTTCTCCCCCAGTCCCCGTGTCTCCGTCCGATCCGACCCCCGCTCTTATCGTGGCTCCTGAGAGCTTATCGTCGTCAGCAAACCGTCAGGCCTATTCGAGCCCAGTGTAGCGCCTTCAAGACTCTTCGTGATCCTTCCAGGCTGCCTTATAGCCTCAACGGGCTCTCTAAGATCGAACCCGGCATCAGGCCTCCCGTCGAGTACCGAAAGAAGACGCTGCGCCACGGCCGGACTGGAGTCTCCCTCTTTATCTGAGGGGAGGGGCAGTTCATACCATCTCCACGCAGACAACATTGCCTTTTATCGTGCTTGCATCACAGCCTCGATATTTTCAGGACTCTATCTATAGAATAGCTCTGCTTCTCCGCACTCACCTCCCAGGTTACTACTTCATTTCTCGACAACAACCTACTCTCCGTGGCATCATCTACACTCCGTCACCATGGGCTTAGTCTACCCCGTCTACTTGACCTCCAACAAGATCTTCGGGTGCAAGCATTGCAAGACACACTTAGCAGACTATAATGACATCAAAAGTCGGGTGAGAATTACCCGTTATCCTCGCCTCTCCCTCTTGTCAAGAGTTTCTTGTGACTGACCATCTACCTTTTTTTTTTAAATCAGAATTTCCGTGGAGCGCACGGCAAAGCCTATCTTTTCAGCGACGTCGTCAATATCACACTGGGCGAACAGGATGAGCGTAGCATGACGACTGGACGTCATATCGTTCGCGACATCTCCTGCCGCCAGTGCAAAGAGTTGGTAGGGTGGAAGTATGACAAGGCATTTGAGACCGCTGAGAAATACAAAGAGGGGATGTTTATTCTCGAAGAGGAGTTGCTTTGTGTTGTGTGCTGAGAGGGCGACGCGTCTCTGATACACATCCGTGAGCTTTGAGAGAGCTCAGAGCCCTTATGATCTCGGATGATCTCATCGGTGATGGATATGGTGGCATTTGGTGCATTTATTTTCTTAGTTTTGACAGACTGATCACCGCAGCGGGTTACTTCTTTTCGTTTCCCTTTTATTCGCTCTCAGCTCCGGTGTTTACCAATGGCGTTGTGCGGTGCTTATGGTTTGCCTGTCTGCTGGGCCTGTCTCTGAAGCCGCTGAAGCGGGGGTTTAGAGCGGAATTTGGGTGTAATGGGGACTTTCGGTTTATGCATCTTTGAATTTCAACATGATCATTATATCTCACTTCTCGATCTATTGATTACTAGTGTATTGAACAAGTCTACACAGAGGGCCAAATATTGCTCCCACTGGTATACACGTCCGCCACCACAAGTCTAGACTAGCCTGTGTTGCTTTAAACCCCATATCTCAATCCAAAGGTTCAGCTCCACACAATCAGATCCCCTATAGCCGGAGCCTCTCTCCGATCCGGTGGAAATAATGTCTTCAGGGGCGCGTCCCGCAACGTGGGGCGGGGGTAGGTATAGACCCGCTCAACGTCATGCGATGAGGAGACATACAAGGTCGAGAGGGCTTCCAGGCTGGTTCTGGTAGTGGCGATCAAACACCATTGATTATATAACTTGTAAAAAGAGAAAGAAAGAAAGATTGCACCGCATCGCTCGAGTCCCGATCCACGCTTGTCTCACAGGTCCCCGAGTACAACAAGCAACACCCCACATTTTGCGCCCATTTATCTTCTCATGTCCCCTTGCGACGATCCAAACATGAGTTTACCGACCCAATCGCTGCAATGGGTTCTTCATGAGAAACCACACGGAGAACCCGCCCTGGGCGGCGATAACCCCACATTCGCCTTGAACAAGGCCAAGATCCCTGCGCTGAAGGACGGACAGATTTTGCTGAAGACGCTGTATCTCAGCAATGACCCCGCTCAGCGATCGTGGATCTCGCCTCTCGCCCAGGCAGAGCGCCTGTACCTGCCTCCCGTGCAGGTGGGCCAGCCTATGGCGTCCATGGGGATTGCGGAAGTCGTGGACTCGCGCAGCCCGGACGTCAAGACTGGTAGCTTGGTCACTGGTATGCCGAATTGGACGGAGTACTCGATCGACGAAGCCAAGAATGTCGATGTCATTGAGCCCCAGGCCGGTCTGCCCGTTACCCACTTCCTGGGCGCTCTGGGTCTACCTGGTTTCACGGCGTACTATGCTCTCACTCAGATCGTTAAGGCGACTGCTAAAGACGCTATTGTTGTTAGCGGGGCGGCTGGCGCAGTAGGGAATATGGTGGTTCAGATTGCTAAGAAGATGATCGGATGTCGAAAGGTGTGTTTTCTACGTTTTATTTCTTGGGGTTATCGCTAATTCTGTCTAGGTGATTGGTATTGCTGGCACAGATGACAAGTGCAGGTGGGTGGAGAAGCTGGGAGCGGATGTCTGCTTGAACTACAAGTCGTCTTCGTTTAAGCAAGAGCTCACTCAGGAGACTGAGGGCTTCGTGGAGGTCTACTTTGGTTTGTCGTATCTCCCATGGTTTCTTTTACTGCAGAGGTTGACCATGGTGTGATACAGACAATGTTGGCGGTGAAATTCTGGACTTCATGTTGACTCGTCTGGCCAAGTTTGGCCGTGTTGCTGCCAGGTAAGAAAGACATAATCTCAAAGAACTTGAACGCGAGCTCACTCTTTCTCTTGTGGCACCATTTCCAACTACAACCGTGATGACGACATCATCGGTCTGAAAAACTTCTACGTACGTGGGTTGGAATTTTAATAAAAACCAGGTCTGACCTGTCTACAGGAAGTTATTACCATGCGTCTACAGATCCTGGGATTTATTAACATCGATTGGATTGACCACTTGTCTGAGGTGCGGGCCATCCTGGTCGACGAGTGGAAGAAAGGGAACATTATCATTGGCGACGAGAGTGAAATGGTTATCGATACAGACTTTGCTGATATTCCTCGTACCTGGATGTTGTTATATTCTGGTGGTAACACAGGAAAGCTTGTTACGAAGGTGAAGCATTAGTCGAGTCCATACACATAGATTCAATATTTAAGTTCATTCGACAGTACTAGCTGCATGTCACTTCAAATGTTCCAATGAAAGAATTCATCAAATAGACTTGGGCCGACTTTCCTTCAACTTACACGATAGAAATTGACTCCAGCCTCCATAGGCTCAGCAAGGGGTAAATCAAGACCACATGTAAGACCTGTTTACAGCAATGCTACCGTAAGGATATAGATGAGGTAGGGGGCGGGGAACACGAGGGCCACATACATAATGCTCAATGCACTGATCAGACTTGAGACATTATTATAAGGCCTGCAGCGGGCGGCAGCTGCCGTAGCAACCACAGCAGCGTCATTACGTTGGCAGAAAAACATACATCATGTAAAGTACGATGTTCCACCGTATGTCTCACACATGGTCGAGTCTCTCTATCACCCTTGCTTGGGGTCTTCCAGAGTCTTGAATCCACACATATAAATAGGCCACTCTCTACGCGATGACCTTTATCAAACTCGTCATTTTAGTTCACTTACAAATCCGAAGAACGCTTTCTTGACAATGATTGCCTCTATCAAAGCACTTGCTCTGGCCTTGATGCTTGCAGCATCAGGAGCTAGTGCCGCGCACTGCCAACCTGGCCGTGACTACTGTGGCTACCATCTCCGTTCCCTCGGTATGTATTTTGGACTTTAGTTCTTAGTTTAATCAGCTGACATGAAGCTCTGGCACAGGCTACAACGAGGAATTTCTCAACTCTAGAACTTCAAACGGAGATTCCTCCAATGCACTGTTCCTGTGCAGCTCGCAAGGTATCCAACTCATCGAGCACTGCAACTCGTGCAAGCACACCCGAGAAAGTGTGACTGATTACTGCGGATTCGACTGAGGCGTGAGTTCTGCCTTTCAGCTTGACTGATTCCTATGTCTGACGAGACTCCAGGATAGGAGATACAATCGGAGGAAATTTAGAACTAGATAGGCACAGAATAATTCCACAAAGAGAGCCAGCATAGCTTTAAAAAAGCATGACAGCGTCTGCAGTTTCCATTTGATAATGCCTATATGGCAACATGGTCAATCCAAGTAATAACAACAAAATTACGCCTAGTATATGAGGACCTGTGGAACTGTCACCGAAAATGACTCTTCTCACTTTGAATATACAACACATAGAAACTACTTTGCCTGATCTACCTTCCATGGTAGACTCCACCAGAAAGGACAAATAGAGACAGCGATTCCGAATCAGACGATGAGATCAAATCCTGAGGGATGATAAGTGGGGCAGCTATATTCGGACAGCACTCCAATGGCGTTGAAGTTATGCATCCACTGGATTCTTCCCGTTTTGCCTGTAGTGCTCTCAATATAATAATAATGAAATTGAATCTACTTCGATATCCCCTTCCGCCGATTGATTTCGACATCCCGACAGTGCAACAGATCAATAAGGACACTCTTTGCAAGGGAACTGAAATCCGCTTCTTCGATATCCTCATCTTCCAGGGTATCAACTGCCGATTGCAGGGCCTGGCATTCCCAACAGAGGCAGACTATATACTCCATGCCGAAATGCTGTCGAAACAACACCGAAGTCCGATCTGACTGTGTTTCCAGCACAGTCGGTTTTATCATATCGTCATGATTGATGAATTGCCCTGCCCGAACGTTCATTGCTTCTTCATACACGCTTGCGGAACATTGATGCGTGTGCCACACAAGATCGATGTCGAGCGTTGGCACGAGCAGCGTACCCGGGTGTAGTTTGAACAGCTGTAGAAAGTGATCATAGCGGTCAATCGCTCGACTCAGAGTCCCATGAACGGCGGGACTGCAGATCCACAGGTAGCGGACCATTTTGTCAATGAAGATTTGTTGGCGCTGGATGGCGGAGACGATATATTCACGTGCGGAATCGGCGCAGGAGGTGTCGAAGTAAGCTTCGAGAATAGCGCCCTCGGGATTTCTGAGGGAGCCGTTGCAACAATCATCGACAAGTGGGGAATCCTTGACCCGCGTAGAGGGGTTGTATCCGTATTTTTTGTAGAGTTTGGCGAATGCCTCTGATTTTGGGCCGAGGAGATAGCCCAGAAGGTCTGGCTCTGCGTCTGACGAAGACCTGAAATCCCAATCCTCGGAATTGATTGCTTGATGCTGGTTGCAATTAGCGGCGCGAAAGTCTAGCACACCAAAGGGGTGGCATATTTTTTTCTTAACTAGGAAACCTTACAATCTTCGACCAGGGGAACATTACCCTGCGCATATTCGTGATGGCGTTTACCTTGCAATGCTGGCGGAACCACTGCGGGTTCAGCAGAGCAACATGCCACGCAATGAGAATATCTGTAAGATTTTCGTCAGCCATAATGAATCGATCGAAGACTCTGGGTTATATCTCGCACGCAACGGCGGACAAACTGGCAGCTCCGGGGGTCCGGAGTTGAGGTCCCCAGCGTCCAAATCAGGATGATCATCCATCGCCTTCAGCCAGCGCAAAAATGCAGATACAGCAATATTCAAATAAATCGGCCATTTTTCTCCTCTTCTCTTTTCAAACGTCGTATCTTTGATTTTGATCGTCTTCTGTCGCCGAGTCACGAACCGTGGATGCGGCTGGATTCCTAGAACCCAGTCTAGGTGCGTGGAGTTGAGTACTGCCCGCCGGAGATGGTGAATCGCCTGGAGGAGCTCTAGATGTGCTGCACATTGCGCTATCGTGGGTAGCGGTGGCAGGGAGTCGGATGATGCCTTGACAGGTCTCCTATCAAAATCTTCGAATATGGCAGGGTCGGGAACTTTGGCAGAAGACGGGCCTAATACTCGGGAAGTATAAGATCGCCAGGAATCCTTAGTCTCCAGTTCTTTTGTCCAAGTAGAGCTAGCATTGTGAAGTTCAACTTGTGCGGGCGTACATAGGAGATCCATTGTTTCATAGACTATGGATTACTCTGGGATGCGATGCTGACGGAACCTTCGAAGCTAATATCGTCTTTTTTAGAGGTGTGGTCCACGGAAGGACACATGATACTTGAATGGGGCGCGAGGCGGAGCAACTTCGTATATATATACGAGACCGTATCCGTCATTGGAATGACGTGGACGAGAGGGCGCACAAGGCGGATGGATGGTGGTGGCTCAGACTGCCAGGACATAATCGCTCCCTGGAGTGTCAAACAAAAATGGGCTGCATATCCAATATCCCGTACCCCAGCGATAACACTATAAGAATAGCAGTCGCCGAGAGAAATCTCCTTCAAATTCTTTCAAGCAACGTATCCTATCTGAAAGACAATGTCTCGGTTCTCCACGTTTTTCGATAAATCCCGAACTCAACACGAAGATAGTGACCATCCATGGTCGAACATCGGCAGCGCAGGGGACCATCTTCTTCGGGAACTGGAATCCCTATACTGGGTCGGAGCCAATCAAGAATTAGATTGCATTATCTCAACCCTAAAACACTGGCAACAGTCTAAGTTCGAGAATGCCGTCTCCCCGGATGAGGATCCCCAGTCCAGCATGGTCGAAGGTTTCGATACTTTCATTAACCAAGTCATTCCCAAGACTCCGATTAAAAATAAAGCTCCCATAGAGCCTGCCCAGTTGAACAACTCTGCAAATAAAATTGGCCCTACCGAGCGGTTGCTCATGAACTTGCACCATTCTGCTACCGAAAGGGCCGCAGAGAAAACAAGAAGGAAAGTCAACATCGCAGTGCATAAGCGGTTGGTGCAGCGACCCGCCAATGAGGGCCCTTTCCAGAGACTAGCACGTCTCCTACTTCAAGGAGCAGGATTTTTGGACATTGAGAAAGTTATCGAGTACCACCCTCGAAGTTCACCCCCGCCTATTTCTCCGCAACTCCGACTCGGTAAGAAACTCTTGAGCCAGTGTCCAGTAGTCACGGGGCTACCATGTTCGGAATGCAAAAAGAACATTCAGGGGTGTACGTTCAAATATACTACGACTACAAGGAGTTCAAGGATACCCAGGATTGTCTGCGAAGATTGTTACTGGGATTTCCACTATGGAGATACCGCGTACGTGAAAGTCTACAAGCATTCTATCAGGGACGAAGTTGAAGATGCTCTGAAGAAGCACTCGCCCTGCTTTCTATGTGGTAAGAATTCCGCAAGAGTAAATTCCTTCTCGTCCCAGATGGAGGCGAGAATAATTCATGCGCTTGGCGATGCGAAGTACCGGGGTATCCAGAAGACGAGAAAGCGGGATAGCTCGTTTCCGAAATCCTTACTGGAGAAAGTGATTCAAGAGGGTATGGGGCATTCTCACTTGTTGGACGACAAATGGTTGTTTGAGGATTTTGTGCAGGAAAATCCCTGGGAAGACGTCAGTATGGCCGTCCGGATAGGACCATTGGTGATCGAGAATGGGTTGAAACAGTAAGTGAAGCGGTAGTCCGATGTTATGGAGCAGCTTGATGAATGACCATACACTAGTGCTCCAAATGCTGTCACGATCATGCTTCGTGAGCCTATGCGTCGGGATACCAGCCAAAATAAACACAGCAACTACTGGAATCGACTCGCCATAAGACCTGGGAAAGCAAGGCAATTGTACGGCCAGTATCGATTTCCCCCGCAGAAGCCAAGACGCTTGCAGGTTGTCCTGAAGCAAGTGGTTGGAACACCGTTTAGCAGCCGTGTTCTATCCACAGCGGAAGATGAGATAGTTAGTCTCATGGTAAAAGTCAGCTCCAGTAGCCAGACTGATCAGGCTGGCTCAATAATCGAATTGCGAGATAAACTCAAGGCACTGCTTAGCCCTTGGGTGTCCATCTATCTCCAAAGCATAGCTAGCCGTCTTCTAGACCCCCAGGTTGCTCTTACATGGCACGCAGCCGAGAACAATTGCAAGCAATTCTGCGAGTCTTTACTAGACTATCAGCTTTTCGGGCCCCTTGTGTCCCGACCTTCAGTCGTCCCTCCGGGCAATGGCCCAATCCAACCCCTATATCGGGTGAGCTTCCTATGTCGCCCTGGTATATTCACACAACCTCCCTTCACCACCCCAGAGACCATCACCGACGTCCCGTATGGGCTGACGGAGGAGTATCTCCGCCGATTCTGGTTTGGGTGCTCTAACGGGCCCAACCTGATTGACTCTCTGCAAGAGTACTGGTTTGACTGGGCCGGATTCAACATGAACATATACCGCCATCAACACCTCTTCCCCTGGGATTGTACTGAAGCACTGTTTAGATACCCGGGAAAATGTGGGGAGTGTAATCTGGCCAAACATCTCTGGGCCTTCCCCTTTGATTCCTGGTCCATCATCGCACTCCATCTCTCACAAGACAGATACATGTACCCAAGAAACGTGACGGCCGCAGGCAAAGACGAGGATGTGGCCTGGACGGAGAACCGTCTAGCACTCCTCAATGCACTGGATATCCTATGCACTGGGGCGACGGCCATGTCCCAAGAACCGCTGTTCCACAAAGCCACAGAATGGCTGCACACACAGACCGATCTGACGGTCGAACGGGTCAGGATGGGTGGGATCCATCGGGCGCAGCCGCGCAGCTACGCACTGGAGAAGCGCCGGCCCTCCGAGTTCTTCATTGCCTGGCCATACGTGTCAAGAAAACAACGCAAACAACATTACGAGCAAGTGCGAGAACTCTTTCGGTCGCCCGAAATACAGTGGGACCTCTACGGGACGGACTGGTGGTATGCTGAACAAGATAATGATTATTATCAATTTCCACCCATTCCTCACCCCATTTCTCACCCAGCCGCCATATGGCCCTTTACACCAGTTCAAGTGATCCCACTGCGCAAACATTTCATTCCAAACGCCGGTTTTACACCGTCAAGCGGTAGTCCTGACTCTCACGGGGCCTGTGGCACACAGAGCACAGCGGCTGCTTGTGGGTCGAACTGTGGGAGTTGTGACGGAGGGGGATGTGGTGGAGGGGGATGTTCAGGAGGATGTGGCGGCGGCGGGTGCGGCGGTGGGAGTGGTGGAGGTGGGGGTGGCGGAGGAGGCTGATTTCATTTGGACTGAGTGCATCTATAGTGATAGTAATTATTCATGCTGGATCTACTGGTCTATATAGCGAGTCAATTCACCTTTCGTCGGGGGCCCACATTATCGGGAACGAGCCGAACCCCGGATCGTATCGTCTGATTTTGCTTTTGATTTTTTTTATGCTGGAAAAACTGTCACAACTACCCTCTGAATCAACATCTGGCTGTACAATGGCTGCCCAAGAAACAATGCAGGCGGTGGTGTTTCATGGCCCTTATAAAGTGGCCGTTGAACGGCGGCCGATTCCGAAAGTGCGCGATCCCGAAGACATTGTGATCAAGGTGGGGTATACGGCGCTGTGTGGCAGGTGAGTATTTCTGACTCAACGATTGAAAAGATGCTAATGGTATGGATTAGTGAACTGCACATGTTCCGGGGACTGGAGCCCGCGGGCACCGGGTTCATCATGGGCCATGAGTTTGTCGGCGAGGTGGTTGAGTTGGGCAGCGCCGTCAAAACGATCCAGAAAGGCGATCGCGTGGTTAGCGCTTTTACTACATCGTGGTATGTATTCCTTTCTTCTATAGAGCTGCCTAATTGACACGGCCATAGTGGTAAGTGTTTCTACTGCCAGCAAGGGTGCTCGTCGCGCTGCGAGAAGAATACCCTCTTTGGATGCGAGAATCAGGATGGCGGACAGGCTGAATACGTGAGGATTCTACAATGAGACCATGTTCATCGGCCTAATATCCAGCCAGGTCCGGGTCCCGAATGCCGATGGCTCCGTCATGAAGGCACCGGAGGGCATCCAGGACAAGTTCCTGGTCCTCATGGCCGACATCTTCCCGACGGGATACTTCGCCGCCAGCAATGCATTCAAGAACTCCACTCCCGAGCAGATCGCCGAGCAGACGGTCGTATTGATCGGCTGTGGGCCTGTCGGACTCTGCGCACTCATCAACGTGCTGGAGTTTAAGCCCAAGCATCTTCTGGCGGTGGACTCCGTCCCCTCGAGACTGGAGCTGGCCAAATCGCTCGGTGCTGAGCCATGGAATTTCCAGACTGACCGCGCCGGCTTGGACAAACGCGTCAAGGAATTGACAGAGGGGCGTGGTGCCGACGCCGTCATCGAGGTGGTCGGATTGAGCCCTGCGCTACGCACCGGCTTCGACCTGCTGCGGCCGTGGGGGACGATCAGCAGCGTGGGGGTTCATAATGGCGAGGTATGCAGAGCAGAGGACAAGTGATAAATAAGATCATTGCTGATGTGGGTGGTACAGATTCCATGGGATGGCAACGAGGCATACGGGAAGAACCTCACCATCCAGATGGGCCGGTGTCCCGTCCGTTCGGTGGCTGAGAAGGCTCTCGCTATTCTAGAGAAGAACCAACACAAACTCGGGTGAGTACTGTAATGAATATGATTGTAAGTCAGTGGGCTAACGCAGCACAGGTTCATGGCAGAGAAGATTATGCCGCTGTCGCAGGCCGTAGAGGGCTATGAGCTATTCAACGCGATGAAGGTGCAGAAGGTGGTGTTTGAAGCCGATCAATAAACCGATTGATGGACAGGATTGATAGTGTAGTGAATGAAGGAAGGAATAAATAGAAACATTGTAGTCAAGGAGAACATAAACCATGGTGGTGGGCAGTCCGTCTGTCAGTCTGTCTCCGCCCAAACCCAACCCATTCTTTCTTTCATTCCCTCTTCTCTTTCTTCCTTCTCCTCTCCCCCATCGTTCCATCTCTCTTTCTCTCCCTCCTCCACCTCTTCTCTTCCCCATCGTCATCCATCCTCTTCCCCCTTCCTCTTCCTCTTCCTCTTCCTCTACTCTCTCCTTACTCTCTCCCGCTGCCCCTCCATCATCCCTGCCTCCGTCACGTTCCCCTCCCATTTCTCCACATCTCCGACCGACACTCCCACCATCTCGGTAAGTCGCCTTCTGTACCAGCCAAAACACGCGTTTTTGTTCCTGGATATTGCAGAGACTGACCATCGCGTGACCGTGCGATTTAGGCCTGACTCACTTTCGCACCCACCCCCGCGACCTTGAGCTTTCCGATACAGGCAAACTTCGTCACTCCACCCACTTCCCAACACCATCTGAGCCCTCCATTTCTACCTTTCCTCATCGAAAAAATGGACCCCAACGAGATGCAGCAGAACGCTCAGGTTATGGATGAAACCATGGCCGACGCCTTCAACGACAGCCTCGGCGAGGGCGACATGGAGGTCACTCCCAAGACTGAAGAAGAGTACGCGCAGTCGATGCTGACTCTGCGTGCTATCGTCTCGTCCAAAGAGGCCGGTGTCATCATCGGCAAGGCTGGCAAGAACGTCGCCGACCTGCGCGACGAAACTGGTGTCAAGGCTGGCGTGAGCAAGGTCGTCCCAGGCGTCCATGACCGGGTCCTGACCGTCACCGGTCCCTTGTCGGGCACTGCCCAAGCCTACGCGATCGTTGCCAAGGGTCTGCTGGAAGGAGCTCCGCAGATGGGCATGGGCGGCATCATGTCCAACAACGGCACCCACCGTAAGTATTTTCTGTTCTCTCAAATCCTAGCCGCGAGGGCCTGGATGTGGAATGCGCTAACTAAGTCCAGCCGTCCGGCTCCTGATCTCGCACAACCAGATGGGTACCATCATCGGACGACAGGGTCTGAAAATCAAGCACATCCAGGATGCTTCTGGGGTGCGCATGGTCGCACAGAAGGAGATGCTCCCTCAGTCTACGGAGCGAATCGTCGAAGTCCAGGGAACACCTGAAGGCATCGAGAAGGCCATCTGGGAAATCGGAAAGTGCCTCATTGATGACTGGCAGCGCGGCACCGGCACTGTGCTCTACAACCCCGCGGTCCGTGCGTCCCTGAGCTCGCCGCCGCTGAGCAACAGCAACCCAGTCGGCAGTGGTGGCAATGGTGGCAATGGTTACACAAGCCGTCAGTACAACCGCACTGGCAACGGTGCCGACTTCAGCGACAACGGTGGCTATAGCCGACGGTCCAACTCCGACGCTGGCACCCGCGGATACCCTCTCGTCACGGAAGATGGTGAGGAGATTCAGACTCAGAACATCAGCATTCCCGCGGATATGGTTGGATGCATCATCGGCCGGGCTGGCAGCAAGATCACCGAGATCCGCCGCAGCTCCGGAGCTCGCATCTCGATCGCCAAGGCTCCCCATGATGAGACTGGTGAGCGCATGTTCACGATCATGGGAAGTGCGCAGGCCAATGAGAAGGCCTTGTACCTTCTGTATGAGAACCTCGAGGCTGAGAAGACTCGCCGCAGCCAACTGCCTCAGGAGTAAAACACTCCTGTAGACGAGAATTCTCTGGCCATGGTTCCATCTTGTGTTCTTTGACCTTACGACTTCTTTGGAGACTGTCGGTTACGACCAGCGGCGGTCATATGCTAGCGCTTTGTTTTGTTCTTTCTTTTTTCGATTCTATTTCCTGATACCTGCTCTCTCACCGAAAAGAGGCAAAAGTTTGCTGCGATGGACGGAGTTGTGCTCGTCTTGTGTGGTGTACCTACCACATTCGAACTGAGTCGCACCCTTGATCTTGTCTCTCAATCCACTGATGCTGGCGTCGACACCTTCCATTCTCCAACCATCCAGCTGCTTTTCGCCCCGATCCTCTCGTCCTCTGTTTTCTCCTTCGACTACCGTCACCTCCCTTTGTGCCTCTGATCCGCCGCCCTGTCCCTACCTCAAACTCTCTCTCCTTTCCCCGGGACAAGATCAGACGATTCCTCGTTCTGAGGAGAAGGACGATCTTGTCCCGGCTCCGCCGCTTTCTCCTTCCGACCTCGTTTACACCTTCATCTTCTTTCGAATCCTGTCTCATTCCCATTCTTTTCCCACGCTCTTGAAAACGCCCCGAAACCTCTTAAAAAAAGAAAAGCACTCTTTATCTCTTCTCTCTCTCTCCTAGTTCTCTCCTGAACGAACGCCCTTCCCTCAGTTTCTGCTTTCTCTTCCTCCCTGCCTCCTTTGTTTTTCTCCCAAGATCATATCTTATCTTACCTGGTATCCCCTTCTCATGTCTATGAATGTGGCTAGGGCATGCCATAGTATATCGAAATATGATGAAACAATCCCAAAAAAGGAAGGGAGACATGCATATCTATGGCATATAGATGTGATCTGGAATCCTTTTCATTGCAACTTCTCGTAGTTGATGTTGTCACTTGAGTTGAATGAACGCAGTAGATCTAGTATATGGCTGTAACAGAGGTCTCTTGTGTCCCTTGAGTTGATTGAGAATACTGTTGAAGAAAGAGAGTTTACTGCGACCCTTGAATTCAGTACCATTTACATCATTCATAGTATCAAAAGAAGATGTCTACCTGAGAGCATACTTCCAGAATCCGGGATACAAGGAACCCATAAGAGGAAAGGGAGAAGGTACACCGAACTCAAAACGAAACGAAAAAAAGAGGAAAATGCCACGAGATAAGAACACGAGCGCGAGAACCCTCCAACAAAGACTTGCGCTGTACAAAGGACAATGAATTGGCCGCCGAGAAGATCAATGAAACAAGGGCTAGCTATGCACATGAACTTGAACGCCGATTTTGATGGATTGAGTGATTTTTGTACAGGTGTTAGGACTCCTTGAGACACATATCGAGGATGGGAGGAAGTCAAGTCAGAAGAACAAGAAGACTCCCAAGTAGTATCATGCCGAATGTGGGAGAATGGCCCCAGCTAAAGTAGCATGCTGGCCGAGTCAACACAATAGTAGCCATCGCGAGAATGTGGAGTTGAACAATTCGTCAGAATGCATCGACATCGAAAAGAAGTGATGTACATGGCATGAGAGGGCCAGCGGCAAAAAGCAGGCCAGGCCTTGGAAGACACGATCGGACAATATGCATACACAAGCAAAGGTGTCTAAGAGAGAAGCAGGCACAACATACATTCATAGAACGCCGATGAAAAAGAGAAACAATCAGATGCGAGGTCGCTGCGTAAACGGGGATCGAAAGGCGTGCTAAGTCATGCGTAGTTCGATTGGAATGGGGGATTGGAATGGGGGCATGCACGCAAATGTTTTGTTAATCAATGCTATCGTCTAGATTCTTCCCTGCATCATCCGGTGCAGCAGGGGACCGGTATTTGAGACCGAATCGCCGCGCGCCTAGACTGTTGGTCCGGATTCGAGGTTGTTGGATGGGCGTGTAGCTGGATGCCATCTTGCTTGATGGGGCGGATATGCGGGTTTGCGGGGCCTCTGGTTGGGGATAATTGGGACTGTCTTCTCCGCCAGACCCCTGTGCTGGGGAATAACCAGGCGATACACCGTATCGGCGGGATCCAGCTTGGATGTTGGAGCGGGATGTCGCTGGGGTGTAAGACGCAGGCGGAGGTGCGTAGCTGCGACGGTGTGGCAGTCCGGACTGGGAGATGGTGGAAGGGGTGCGAGGCAGTGATGATTGGGGCTGAGCTGGAGACTGTTGTGGTGGTTGATACTGAGGATACTGAGGAGAAGACAAGCCGAAGCCCTGACTGTGCTGTGCGCTGGAGATGGAGCGGGAGACTGAATGGCCATGAGAGTAGCGCTGCTGCCGTGGGGATGTGCTTGGGGCGGCATTGGGTGAGCCAATTTCGGTCATAGCCCTTGAGAGTGAGCGGGAATGGGGACTTGTGGTCTCTTGGCTCTCCTCTTCGGCGTGCACTCTGCGGTTGCGGAGAGAGGTAGAGATGCGATGAAGACGGCTAGTCGGGGTAGGCGGGATGCTGGGAGTTTGAGGCGTCTTTGTCTCCGATGCAGTTTCGGTGCTGGAAAGGGTACTTGGAAAGGCCAAAGATGCTCTGCGTGATTCGAAGCGACGGGAGATGCGGGCGGTGGTCGGATGTCGTTCAGACGCAGCCCCTTCTGGTTCGTGGCTAGCACTTCGTTGATATGACGATTGGTACGAAGGCGTCGGAGGCACCTGAGGGCTTTCGGGGCTATTTGACGGCTGGACCTGTGCCGGTCCGTCACGACTTGTGACAGGCGAGCGGTTCCTCTTGAGCTGCTCATCCGACAAGGCCAGACAGAGCTCCGTCAAACTGCGACACAAGCTATCCGCTTTGCGTCTGGCCTGTCTTTCTGATGAGCTGTATCCACCACCATTCACAACTGAGACACTGCCTGATGGAGCTGTGTTGGCACCCAATATCCCGGAAAGATTTAGAGCGTCAGTGATCGTCGCCTCCAGGGCCGCGTACACGTCGGTGCTGAGGATGCTCTTGGCCTTTGCCAACGCAGACTGCAGAAGTGGATGCACTTGGTTCTGAGCCGAGCCATTTTCGGCGTCTGTTGGAGTGCTGATTTTGCGCCCGTGTTTGGGCGAGGAGGACAACGTGGTCACGGTGGTGGTCGCAGTGCGCGGTCTCTCATGGGATGCGCCGGAGATCGCCGCTTGGGACGATGGAGGAAGTTTCCCTGTAATCTCTAGCTTTCGAATGCGAGACTTGAGGTCTTCCAGCTCGTCCCAGACTGTAGATGGCGCGGTCGTTGATAATGTAGACTCGGTTCCATCTGCACGAGATCTTTCTCCATCCACCCGAGCTCGCTCTGTCACTTCGGAGCCGGACGCTTGGCGACTGCTACGAATAGTCGACAGGCCTGAATGGCGAAACAGGTGCGGATCATGGATGGACGATCGACGTTCTCCGTTAACCGAGGGGGATTGCGGAGAGGCATCTGGGCTCGTGCGACTGAGTCGGCTGCGCGGTACACCGATGGTAGACCGCGGACCGGAGGCTAAGCTCGAGTATCGGAAGCGATTTGGATCATCTAGTGGGTGAGCGGATGCTGAGGAATGTGCGAAAGAACTGTATGGAATGGTTGGAGAACCATTCTGCGAAAGCAAGGGGCTGTCGGCATTGGTGAGGCGTTGATCAGGGGAAGGAGTCTGCTCTTCGTCGCGGCGAGGAGTAGTAGTAGTAGTCGGTGTCCGTAGACTTTGACCTGAGTATCCGAGTCGCGACTGTGGATTTTTACTTGTCAGCCACCAAGTTTTTTCCGGGGATAGTTGAGCGCACGCAGCGACCGGGCGCTCAAGTTGGACTGCGATCACTCACGCGTCTGAAATCCGACCGACCCAGCGACTCGCGACGGGTCGAGTCGGACCTGGCGATGTTCAGGAAGATATCGTCGTTCCGCGGCCGACCCTGGTCGGCGTCTGGAGCAGCGCTGTCTTGGCCCAGTCGGGCGAGGGCGCGGCCAGCGTCGCTCAGGGTCCTGGTTTCGGAGTAGGCCACGCTCGAGGGCATGGTGGGCCGTTCACATCAGGGCGCGAAGGTGATATCAGGGGTTGTCGGCATTTGGGGAGTGTGTCGTAGAAGTGGTGGTCGTGGGGCGTGAAGAAGTGGTGAGGCTGGGGAGAGGAAGCTCAGGCAGGATCGTCGAGCAGGAGCGGGTGTCTGTCTGGGTTGTGGGGGCCTCCGGCTCCAGTAACCGTGGAAGTACAGCAGGTACTATGTATGGGCATAAGAAAAAGAAAGAGAAAACCAAAAAAAAAAAAACCCTAAAAATATTACGAGAAGAATAGTTGGGCATCAGGGGTGGATAGCGACATCAGTCACACTGGGAGCGTGCAGGGAATTGCAATGGCGACTGAGGTACTGTGTTTGCCTATAACTAACCAACCACCTTGGAGAGTACCTAGTATACTGTGCCAACATAGGCATATCTCCTCGGCTGATAGAAGACCTAGATATTTGAATCCCTACTTTTGCAACCCGAATCCTCGATGATTCCACCAACAAACAAACTACCTCATCCGTGGTTCTGCCCGCATCGAGCCGTGGTTTCAGGACGTGCCCGAAACCGTTGAATTGAACCTGTCTAAATATATATATCAAAGTATCAACATTTACTAGTGAGCTATATACATAGATTTTCTGATCCAAAGTGATTTTGTAACTTACATATACCCGAAGGAAAACTCCCTCTCTCAATAAAGCTGGTCAGCTTCTCGGGCCTTTTCTTTTCTTTCATACTCCACATGGACTAGTTTATAGAATGTAAAGTCATGACTACCAGGCGTCGACGTCCTATATAGTCTTCGTACGTTTGGCAGCAGCAGTACTATCTCTATTGCGTCTGCTCTTTTTTCCCTTCTATCTCCAACTTCAGCCGCTCCTTTCTGTCCACTTTGTGATACTAGCACGAGGAACGGCTCTTATCAATCCGGCTCGATTTTCGGGACGCCCTGCAATCTACAGGGATATTTCGAGGACCCTTGTCTCCGATAAGGACAACCAGAGCTAGAAGGATGCGTTCTGTGCTGCTCATGAGATTGAGCCCCTTTCTTGCATGCTGGCCACTGATTGTCCATAGAGTCGATGCGATATGATAAGGAGCAGAATGCCTTCGGTAGCACACATTGGACATTGAATCTACCATCTGACAACCGTGACAAGGAAACAGTGGAGCATGTGACGCGTTGAGCGAGGATCTGACGTGAAACAGAGCTTTCTTGGGCCTCACTAGAGCTTTGCCGGTCCCCGAACAATCTAAACGCAATCATCCATTCCCCAGACGAGGCTAATCTATCTACCAGAGCCCATGTGGTCGCTTTCGGCGTATAGCAGATGCTAGAAAGTACAAGGGACTATACTCGCATCTGTCCGATCAAATTCTTCAGAAGGAATTTTCATTCGATGATTGCGATCCCCAACAAACAAACCACCGCATCCATGGTTCCACCCGCACCGAGCCGTGGTTTCAGTGCGCACCCGATTGCCAGGTCTAAATATATACATCTCAAGCTTCAACTCAACCAGGTTGAAGGCAGCTGCTCGATAGGTAGCCACGTAGGTCATTCCCGTTGGATCAGGGCAATCAAGGAAGAATGTTACAGCTGTTGCTCGCCGAGACATTTATTAGTTGGTTGGGGCCAGGGGTGGCCTCGAGGGAAATAAGCTTGAACGGGGCCGGCCAGGGTTTTAGCCATGGATCCAACAGTCGACTCAGGACAGAGTCGTCTCTGACCCGGTCATCTCGGTTGTCTGGTGAACGGGGTTTCGTCCCGTGGAATACTTCGAGGCTCTTTTTTTAGTTGTCGCATTCCAGTCCACGTGGGATCCCGTGATCGCCAAGCTCCTGGCGTGTTTCACCATTGCGTTTCAGCTGGCGTCGAAGCGCCCATCCTGTTTCACTCGTACGACCAGGATTATCCATGGTTCCAGTGCCCGCCCACCGTTCTCCCGGTCGGTTCCGTTCTTTCTGATGGGATATTCATCTTCTGGTGGTTAGTGACTCCTATCAAATACATGTACGGTGGGTATTTGTTGTTGGTGCCGAGAAAAGGCCCCATCCATCTCAGCCGAGGGCGCCAGAGACCCGTGCACAGGGACGGGACGGCTCAGGGCCGAATCGGGGACTGGGCAGCACACCACAGCCCCTGAAGGGAAGGATACTAGTACGGTAATCAGTGTAAAATATTCAGTGCCGGTGGAGAAGCACTAATCGCACGCCATCGCAGTAATCCGACGCCGCAGCCTCTCAGCTGCTCCCGTTTGGCGCCAGCGCCCCCTATAATTAGAGTCAGTTGGTTTCATCTCGCCCCCAAGCCCCCCTCAAGCCCTGGATCGGCGGCCCACTGTGTTAGTTAGTGACCGACTGAGATCGATCGTGGGTTATACCGTTCGTTCATTCTTTCTTTCTTCTCTCCTTCGTCCATCTTTCTTCTTCTCCTTCTTCTCCACGACTTACCCACCCACCACCACCCACCAAGAAAGGGACGGGCCCTCCTTCACTTCCCTCTCTCTTTTTCTGTCATTCCCCGGAGGAAGGACTATCGCTGCGACCCTCCGCCACCCGCCTCGCCTGGGTTTCTTATTTTCTTCTTGGACATTCATCTTCACTCTTCTCCCACCTCCCAACGCTCTTTTCATCTCGACTATCCAAAATCACCCCGAGACATTCGGACGATCCCTGGGCCGAGAATCCCTTCTGGTATGTGAGCGGCCAGTCTCGATCCCACCAGACCCCAACACCCAAATCCCACCTGGCGACACGGCCCTTCCGTTCGCACGATGACGACTCGTGCCTGCAGAGAATCAGTTCTGTTGTGCATGGGCGCGGATCATCGATTTCAACCCTTGCAGCTCGCAGCTTGCCACTGACACCCTTTCCTGCCCAGAAAACCCCCATCTTGCGCCGGTAGCAATCATCCATCCCGAATGCCACCACTGCCCCCTCGAGCAAAGTGATTTCTCGGTTTCAAAGGGCCGTGGCCTTGTAACCATCACGCCTTGAGAGATCCCAAAATCATGCCAGTACAGACCAGTCCACCGTCCTTCCTGGACTCGTTCCCGTCCTTTATGTCGGTGTATGGTGGACTGCCCCCGCGCTACAAAGAGGAAGAGAGCAGCATCCAGCCTCTTCAGGTCCCGTCCCATATTCCTGTCGATACACGTCGTCTTCATCCGTCTGCTCATCGCGAAAGCGTGTCATCTACAACTACGGCCTCAACCGAATCCTCGCCAACCACGACGGTTTCGCCCTTTGACTCACCCGCCGGCGGAGATATCTCCCCCAGCTCATCCCCGGAATCCCCCACGGCGATGCCCATGCCATACCCTAAATTCACGCCGTTTGCTGCTCGTCATACCGAGCCTGCATCGCATACATCCCTATCAGCGGATGTGCCCCGGCTGTCGCCCAACCCATCTAGCAATGCACTCCCCAGCCCCAGCTCTCCAGGGCGACGAGCCCGGAATCTGAAGAACCTATCGCTGCGAATGCCTCCATCATCACAGTCTCGACCTCCTATTGCCACCGCTTCTGTTGTGGAGACGACTTCCAAACACCACCTGTCGGCCCCGCCTTCTCCCATCCAGATTCCTCCCAAGAGTTCTCGGCGGCGACCCGCAAACCTCACCATACGGACACCGGGATTTGACAAATCGTTTTCTAATCATGCCATTGACGTGGTTCCTCCCACCCCTCTGGGACCACAACAATCCCTTCGGCACACCGAGTCGTCACCGTCCTTGGCGTCGATCACATCGCCCTGTTTCGCCCCCAAAGGCGGGATGCAACTTCCACGCCCGATGACGCACCATGGTGCTCGTCCTTTCTCGGGCGCATCTTCAGAGGATACTGCGTCCCCGCTAACGTCTATTCCTGACGATGGATCTACCTTCTCACATGGCGTACTGCATGAACTAAAAGAAGAGGATGATCATATCGACTCCCGGGAGTCGACCCGGAAGAAGGATCGAGGCTACCCGGATGGGCCAATCCGGATTCACGACTCGGGAGTATACCTGTACTTGGAACCGACCGCTGAAGAGGCCGCCAACTTCGACGTTGTGATCAATGTCGCTAAGGAAGTGGCCAACCCGTTCATTACCAGCAAGGAGGAACGAAATGATACGGTCATGAGCACCTGGCGCAACGCCTCGATGGCCTCGAATCGGTTCTCCAGCGGCGATCCTGACACTGCAATGTCCGAAGTGTCCTTCAAATCGGCATTTGAGTTTCAGCCCCCTGACTGTGACTCGGGCACTCCGACCACACCAACCCCCACTTCTGCAAACCCCAAACCGGAATATATCCATGTTGGCTGGGACCACAACTCGGAGATTCTGGACGATCTGCTTCCTCTATGCGAGCTCATCGACGATCGGATATCCCAGGGTAAGAGGGTTCTTGTCCACTGCCAGCTAGGTGCCAGTCGCTCGGCTTCCCTGGTGATCGCCTATGGTCTCTACAAAAACCGACACCTGGACTTCAACTCGATGTATGAGATGGTCAAAGAACGCAGTCAGTGGGTGGGCCCAAATATGAGCCTCATCTACCAGCTCACGGACTTCCGGTCACGGTTAATGCGAGGACCGCCATCGCGCCCTCCTCCTCAAGAATGGTTCGTCAATGCCAACCGCAGGAGCTCCGAGCCCCAGCACCCTCAGGCCCAGCAGGCAACTGCAAGTGTGGCCGCCGCCGACTCGACACCAAGCCACCGACCACCTTTCCGTAAACTGACGCAGGCGCCCTCGATGAGCTGTCTGAAAATCCCATCGACGAGCTCCATGCGACCGACCACCAGCGACGGACGGGGTATGACCAAGTCGCCGTCGCCCAAGCGCAGCCTCTCACCGCGCCCATTACCATTTCGCCAAAAGTTCCAGTCTGTTGCACCCGCCTCGGGCTCGGGTCGACGACGCTGCCTGGCCCGCATCAGCAGCTGCGAACCCCTGATTCAAACGCATGTGTTCATGCGCGATGTGCCGAGTCCAGAACCGGCCTTGTTTTCTCCCAGAACCACCGACTTTCTCGCACCACCGTCTCTGGTACCACCATTCCCCCGGCCTCCTCCGTCCCGGGGCGACTCTCACGCTCCAGATGCTCCACAAGCCATGCAGCTCACACCTGAACCGGCCGATCCGCGCTCCCCTCCCTCGGGCGGTGAGCCTCTGATCATGAGAAATATTGATGAATTCCTGTGATTGTGCGACCAATCAGTCTCCTGGATCCGGTCTGAAACGATTCCATGAACTTGACATCTGCATATGTCTTTGCTTGTTCTTTTGAGGGATTCTTTTGTTCATCAAGAGCCTGAGGATTCTTTTTCTTCTTGATTTTTCGCTATTTTACCTTTCCACGTCATTTTCCATCATGATCATGACTTGCATGACCAAAGCGGGCTTTGCTTTGCATTTCGACATTTTTTTGACTCTTCAGTCCACGGGTTATTCCCGGACTACTCCATCGCTTGCCTTGTTATTTTTCCTTTTTGTTTTTATGTCATGGCGTCTCGGGTGTCAAAACGGACACGAAACTCTTGATACCAAGCGCGGCTGCGAAAGACTCCATGTTATCTTTCGGCAGGTCTGCATAACTGTAATATTATTGCGGAGGAATTGAATACCTACTTATCCGTGTTGAAGAAGAATTCAGCATTATTGTCCATATCGTCAGTTTTGCGCTTCGGGTAACCATAGATGGCTCTTGATTCCACTGTAGATGTAGTTGGTGCCGGAGTTGATAAGGCGTGATAAGAGCCCAACGTCATTCCGAAGCACCAATTTTTCTCGCCAACAGCCACTGCCCCAATGGCCGACTCGCCCCCGACCTATCTCTCGCCCAGCGAGCTGGGCTCAAAGGACTAGTACGTGTGTCTCCTCTCTCTGCATTGCAAGTTCAAAAATAGCCCATGTGTTCGTGGCATACCCTCCTGAGCCGTGATTGCACTCACGAAGAGGGGAGGGGCATTTCTTCGTCTCAGAGCTACATACACTGGTTCTTTCTTCAACTCCGAAAAAATTCCAATTGGATACAGACAGAAGCTGACCTAGTTTGCAGCTGGGACAAATACTACGCACGCACTCTCGCGCATCTCTCCCAATCGCAACCACACAACCCATCATCCACCACCACCAATACCACTCCCAATGCACCGTCCACCGAAAATGACGACTCCTCGGACAACGCCTCCGAAGTAAACGACGACGATGACCCCGGCACATCATGGTTCTCCGAACACAACGCGCCCCAAAAAGTCCTCCGCTTCCTAACCTCGAAATCCTTTCCGCTGTCCCCGCGCAACAGCCTCCGCCGCCGCGGCCACTCATCTTCACCCTCCCTGCCACGCCAGCCTAGTATCCTCGATCTCGGCACCGGGAATGGGAGCATGCTTGCGCTATTGCGGAAGAAGGGCGGCTTCGTCGGTGAGATGGTGGGCGTGGATTACTCGGCGAGGAGTGTGCAGTTAGCGAGGGAGTTGCAGTCCGGGAAGGGGCATTCTGCCTATCATACTGATGATGAAGATGGGTCTGATGAGTCTGATGAGGATGATGACGAGGGGGAAGATGAGGAAGGGGGTGAAGACCAGGGTCCGTACGCTGCTGCGAAAGAGGAGGTTGTGCTTGCTAGCCCCGAGCCCGGGAAAGAAGCTACGGAGGCAGTCCGTATCTCCGAAGACACAGATGAGAATCAAACACCGGAGATCCGCTTCGAGGAGTGGGATATCCTCGGCTCGACAGCACGGCTTTCCGAGACCGGCACACCGTCGTCCGAACCACCACCCGCGGACCAACGACTAGACTGGTTCCCCTATGAAACGGGCGGTTTCGACATCGTCCTCGACAAGGGCACATTTGATGCCGTGTCTCTATCAGACGACGCAAAGGACACGCGCGTCTGCGAGCGGTATCCGCGTATCGCGCGGCGGTTGGTGCGCGCTGGTGGCTTTGTGGTTGTGACGAGCTGCAATTGGACGGAGGAGGAGTTGGTTAGTTGGTTTGTCGGGAGTAGCCATGATCAGGAGGGAAATGATAGACTTGTTGTTTGGGGAAGGGTTGAGTATCCCCGGTTTCGGTTTGGGGGGCATGAAGGGCAGGGGGTTAGTACGGTGTGCTTTCAGAGGGTTGCGCAGTAGATATACTATAGCATTGAAGACTCGATAGGTATTTTTCAGGGTCAATATTGATACCACATTGAACTACATCTTTAAGCCTACGTCTAGTAGAGATTTTCGTAGAAGTGGGGATAGAATTATTTAGCTGATTCTGAGAGTTGGATTGCTGTCCGAATGTAGACGGGTAGACCTTGACCGATTCTCGGAGAGGGAGGTAATTAGTACATGTATTCCTAAGCTACTTTGGAGCAATATTGGTGTAGTACATTCCCTAATGGAGTAAACAGGGATATTGCGGTGATTGGGTGCCGTAAAGACCGTGTATGTCGTGGGAGCATGTCCTTTCACTACCTACAAATTGACGCAGTGTCTCCTAGCCCTTACTTCCAGGGGATTGAGAAGATTTGATATACACTTGGGTGCAGCCCAGTCCCCATGCGCATTCAACCCTTGAGTATGGTATGTCAAAGAAAGTCAAACCCGCAGATACGAGACCGACGAGTCCGGACGGACTATCGGAAGGTCAACAGACCGCAGAATCCGCGATGCTTTGCGCGTGCCCCACGCATTTCCGCGAATCCGGGGACTCCTCAAACTTCCAGTCAGGTCAAGAACAACAAGAGGAAACCTTGGACAGAGATAAAAGAGACCATCGTCGCGAAGATGAAAATTCAAATAACAACAGAATATCTTTCTCAATATTCACTTGAGCTTTACTTTCAACGTCAATATGGTCGGATTTGATATGCGCGGGTTGACCCCGGCTCCGGTCACCCCCTTCACTCCAAACGGCGCAGTGGACTATGAAGCTATCCAGCGTCTTGGCTCCTGGCTCGGAGGTATCGATGGAGTGAAGGGCCTCGTGGTGCTCGGCCACGCTGGCGAGGGCACCTTCCTCACCACCGAGGAGCAAATCTCAGTCATCAAAGCTTTCGTCAAGTCGGTTGACAACAAAGTCCCGATTATCGCCGGCATCACCAGCGAAGGCACCGAAGTTGCCGCTCTCGAGGCCAAGCGAGCCAAAGAAGCCGGGGCAGCTGCTGGACTGCTCTACCCGTCTCACGGCTGGTTGCGCTTCGGATACCAGCCCGGTGCTCCTCAAGATCGGTACCGCCGCGTATATGAAGTCTCCGGCCTGCCCTTGATCCTCTTTCAATACCCCGACAACACAAAAGCCACCTACAACTTGCAGACTATGCTGGACATTGCCGCCCAGCCCGGCTGCTTCGCCATGAAGAACGGCGTGCGCAACATGCGTCGATGGGATACGGAAATCCCTGTCATTCGGGCCCAACGACCGGACCTGCAAATCCTGTCTTGTCATGACGAGTATCTTCTGCACACTTCATTTGATGTCGACGGCTTCTTGGTTGGCTACGGGAACATCGCTCCGGAGCCTCTCATCGAACTCATCAAGGCTGGCAAGGCAAAGGACTACAAGAAGGCACGGGAAATCCATGATCAGCTCTTGCCTGTCACTAAGAGCGTGTATCACCGTGGATCTCACATGGAGGGAACTGTCGCACTTAAACATGCTCTTGTTGCTCGGGGAATTCTGACTCACGCCACTGTTCGCCCACCTCTTTTACCCCTTGAGTCTGGTGCAGAGCAGGACATCCACGACGCTATCAACGCCGCGTCACTTAGTAAGGTGGTGCTGTGATGGAAGTTTCAAGTGAAAATCGCATATGGCTTGATTGAGTGTATATAGATGAAACAAATCACAAGTCCTTGTCAATAATCTGCTTGAACACACACTAGGACATCGCCAGAGTTGAAAGACTCGATTATTCTTCCGTAATGAACAAATGAGACATAGCACTGGTAGACACCATAGCTCATACCATCGCTGAAATGAATTCTATACGTCTATATAGGCTGGACGCGAAAGTTCGGGCTGTGACAATGGGCGGCCTCGGATTCTCGGGTATTCCCCCACAGTCTCCCCGCAATCCACCTTTCTCAATTGTATTTGATTCCGACATTTCCGTTCACTTTGCAGCACTCTCTGCTTTTCCATGCTACGTGCCATGCAGATCACTCGGAACAACCATTTGTCTCCTCCGCGGGCATCTCTCTCGACAACTGAGTCGCCAAAAGCCCCTCCAGCCAAGCGCCCCCTGGCCACAACCAATGAAGACGTGGACGATGAGAACCGTCGGAAAGACCCGAAGATCAGTAGGGCTTGCGACACCTGCAAGAGGAAGAAAATACGATGCGATGGCACGCTTCCATGCAAAAATTGTGCCAAGAGAAAGATCAGTTGCGCCTATGACGCGAAATATGGTCGAGGACGGCCTCCGACTCCGCAACCTTCAACCACGATCAATGAACACCAAGACAGATCAAGAAGTGATTTGTCACATGAACTCTCTATCTGGCACCAACCAGCCCCTGTTGTTTATGAGGTCTCGGCTTCCCAAGTCCATTCTCGCGCCTCGCCTGAAATCGAAATCGAAGGTCAATATTTTGACCCTACCTCGGGATTGAACTTTCTACATCGAGCGTGGAAAAAGCTATTGATCCAGAAGGATGAGTCCACATCCTATGACTCAAACGACGCGGAGCGAAATCAACTCCTCACGTCGGCTGGAGACCGACCTTTTCACGTCGACAGTAACACGCCAGAAAGCCTCATTCCAGATGCTTCAACAGCAAGAATGCTGCAACAGTTTTATTTCGAGACGTGTGTGGTAACATACCGCATGTTCCATCGACAAACTGTTGAAGGCTGGATGGAGAGGCTCCTCAAGGATCGGCAAGAAGGACGGCCCATTGCTCACTCGCTTGGTAATTCCAGAACTGCGATTCTCCTTACCATTATGGCCATCGCGACCCTGCGCCTCGAAAAGGTGAACGGGGAAATGTCAACGGACGATGAATCACTTATTTTGCAACGAAGCGATCAGTTATTCTACGCTGGTATGAGATTGACCGACATGGAGATGGGGTTCCCACGTCTTGAATCAGCACAGGCACGACTGATCCAAGTCCTCTATCTTCTTCAAACATCTCGCATGAACAAAGGCTGGTATACATTCGGGAATACATTTCATATCACTCTCTCGCTGGGTATGCACAGGAGACGGGATCAGAAACGAGATTTCCCTTTCACAAGCAGGCGACAAAATTACATCACTTCAGAGTGCTATAAGCGCACCTTTTGGGCGGCATATATCATCGACAGATATCTGAGTGTTGTATTTGGCCGTCCGCGACTTTATCAAGATGAAGACATTGATCAGAATTTCCCAGATAATGTAAATGATGAGGACATGACACCACAGGGACCTTCCATTTCAGATGACCCCGCCGACTGTTATATCGACGCTCTCATATTTCACGCGAAGTACATAACCCCCACCCACTATGGCGATCTTACTTTGCTAATACGCGTGTAGAATTGCACGAATAATTGGAAAAGTATCACGAGAAGTATACTCAGTAAGCGACCTGTCCAACCAAGATCGCTTAGCAGCCGCCCATCGGTTGGGCAGCGAATTGCATGAATGGCGTGCAAACCTGCCACCACACTTGGGTACTGTGAAACCATCAACATTGATGCCCAGCTTCCGGCGTCAGGCTATCGCCTTGCAGCTCGCGTATTCTCATGCCCTCATTCACGCCAATCGGCCCTTCCTTTTGAGTGAAGCAGCGTCTGAGAATGTCGCCGAATGCATCTCTGCCACCAAGACCAGTTTAGAACTTGTCAACAAAATGGCGGGAGATAGTACGCTGTTTCATTCCTTCTGGTGGACTCACTATGTGATTTTCTGCGCATTGGCCGTGGTTTATGTTTGGGAGATTCAACGAACCACACGATCCACTGATGAGATTGACGATCAGTCTCTGGGTAAAATCTTTGATCTCGCAGAGAAATGCCGTGGTCATCTCAAGCGAGCATCAACTGGTCTATCGCAAAACCAACGATACAGCATCATACTCGACGAATTGAGAACCGAGGCACAAAGATGTCGATTTAGGAGGGAAAATCCGCCGAATTCACAACAAGGTGGGTTTCATGGCGGTGAAGTCAACACCAATACAGATATGGGCTTTCCTCTATTGCAGGATCCCGCTATGTTCGGGTCTGACCCGGAAGCTATGCTTCATGAAGGCATCATGCCGAACATGCTGGACAGCTTTCTATTCAGTGACTGGCAGACTCTTGATTCATCGGTATGTATAGCGTGTGGTCGTGCGCTCGCAACAGAAGCTGACCTTGTCCGAAGGCTTTTTTCCCATTGCCTGATCCGAGTTCCGTTTCCCCAACATATCTTCCCCCTGTTCCATGAAGTCAATCAAAGTCGGTGCAAGTTAGCCAAAGGCCTCTCCACTTTTTTGACTCAATGCCGGGATCGGACTTCACGGAAAAGGAGGCAAGAATCCGGGGTTGCCAAGACTCAACTAGCGCACCCCAATTTGCTTGTTCTCTCCAGGTGATTCGTGTATAACTACCCCGGACGGTTGCCAAGGGTCTCAGCTCGGCTGGTAATCTATAAGATGATCTTAAATCCTGCCGTGGATATCCCTCTCATCTCTTATTTCAACGGGATTCATCAACATGGCCGACAAAGACGCGGCAGTCATGCACCTGGAGGACCAACCTGGTCAGGGAATATCTGCCGACGATGCAGAGTTCCTATCGGCCTTTCCAGATGAAGCCAAGAAGAAAGTTCTCAGGAAGGTGAGTTCAATGACACGCGGTAGATAGAAGGCTTACTGACAGAGTGCGTGTAGGTTGACGTAATATTTACTCCGACCTCGCTCCATTGACCACCGAAAATGCTGACTCGAATCTAGATGAGACTTGTTCCCATGTTTGTTCTCTTGTATTTGGTGGCATATATCGACAAGACAAACATTGGTATGTCCACTTGCAAGCTCGATGCGTTGCTTCTTCTCACTTTCGGCAGGAAATGCGGAGATCGAGGGCCTTCTTCCAAGTTTACACATGGACGGAACACAGTACAACATCGCCTTGTCCATTTTCTTCGTACCTTATGTCCTTGCTGGTATGCAAGTCTTGCGTGTGCGAAACCCATAAATATCCGCTGACCTAGTTGAAGAGGTGCCGAGCAATATAATCTTGAACCAACTCAAGAGACCGTCGCGCTATTTGGGATTTCTGATCTTCTGCTGGGGTGTGATCATGCTATGTACGGGCTTTGTTCAAAACTTTGCCGGTCTAGTCGTGATTCGCTTCCTATTGGGTCTATTTGAGTAATGCCCCTCAGTCACATTACACGGTGTTTTCTGAGTACTGACAACTGCTCAGAGCTGGCTTTCTTCCCGGTGCCGTGCTCGTGATCTCGAAATGGTATCTTCCGAATGAGACACAGACCCGCATCGCTATTCTTTACACATCTGCTGCTTCTGGAGGTGCTTTCTCAGGTCTGCTGGCATTCGCGATCGCCAAAATGGATGGCACGGCAGGCTACGAAGGCTGGCGCTGGGTTTGTTCATTCTTTTCTTCATCTGCTTGATTTTCATAAACTAACATCCATGCCAGATATTCATCATAGAGGGCCTAGCAACCATTGTCATGTCCATCGCTTGCTATTTGCTCCTTCTAGACTCACCATCCTTGTCTCCAGGCTGGCTAACTGCAGACGAGATTCGATTCCTTGAACTACGTCAACTAACCTCCAACAATCACGGTGGACATCACGGGGGCTTCAACAAATGGATCATCTTCAGCGTCCTCGGCGATTGGAAAATATACCTCCTCATCCTCGCCAACTGGTCCAATGCCGTCCCCAACTACGCACTCAAGTTCAGTATGCCTGAGATCATCACATCCATGGGCTACAAATCAGCCGACGCCCAGCTTCTGACCATCCCTCCATACGCCGTCGGCGCTGCGTCGGCTTACGGGTTCTCCGTGTTCGCTGATCGCTTCTCATGGAGAATGCCTTTCATCGTGGCACCACAGCTCTCACTCCTCGTCGCATTCACCATACTATTCTGCAAGGCTGCCGACATCGAGAACAACATAGCACTCTGCTATTTTGGCATTTGTCTCGCCTGCTTCGGGATGTATCCTATTCTTCCTGGTGTCAATGCTTGGAATGTCTGCAACATTCCGAATCCTCACAAGCGCGCCGTGGCCATTGGCTACCTCATTTGCGTTGGTAATGCGGGTGGTATCATTGGGAGCTACATCTACAAAGCCGATGAGAAGCCGCGTTATCCCACTGGCTATGGCACTTCACTTGCGTTCACTGCTGCCGGAATTGTGGCTTGTCTAGCCTTGGAATTCTGTCTCTGGAGCGCGAACAAAACGAAAGACCGGATGTCCACGTCTGTGATTGAGGAGATGCATAATGAAGATCAGCTTCATGACACGGAGAAGAGTCCTCTCTTTAAGTATACCTTATGAGATACTACCGTTATACTGTTATCCTGAATCTATTCACCATGTGCTAAGCATGAGCAGCTTAAGCTGCACTTAGACTTATTTGCCGCTTTCCAATTGTCCCATAGCTTAATGGTCCTTTAACTCATATCCGGGAGGATGTATGCAGAGAGGATGAGAGCTAAGTCTACACTGATTACTCTGCAATTTGAAGATGAGAACCCAATGTAGTGCGGCCTACTCTTCAGCACTATAGCCCGCTCGATTCGTACAGGATACACCACATAGTGCAGATATCCTCGGCAAACTTGTCAAAGTCGAAATCACATTCGTAGTGGTCGACAACGATGGTATCAAAGGAGACGAGAGTTAACGACACAGCTGAATTGGACCGGAGACCCAACTGGATGCTCGCACTATATAGAGAAGAAAACCCTAGCAGATAGCAGTGAAAATCTGCCAATCTGAGGCAGATGCTGCTAGCACTTATGCCACTCATCCCGAGGGAATCCTTCAAGCAATAGAGAACTTTAGCAGTCTTCCTCGACCGAGGACTCTGCATCAGCATCATCAAACCACCTCCCACACTTGATGGTCCACAACGCCTCGTTCGCAAACTGAGTGTAGCTCTCAGCGTTTTCGACAGCCAAGCCAGTCTTCGCTAGGACTGGTAACACGTGGAGCTTATTTTCATGGTCGTCGGTTGCGCTCGACAAGGGCGGAACAACCAAACTCGTGAAGTGCGTGTATTCGTGCAAAATAGTCGACCCCATTGTGTCCATCTTCTTTGACACCTCGTCGCCAACGGTATCACAAGTAACCGCAGCAGAATTGCCGTAGGCTCTATCTATCCCGCCGGTGGAGGTAAATGCAACGGGACAGATAATCATTGTAGGCTTGCTTTCGTCGTAAAACAACGCCTGGCGCTTGCGGCTAATACAGTGGTATTTGTTTGTTTCGGGGTCCTTGAAGTCTTTGACAACCTCAATGGAACTTAAGAGATTGCTTCCGCTTACGCTGGTGGCTCCGCCGAGGATATTGTCGAACACCCCTGCCTAGTTTGTTAATGTCTAATTCATATAGATCAGTGTATGGAGTAGATCATTACCCTTGACTTTGGCTCTGTCTCTTTCCCGAAAATACTTCGAGTAGACCTTGTCCATCGATTCCTCTGTCAATGCGTGCCTAGCGTGATTCGCTAACGTTAAGGCATCATGGAATGCGCCTTGGATCTGTGATTGTTGGCTGGGAGTAAAGTCTCCGAAGCGGATGTCTGGAGTGTCACGCTTTTCAATGGATCGAATTGCCGTATCGTGCACCGGTGAGGCGAGGGCAGAGACCCATAAGAAAGTAGAAAATAGAGCCCTCAACACCATTTTATCCGCCTGAGAGACCGTATTCTAGGAATGGAGTATTAGATGACGGGCGTTTTTTTTAAATAATCATGGGGAACTCCGCTCTTTATTTCCAATTCCATGGGCTATACTATGTAATCCGTACTAATCTGCATCCTGGCTTACTGGGTAAAAGGACAATGTACGCGAATAATGCCTTCGGCCACTTTATGAGAAACCGAACGAATAATAACAGGTAATGACGGCCCTATGGCCCCCTTTTCCGACTTCGTAGTGCTTGGCGAGAGCCAAATGCAGGCCATGAACAAGTCGATATGGAGTAGTGTGCTGATCGGTGGCTTGGCGGCCCTGATTTGCCCTTCCAAGCGCCCGAGTCAGGTACACCCTGACTTTGGCCCCGCGAAGGAGCACGCTTATGAGTAAAATAATGATAATAGTTAAGTTGACTAGTTATTTATAGCCAACAAATGATTAAATGAGCCCCTGACCTCAACTAGTTATTATTTAGAGAGCAGACCAACCTGAACGGCTGGAGTAAGTCGCGGGCGTCTCCAAGAGTCACACATGTGTCATGCAGCTCGAACGGCTTCCCGCTCTATACAGCTTAGCTGTTTTTATCCTCTTCCTTGCCTGAGCCGTTGCCGGTTTTTATCTGCAAGACCCGAGAAAAAAAAAAGCTTCGTTCCATCGTCGTGGAAACAGAAGCCCTTACTCGCACAAGCGGTTTATTCCATACAAAGGGCTAGGCGAAAAGGCGAAAATGTCCTACTCATCATGGGGCTTCGACTTGAACTCTCAGGTATAGCTCCTTCGCCGAATGGTGTAGGAAGCTAATCGTTATTACTGATAGGGGCTTGCGGCGACTTACCGGACGGTGAGACACTAAATCGCTGTTACATACTTGTGTGTAGAAATTGACCTGCCAATCGCTCTCCCGAGGTGAGTTTATTCAATAAGTGTGCGAAGTAGTTACCTCATAGTAGCAGTTTCACTTAGTGTTGGTGTAGTCGTAATGTCTCTGATTGGCTGCTATACGTAGTTCCATCGAAGAGCCTCGTCCTATACAGACTAAAATCGCCCGAGCTTCTCGGTAAGGGCCTTGTGTTTAGATGTAGATATCTTGACTGTCGTTGAACAATTGGTCCCTATGAACATGATCTCATCTAAGATCATAGCCCTAACGTGATTGCTCTGTCTAGATCTATAGCAAGCTATTGTACAAGTACATAAACCCACAACGCCATCCCATGAAACATAGCACCTACCCATGCATCTCCATAAAATTATAATTTCTTCCTCAACACAGCAATAACACACCACCTTCTCCTCGTTCCCGGCCCCTCCCCCTCCCTCTTTGGAACCCACTCCCTCCTCACCTCCGCCCCATCGTCCTTCCTCACGATGCAATCCCGCTCATAAATGCGCTCCACCTCTAACCCCAGACTAACAGCGGTCTCAAAGAATGCCGCAACGACATCTCGGCCCGTATGGAAGTTCGCGACAACCCAGACGCAGCCGCCCGGTGCAAGGAACCATAGCATCGAGCGCGCGAGGTTCTCGTGCTGCGAGCGCATCCAGTAGCAGTCTGCGGCGATGATGCGGGTGAAGTGGGCCTTGTTTGCGAGAGAGAAGGGATCTGATAGGATGCCCCATTCGTGGGGGACTATTGCGATGTTGCTTAAGCTTGCGCTTTTGTTTTGGAGATTGTGGGTCATATTAAAGGCGATTGCGCCGGATAGGGATGGCGAGGAGGGGTGATCTGTGACGGTGATGGTGGAGGCATTGGATAGAGCACTGATGAGTGAGGGGAGAGCGGCACCTATACATATGTAGTATCGTATTAGCCGGAGTACCGTACCTGGTTTGCGTACCTCAAATGCAATTGACTTTGACCAAAGAAAAGCCTTACCAGCACCCAGCTCCAACACCGTCTCCCCATCAACATTCCACATCTGGGCCTCCGGCTTACCGGCAGCCGCATCCTCCACCCCCTCAGCAACCACCAAGCCCGCGTTCCACACGAAATGCGCAAACAGCTTCCGTCCCTCCTCGACGGGGTTATGATTCACGCCATCCTCCTGCTGGTCCAGTCCCCTCGCGATCTCCTCCATCCGGTTCTCGCTCTGGCCCGGGTACGTGGGCACCATGATGTCGAGATCGCCATAGCCCGGTGACGCATAGAGGAGGTGCTGGCCTGGTTCGCCGTGGAAGGGAGGGGCGTCGTCGGGGAAGAGGTGGGGGAGGAAGGCGCCGAAGACATCTTCGGGCTCTTCTTCCTCGGGGGATGGCGTGGAGGTGTTGCTGGCGGGAGGCCGTGGGGCGGGTCGTATGCGGGATTGAAGCATTTCCTCTTTTCTCTAGAGCATCCTGAGTGAGGTCCCCGGTTTCTTGAAGAATCTGGAAGCATAGCTACGGTGTTTGCATTGTTTGTTTGTTGGGGTCATCCACTTAGGATTCCCCCGCCCTACCACCAGACTACCGAGGTATGTATGGGTACGATGATTATTATGAAAAGTGACCAGATACGTGGTGGTAATTTCACCTGAATTATTTTTGTCTTGCCCGTCTATGATCAGCAGCAGACCATGCCCGATCCAGCGCGGCTGATGCAGGCATGCGGGATGGGGCGAGAAGGAATGTGCCAGAACCAGGCACCGAGCCCCCTTTCGAGGGCGAGCTGAGCTCCCTGACATGCTAGGGCAGTTGGGGGCAGGATCCGCCAGCTGCAGGGGGAGGACCTACAGAGAAGGTTAATCAGGCCACATAGTCGTGTTGTATCGCGGTTGTCAGCGAAGGTGGTCACTAGTTCGTGTCCTGTTGACCATTTGGACCATCACCTGATCCTGTGATGTCATGTGGCCCACTTTCCAAGGCCCGTCCATAGTCTGACTCAGCATCCAGCCTAGGAAGTTATTTCCCTCATCCTAGCGGGTGATCGTCAGGCAACGGGGGTGGTTGTTGCTCGTTACTGAGTAGTTCCGACAGGAGGGAAGGTACCCTAGGACATCTTCCATCACAGTGATCCTAGGAGTGGTCGTAGGTATACTTGCTGCGGAACTCCCTCCGACCCACGGGATGGTCTGCCCTGGGCTGCCCGTCAGGTCGAGAAGCGAAACTGTGGGTCAAATCGCGTCACACGCTGTCCAGAACATCACACCGCGGCCACCACCACCACCATCTGTCCATCCTCTCCCGGGCTCTGCTCCCAAGTAAATCACTCGAGTAAACCGATTCAAAAACGACAGAAAATACTCCCATTCATCCAACAATAATTATTCGGCTGTAGAATACAGGACGCCGATCCAAACCCCCCGCATGCTCACCAAAAAGGCCCCCGCAAAGAGTGAGCGATTTTGGTGGGCCAGACCATACCGGGTCTTTGTACGGTACCATTGCGCTCCCTCCTCTCGCCTTTTTTTTTTCCCTTCTCACACTATCTTTCTTCTTTCTTCCCTCAACTTCCGCCCATTCATTCATCTCGTCGTTGTGCCTTTGCTCTCCATCTCTCTCTAACTCCTCCAACTTGACTTCTACTCAACTCGACTGGGATCCTCTCTGCCACCCCACTACCGCCACGACCCGCTCACTCTGTCTAGCCGCCCACGCTGCCCGCTGCACTGCCTACCCAGCCCTGAATTGAGGGCCTCTCTCTTCCCTGCGGGCTTTCCGACTCTCGATTGCCAACCGCACTCTCAATTTCTCTGATCATGGCTTCGTTCAAGGTACGTGTTCCGGCGCGGTGATCCCTGACTTTTTTTTTTTTTTTGGTTGATCGCATCGCTGATGATTTGGCCCCTTCGCCTTGCAGGAATTGTCCCTTTCCCGGCCACTCCCTAGTCCCAACCAGCGAGCCCACGCTCACTCGATCTCTCTCGGTGCCGTCAATGCCCATCACCGCGTCACTCGCCGCAAGAGTGTCACCGCCACTGCTGCCAATGCCGCCGCCGCGGTCGCGGCCTCGCTGAAGGACTCCGGAGAAGCCGCGTCGCTCCCGATGGGCTCCCACCGCCGCAGCCTCGCCGGCCGCAAGGGACTAGAATCCAGCTCGGTCGGAACGGCTCCCGGGTATCTGTCTCAGAGCCTGCAGAGTCCCAGCCAGGAACCCCCGGTCGCTCGCAAGTCTTCCCCCAGCCAGACGGACGAGGCAGACGCGAAGCTCAAGAGCCGGAACCGCCGGGCCAGCGAAGGCGCTCAGCTGCTGAAGGGCGATGGAAAACGCTCCATGGCAGACCTTCGCTGCGATCGCTGTGGGAAAGGGTACAAGCATGGCAGCTGCCTGTCCAAGCATATGTGCGTATCCTCCCCGGCTCTCTCTTTCTTGCTCGCTCGGAAATATGCACCATGTCGGCTCCGTGCAGGTCGCCGTCGTGGTCATTCTCCTTCCTTCCCTTCAAAATTCCCTCCCAATGTTTTTTCTCTCGGGCAATTCGGTTGACATGTGGTCTTTTGTGGCATCTTAGGTGGGAACACGACCCAGCATGGGCGATTACCTCGAAACTACTCATTTCCAAGCACCAGCAGGTGCAGCTCCTGGAGGCTGCCAGCGTTCTGGTCACCATGAACGTCGACGAACCCTCCGATGACTCCGCCGTTGCGGAATCGGTGCGATCGTCGGCCACTCCCGATGACTCGTCCCAGGTGCGGGATGGCCTCAGCTCGGCAGAGACCACGCCGCCACCGCTGGATGAGCGGGAAGAGGACGACGACTTTGAGATGTCTGGCGTGCCGTCCCAGTGGACCAAGCGGCCCAGCATCGGCAACATATCGGCCTTCTCCCGCTCCTACCAGCAGTCGATCCCCTCCAGCTCCTATACGGGCAGTGCTCCACTGCACTCGCCGGCCTTTTCCTCCCACTTCCGACACTCGAGCATCGATACGCGTCCCTCGACCGCCGACACTCGATTGCACGAGGATGACGAGGCCGACCTGGCTGCCGCGATCGGTCTCTGCAATTTCGGCACCCCGCGCACTGGGCCCGTCTCCATGACTCCCGATGTGCCCCCGGTGCCCCCACTGCCGGCCCGCTTCCTCGACTCCAGCAGCCACCCGGGCAACGCCAGAGACACAACCGAGCCCGCTCGCCGAGATTCCGAGGCTAACATCTTCCTCCCGACATCGCTCAATCCGTCCCTGTCGTACAAGGTGTCGGACGAGCGTGAAGTCCGCCCTGGCAGCGCCGCGGCCCGCGAGTCGCGTCATCGCCGCAACGCGGACGTGGACTTTGGCAGCCGTCCCGCGCCGACTGATGACGACGAGGACGGCGTCTTCGGCCGCATGGAGGAGTGATTTCTTCTTCTCTGCTCTACTCAGAGCTAGACAACGGATCCCTCCTTTATCTAATCCCTGTCTATCAAACGACTCCTTTTCACGACCATGTACGAGCTTGAGCGATTTCCCTTTCCTTGGTTATTTCTTGTTCACAAATCTTGCAAACCCACCCTGCTAAATTGGCAAACCACTCTCTGCTGCCGCCTCAATTGATGAGACCGGACCATGAGAGATTCGAGTTTTCCTATCAGGCGTGTACATCTTCTCTCGGGACTTCTCTTCATCCCATGTATCATGTCTCCTTGGCCCCTGACTTCTCTATCTTCTTTCTTCTTTTTTTCCGTCTCTTATTCCGGAAACCCATAAATGTAGCCCATTCGTTGGCCGGCGCATACCTTGATCGTTTGTTTTTTTTGTTGTCTCGCATCATCACCACCATTATACTTATACTCATACTCACATCCCTATCAACACCATCTTTTTTTCCTTGTCTGCTCGGTGACCATTCACATACTCATATAAACCCAAACCCAACAAACAATTCCCTCCACACCACACCCCCCACCACCTCTCGTGTGTCTCGTCCGTTTCTTCTTTCTCAATGCGTCTCTGTCGCCATGCCATGGAGAAATGTCCAATGCTGTCTACTCTTTCCGTCCCTGCTCTGCGGGCTGGGCGCACGATGAATATAACTCATGAAATCATACTTGTCCGTTTACTGTAGGGCGTAGAGTACAGTGTACCCTTGTAAACTGAATATATTCGAGTACAGATGCCTCTGCCCACATCCCACACGTGGGAATTGGGGAGCTACATAGATGCACGTGTACATCTACAAACCACGTGCAATCATATAGTCTAAGGCGGGAAAACACCCGGTCAACGGCAAGCGGCGGGAAAAGAGCGTTGCATTGTACTCGCCAGGCAAACTTCCAACTTAAACTCAAGCAAAAGGAGAGAAGAGGGTATGCAGGAAAGAAAGGTAGACAGGAACAAGACAACAGGAGGAAAATGAGAAAAAAACCGCCAACGGGCCTAGGGTATCTCAGATGACAATAATACAAAACCCCCCAAAAATAAAAGACACTAAAGCCAAAAAGCTATCCCCGAGCGTCAGCAGTCAGGCGTGGTTGGTCAAATTCGCCAGGGGCCTCTCCTTCCACCAGGTCATTCTTCCAGCTTACTTCCCCCCCCACAAGCCACAACAGCAACAATAGGCCCAAGCTCTAACTAGTAACCAACACTCCCCCGCTTTTTCTGTCCGGACCCTCCCATCGCCGAAGCGATCCGTCCGTGTGATCCGAGGTTTTTGCGCCATCATTAGCTGATTGGTGGGTTTCGTCAGCAACGAACAGTGAGCTGAGCTGCGCTGAGTGGGTTTGTGGATGTGAGAAGAGATATCGGCCATTATGCCGATATCCCGAGACGAGGAGGTGTGGATGTCAGGTGGGACGATGATCTGTCGAAAGGGATACGACCATATGTACGAACTGGCATGGTGTGATGTGCTCGGATGATGAGCAGATCCTTGGAGCTTTGCGCTAATCAGCAGGGAATAATAATCAGAGATCAGAGACCAGAGCAAGGTAGCTCATGGTTGATCTTTTAGTCTGGTTGTTTGTCACAAAGTCGGCACTCACTGTTCGTTGCTGGATCATGGCCTGAAGTCGGCGTGTTGGTGTCGCCAGAGGCGAAGTGAAGTAAAATGATGAGAAGAAGCAGACATCGAGGCATGAAGGAATGATGAGATGATGTGAAGCCGAAAGCTATCGGTGCTAAAGCAGAGCCGTCGTTGCTGAAGCAGGTCTGATGCTTATTGATGTCGGCAATGTCGCAATGAAGTGATGTGGTGAGATGCTCTCGTGGCAAGAAGAAATGATCAGAAGTCAAAAGCCATCAATGCTGAAGCAGGACTGAGATCGACCTGAAGCCGATTGATATCGGCAATGTCGCAATGAAGTGATGCGGTGCTCTCGAAGAAGCAGGAATGGTTGAAAAGCTGCGAGTAACGCACACGACGATGAAAGTAGTACAGGATGAACCCCTCCGGGCAGCAGCGGACAGAAAACGATGAGATGGAAGAAGAGCCGCTGTAAACGCTGCACGCCAGAGACAAACTCATACATGATAGGATGATGGCCGGAGCCGGAGACAGAAATCATACAGTGACGGCCGAGGGGCAAGCGAACTCGAACCAGAAAAAAAAAAAATTCTTAAAACGAAAAAGCGAACTCACGGGGAGAGCCAACCCTCGGTCCCTTTATATTAAAAACAAAAACGAAAAGCTGTAGTGGTGAGGGCACCGAGGGCTTCCTGTATACAACGGACGGTCAGTGGATTCGTTTCTTCCAGGGCTCTCGGACAAGACAAACTTACATCTCCACCGAGAGCCGCACTCAAAGCCTCTGATCTACCCGGCTCCACCACCAGGCGACATGGCGAACTTCCCACGTCTGTCAAGATCAGGTCTTCCTCCGGGTTGCACTGCGCAAGCAGAGGCTGCTCTGGTGGCCAGGAAAGGGCGGCCTGCTCACCCCCGAAGAAGCGGGAGCCAGCCCTAACGGCCCCAGCGAGACAGCCCTACTCCGCCGGTGCAGGTAACACCGTCTTACTGCCCCGGAGGGTAGGGAGGGTTAAGACCCCGCGAAGGGAGGGTACTGGTTGACGTACGGCGAGGGGATGTTGCCATACGCAGATGGATATATGCTCGGAGGCATGGGTGCCGGGTACAGAGAACCGGGCCGCATTTGCTTTCCGAACCCTGGACCCCATTGCGAGACCTTGCCCTGCGGCATCTTTGCCGCCAGGTTCGAAGGCGACGCCGACTGAACCCCCCAAGCAGGAGAGGCTGATCCCTCCTCCTCAAACCCCCGGATCAGTTCCTCCTGCTTCTCGCGGAGAGCCCGACGTGCATGGCGCCGTCTCTTCGCCTGGCTCGGGCGAGGCTTGCGCTTCGATCCTTGTGGGTTCGTGGCGCGGTCAGCGCGCTCATCCGTCACCTCTGCCATCTCTGGATGTCGTCTCTCCCAGCTCGCTACCAAAGCGCTCGCAAGCTGGACCACCCGGAAGGATGGCAGAGACTCCGGGCATCGACGGACCAACGTACCAGACGATGGGCAGGGCTTGGGGGCAGCTGCATCGGGCGCCGTGGCCGCAGAAGCCAGAGAAAGTGTGAAGAGGTCTTCGGCAGCTTTGACGATGACCTCCGACCCGGGGCTCACGCCGAGCAACCGTCGGAGTTCCAGGCGGCGAATAGCCTTGGCCACCTCTTGGGCGAGGTGCACGGTCCGGAACTCCCACGGCGCGACGATCACCACGAGGCCGGTGCAGGCGTCGACGAACGACCCGAAGAAGATCCCGTCTGCGTCCTTCATCGGACCCGCCAGGAGATCTGTCTCCTCGTACAGAGACAGAGTCCGGCCCTCCACAAGGCGAACCTTGGGCTGGTCCTCCAAAAACTTCATGGACACCCAGGTCTTCATGACACGAGCCCGCAGTGCGTAAATATCGTGAGAGGAGACGATGTCCGCAAAGACCAAGCCGAAGACGAGGAGCGAGAAGAGCACGTTGCAGATTGTCTCGAGCCAGGACGTGGGCGAGTACGATGCCCAACGAGGAGCGAGCGTCCTCCCACAGTGGCAGCCGGAGATCCGGGTAACCAGTTCAAACCTGCACGGGCAATATGGGCGAAGATGCCTTGAAGGCCTCATCCCAAATGGCCAGCCGGAGATCCAGGTTGACCGTCGTCCGATTCGAGAAGTCTACGTAGTCCCGTCCCACGACCAGGACGTCGTGGCGGACATACACGCCATCGTGCCCAGACTTGGTGTACCTGGAGATATGCTCCAGCATTTCGTAGGCTATCTTGTTGCCTGCGACGAACTCGAAAGCCCCAGCGATCCTCTTCATGAAAGGCTCATTAGGATCCGAGATCCCGGGGACGCGGAACCAAGAACCCCAAAGTGCCAAGGCGAAAAAGATACCAACGAAGGGAACAATCATCCTTGTTGGTAGTCTGTTGGGGGTACAGATATCAGCGATTTCAAGCTCAGCGCAGAGAGAAAAGGGAGCAGAGGATTACGGTTGGTAGGTAGGTAAGTGGTAGTGATGATGAGAACGGTGATGGATGTTAACGATGGCTGATGGCGGTGGCTGTGAGTGGTGTTGGTGATGGAGCGTTGTGGATGGAAGGGTTGGGAGAGAAGGAGGAAGCAGAGAAGGAAGGAAAGAAGAAGACACGCAAGTATAGAGGGACGACTTGAGTGTGGGAAGGCAGGCTGCCAGAAAGGGAAGGCAAGTAGGGCTTAGGGATTCATTCACCGTCAATTGCAAACCTCGCAGGCAGCCACGGTATACTGAAGTGGCTGGCAAGGTGTTCGGGGAGATTTCATGTCAACTGACTGGTACTTAGGGATACAGCTCTGATATCATAGTGGCCGAAGGACCTCCGAGGAGTCGAGCAGGTTCCTGAAGTAGGATATCTGTGCTGACATTGGAGTAAGCTCACTTGCTAGGGAGCCACTAACTTCGCAACTAACCATCTAGAGACAGTTATTCCACTCCAAACCAAGAAGATTGTAGTGAAGTATATAAGTCCAGAAGACTTCAAGGGGATGTCCAGACGGAAATGGAGTAGCTACATATAGGGTGCCTGGGCTAGATACAAGCAACTACAAACACACCGCTCTTCGATCATACTTCCTTGCATAGAATTACTGCACTTCTTTCTGAGACTACAAGAGTTTTCGTCAAGACAAGTCCACAAACCGGAGATATATATGCTGTACCACAGCAAAGAACCAGTACGGTAGCCTCTACTTTTGGAGTGAGTGCTCTTTAAAGACTGACACGGCAATAAAATCCAAGATCATGCTGCTATAAGAGAAAAACAAAGGCGAATATAAAACCTGAAATCGATGTACTGGCAGCCGTCTAAGGCAAACGCTGATTCTTTTAGAAACTGAATAGACCCAAACTCCACCCGTAAAAGTGCAATCGTGTCGTATCTGTGCAAAGCATTGACAGAAAAAAAGCCCGTAAGCAGATCAAGACCCAACAAAAAGAAACCTCCGCAGCATTGTTCAATCGATATCCATTTCCTCCTGCACACCACCATCGACCAAGAGCTTCGACTTCTTCTTCTGCCGCAGTCTCTCCTCGCCATGCACGCGGTTGGCCGTCTTGCTCTGCTCGGCAACCATAGGCATCCCCTCCTCGCGCTCGCGCAGCTCCTTGCGGATAAGATGCTCGCCCTCGGCGACCACGCGGCGATCCGCCTCGCGCTGGCGGTCCCGGGCCAGCTTGCCGGCCAGACGGCGCTTGGTGAACACGCGCTCGCGGCGCTGGCGGATCTCCTCGACACGCTGCATGGCGTTGACGGTGGCGGCGACCAGGTTGCGGTCGTACTTGACGGGGACATTGCGCTTCTTGGTGAACTGCGAGAGCACCAGCGACGAGTCGACGATCATCTCCTTGCCCCGTGCGGCGCGGTGGCTCTTGGTCCACTTCAGTTTGCGCGGCTGGCGCTTCATCTTGAAGTTCTTGTGGCACTTGGACCGGCAGAAGCGGAATTGGCGGGCGTCATTGCGCACGAAGGTGATGCCCTTCCCTGGGAAGGCGGGGCGGGAGCAGAAGTGGCAGGTTTCCACACTAGAAGGGAATGTCCGTCAGTAGCTTTTCCATAATATAGACCGAGAGATAACTCACCGCATGCTGGGCGAGAAGCGTGGGTAGTTGTTGTTGTTCTTCGTTGTTTCGTTGCCAGAAACTTTTTTTTTTGGTTGGAGATTGTGCTCGGTCACGCTAAACCGGATCGGGCCCGCCGACTTTTCCTCCCGCGCGAACACTTTGACTCTTCTTCTTCCTCCCGTTCTTCACCCGCTCCTCACCCTCTGCATCCATCACAATGGCCTCGACTTTTGCTGTTGGCCTCGGTGTGGCCACCGCCGCATTCTTGGTAAGTGGAAGGTGCTTGCGCATGATTTCTCCGTCGGTACTGACTTCTTGCCTCCTAGGGCCGCGCCGGGTATGTCGCTTTCCGCCGCTACAGAGGGGGTATGAATGCGGCCGGAAAGGCCTTCTACAAGGGGTTCGTTACACTCCAACCCGCTATCTGGTAGTGGTGACTGACGGAATGAACAGAGGCTTTGAACCGCGCATGACCCGCCGCGAAGCCTCTCTGATCCTAGAACTCTCGTATGTTTTTTGTTGGCCCAACTCGCAGCCAAACAACACCTAACTCATTAACCCAGGGAGCGAACTTTGACCAAGGACAAAGTGCGCAAGAACCACCGCCAGCTCATGCTGCTCAACCACCCCGATCGCGGCGGCAGTCCGTACCTGGCCACGAAGATCAACGAGGCCAAGGAATTCCTCGACAAACACGGTTGAGCCGCCTGCTCTCTCGACGTCGCCGTGGTTGGAATCACCGACGGAACATTGTGGTCGTCACTGGCCATATTGGATGCATAGCGTGGTGTTTTGTTTTTGGTTGGCATTTTGCAGAGGCCGAGAGTTTCTTCTCGCCTCGCTGTATCATATGCACCTTTTTTGTGATTCTATTATATCCTCACGAGATCGCCACTCTTCGTTGAATGTACTACTACTTTCTACACCGCTTAAATGATCTTCTGTACGCGCGTGAAAACCCCGATCGGTGAATTCCGGGCTTCGGTTTCTGTATGCTAATGTCGTGTCGATCTCTGCTGGTTGTGGGCATTGGGCTGGCTTGTCCTACCCCATAGAAGCCCGGGCAATCAAGGGTCCGGAGGTGCCTGGTCGTCCGGTCACCCAGTCTCGGAGTTCGGGAACGGACGAAAACCGGACCGTCCGCCACCGCTCGTCGGGGTTAGGGGATCCGGGCGACGGCGCTAAGAAGGGAGGTTTAGTTGCATCGTTTTCGTATCGAGTTAGCTTAGTTGTCAGCCACGATAGTGCCTAAATTCGCGAATATCCGGAGCACACGAAAGACGAAGAGACAAGAGAGAGAAGGAGCGTTGCATCTAGATCCTCCAACACGTGCCGGTTGAGTCATCCACCCCAAAATCTAACTCTTCTCCATCATTTCATTTTATCTTGGGGCGGCACGTTTGCCTAATTCTGGATGCGTCATCTGCTTCCCCTGCGATCGTCATCTCCCCCTCCGATCTGTCCTCAGGGGAGCTTGTCGGGATCTTCTACTCCCCGAACCTGGAATCTTATTTAATTCCCCCCCCACTCCGAGAGAACGGAGAAAAGCCCGAAGGAACAATGGATGGTCTGGGGGACGACGACGGCATGGGCTTCGACATGCAGCCCATGATGACCATGAACCAGCAGTCGCAGCTGTTCGGCGCCTACTCCCAGGATGGCTCACAACCAATGTCCGTCCCCATGTACCCCGACGACTCGGCAATGGCGGCGGGGGACGACGCGAACGACGCGAACGATGCGAAGAGACGGAGAATCGCGAGGGTGAGGGCCCTCTTTGGATTGGCAAGAGTCACACTGGATGATAGCTGACGGGGGTTATGACTATAGGCATGCGACATGTGTCGCAAGAAGAAGATCAAGTGCGACGGGAAGATGCCCAAGTGCTCACACTGCATCAACTACAAGACCGAGTGTGTTTTCACACAGGTGGAGAAGAAACGAAATCCACCCAAAGGGTAGGTCGCCAGCAAATATTGTCAGGAAAAGAATCCCCGCGCTGATGACGGGTTACTGCAGAGCAAAGTATATCGAGGGCCTGGAAAACCGTCTAGGACGGATGGAGTCGCTGCTGCGACTCTCGGGCCTACTCTCCGAGGACGATGACGGCAAGACGGATCTGGGGACATTGGAGAAACGACTAGCTGATCGAGCGAGTACCATGAACACATCCAAAAGTGCAACCCGAGCGAACACCGCGAGTACCTCTCAGCAACCAGCACCAGCCTCTTACCACACTACACCCCGCATGGACTCGCATTCCAGTCCCCGGACAGCCGCCACTTCGCCCGAGTCGCAGAAGGAATCGGAAACCGAGGTCGAGGCGCTGTCGGATATGATGTGCTCGTTGGTGACGAACAATTGTGGAGAGACTCGTTATATCGGTATTTCCCCTCGCTGCCATGATGCATGCCGTGGACTGACATATGATCCAGGCTCATCGTCCGGGTTTTCCATATTCTCGCCCAAGGGCATTCAATGGGTCAATGAAAAGACAGGTGATACTTCGTTCCAGGACATGATCTCCTCAGCTTATGTAGACGACAACAAGTGGATGTACTGGAAGCCGGAGATCTTCAGCGACATCTTTGCCCGGCGGGTCTTCAAACCACTCCCTCCCAAGGAGGAAGCGCTCTCGCTATTCAGAGATTTCTTTGAAAACTTCAATTGCATGTTCCCGTTGTTTCACGAGGCAACGTTCATGCATTTGGTGGAACGTCAATACTCGCGCGACCCTTACGAAGGCTCTGGCTGGTGGGCGAGTATCAATGTGGTGTTGGCCATCTCCCACCGGCTCCGCGTAATGAGTAACCTGGTGCCCCATGAAGAGGACAAGAAAGCATGGCTGTACCTGAAAAATGCGATGGGTGTTTTGACCGAGTTGACGATGCGGAACACGGATCTTCTGAGCGTCCAAGCACTGCTAGGCATGGTGAGTCTTTCACGCCCTGTATTGAAACACTTGACCCTAATTCATCTCCAGACTCTCTTCCTCCAAGGCACACCGAACCCTCAGCCTGCTTTCTTCCTGGTTGCGGCAGCCATTCGTCTCTCCCACAGCATTGGGTTGCACAAGCGCGGGTCTGGGTTCGGCCTTAACCCGGTGGAGGTTGAACAGCGGAAGCGGGTGTTCTGGATTGCATACTGTCTTGATAAAGAGTATGTGATATTCTTTTCACGACATATTCTCATTTGTACTGATTATTTGACACAGCCTGTGCCTTCGTTCCGGCCGACCCCCGGTGCAGGATGACGATGATATGAACGTCGAGCTTCCTAGTGAAGATCCACCCGATAACATCGGTAATGTCCCGCTCTCCGATGGAAAAGGCAAATTCAATCTTTTCAGAGCTATGTGTGAATTTGCTACCATCGAAAGCCGAGTCTACAAGCGACTGTACTCCGCCAAAGCATCCAAGCAGTCTGATGGTGAATTGCTCAATACCATCGGCGAGCTTGACAAAGAGCTGGAAGACTGGAAAGATAGCATTCCTGTCGACTTCCGGCCCGAGTACGAGATCCAAGCTTCCCACACTCCCCTCATCCTTCACGTTGTTGTCCTACAATTCGCCTACTATAATTGTTTGACCACCATTCATCGAATGTCTGTGCACCACGGCTACTGGACCAGCCGTCTGTCCAACTACGCCATCCAAGGTCTGAACGCGCGGCCCTTGAATCCCCGAGTCTTTCTATCGGCGGTTCTGTGCGTGACGGCGGCAAGAGCGTCGATCAATCTGATCAGGTATATCCCGCAGGGAGACTTTGCTTGCGTTTGGTTGATTCTCTACTACCCGGTGTCCGCACTCGTCACCCTCTTTGCCAACATCCTTCAAAACCCGAACGATGCTCGCGCTCGCTCTGATGTCAAACTGATGAACGTGGTTGTCAATTTCCTGTCGACTCTGGTGTCCGACGAGTCCAACGGGAGCATCAAGCGCATGCTCGGTCTCTGCGGCGAGTTCGAGCGAATCGCCAAGGTGGTCCTGGACAAAGCCGAAAAAGAATCTCATTCGAGAAAGAAGCGCAAGACAATGCCCCAAGACTCGGAACTTGACCAGCACGATGGTCATGAAGGACAAGGTACTGGCAGAAATGCACATGCACCTGCTACATCTACGCCTTTCTCCCCCTCCATGTTCCCCAACGCTACCGCTCCATCTCCCGGTACTGCCAACGCATTCAACGTGGGTTCCACCATGCCTCCGAGCAGTGGCATCTCCACCGATCTTCCGAGCAACATCCATGCCATGCCCGGTCTCGGCCAGGACTTCCAGGAGATGCTGAGCCCAGACCATCTGGCCAACGTCGGATTCCCCGATCAATCCTTTGGAACTGCTGGTCCGAATCCCATAGGATCGTTCCAGCAACCATTTGTCCCGCAGGATCTGTGGCAGATGCCCATGACCATCGAGTGGGACTGGGCGGATATGTCGACGAATTTCCCTGTCTTTGAAGCCGGCGGCGTCGGCTCGAATGGACCCCCGCCGCATGGGCAGTGATTTTATGATAAGTATGGCTTCTTACACGGCGGGAGCAAAAAGAAAATCGGACTCATCCTTGGCGCTTCTTAGAGTTTTGTATCCATTGGGGGAGTTCAGTGAGAGTTGGGTTTTTCGGGGCGTTTTTTGTTTTTCTTGGGATATTCTCTTTTGGTTCTGATGGAGGACCAGAGCGGCGTCCTCTCCCCTCAGCGACTACTACCATATCTCCTCTTGATGTACATTGATAAGATTCTCAATCACGACTCATAACTCACTCCCGACGGTAATTATACTTCCAAGCCGCTCTCTCGGGTTCGCTGGGGTTCTGACGATCACGTGCCTACCTGACTCATCACCTCGGGCGGAAACTCATGAAAATCGGCCGTGAGCAGCTCTGCCAGAGAGCTAAACCACTACCATCTACCTTGGGTCGTTCGCCCTTGTTCACTCCTATTCTACAAGGGATTTCTATGGATTCAGTAGCTGTCCATCACTGCTGAAGCCGATTGATCCCCCTTTCCCTCTCCCTTTCCGCCGCCTTCTGGGCTCCTCTCCCTCGACCATGGCCACCTTTCTCCGGCGGCCAGGCAATCTTGCTCGCTACTCGAGGAGAGCTGCAGAATGCATCGGTAGATCTGGGCCAGCATCAGCGCACGTGCTACCGCCGACGAGACTATCCTCCCTGATCGCATCGCATCGTGCCCGGACCTATGCCACCGCCGGCCCCGGAGGCCCGGAGAACAGCCAGAATGGGCAAAATCAGACCAGCGGTGGCGGCAATGGCCCGCAGAAGAATAACCGCAAGAATGAAGAACCGGAGAAGCCGGAGTCTGTCTTGAGCGCGGAGGAACAGAAACAGCTCGATGCGTTTGTCAAGCGTGTGGAAGGGCGCATGCCTGCCGCTCAGCACGCACAGCTCCAGCAGATGCGAAAGAAGTTGATGAAGGAAGGACTGCCGCCAGAGGTGAAGACGTTTGTTGAACGTCTCGAAAAGCACGGAGACCCTTCGCTGATGGAATATATCCGGATGGTTCGCTTCATCTTGCGATATGCCAACGACGAAAGCAAGAAGATAAGGGATGAGACAACTGAAGAGGACACAAAGCGGGAGAAGCGGGAAGAGCGGGAAACTGAGGAAGACGGGGAAGAAGGGAAGAATAAGCAAGAGGATAAGCAACAACAAAAGAAGGGCCAGAAGAAGCAGCCTCCACCACCACCGGGTGGTAGGGTTTTCGAGTTCAAGCTCGATCCCGCCTCCTTCCTGATTACCTCAATTTGCGCATACTACATCTACCGCAGCTTTTTCCCCGGCGAGAGTTCCTCCCGAGAGATCACCTGGCAGGAATTCCAGGCGAACTACCTCGATAAGGGTCTCGTGGAGAAACTGACGGTGCTGAACCAGACCAAGGTCCGCGTTGACCTCAACAGCGAAGCTGCGGCTCAGGCCTATCCAGACTCGGCTGGGCAGCCTGTTCATCACGTCTACTTCAGCATCGGATCCGTCGATGCCTTCGAGTCAAGACTGGACGCCGCGCAGCAGGAACTGGGAATCCCCACGAAGGAACGAATTCCGGTGGCCTATGTTGATGAAATGCCCTGGGGTCCTGCTCTGTTTAGCCTCGCTCCCACTGTCCTCTTATTTGCCGGTATCTATTGGATGTCGCGGCGCGCGGGTGGTGGTGGTGGCGGCCAGAGTGGAATATTCGGTATTGGTAAGAGCCGCGCCAAGCGCTTCAACCACGAGACCGATATCAAGATCAAGTTTTCGGACGTGGCTGGTATGGACGAGGCCAAGGTTGAGATCATGGAGTTCGTCAGCTTCCTTCAGCAGCCCGAGCGCTTCGAGAAGCTAGGTGCCAAGATCCCACGTGGTGCTATTCTCTCGGGTCCTCCAGGTACCGGTAAGACACTGCTGGCCAAGGCTACCGCCGGTGAATCCGGAGTCCCTTTCTACAGCGTCAGCGGTTCGGAGTTCGTCGAGATGTTTGTCGGTGTGGGCCCTTCTCGTGTCCGTGATCTGTTCGCCAACGCCCGAAAGAACACGCCGTGCATTATCTTCATTGATGAAATCGACGCCATTGGTAAATCACGATCGAAGTCGAACTTTGGTGGCGGAAACGATGAGCGTGAAAGCACCCTCAACCAGATCCTCACGGAGATGGACGGCTTCAACACTTCCGAGCAGGTCGTTGTTCTGGCCGGTACCAATCGACCGGATGTGCTTGATAAGGCCCTTATGCGTCCCGGGCGATTTGATCGACACATCACCATCGACAGGCCAACCATGGACGGCCGCAAGCAGATCTTCCGGGTTTACTTGAAGAAGATTGTCACCGACGAGAACTTGGAGTACTTGGAAGGCAGACTTGCCGCCCTGACTCCCGGCTTCGCTGGTGCGGACATTGCCAACTGTGTGAACGAGGCGGCTCTTGTTGGTAAGTTTTTTTTTTCTTGGGTCTGTGGGTCAACTTCAATATGCTAATTCTCCATGTAGCTGCTCGTGCCAACGCGGATAAGGTCATCATGAAGCACTTCGAGCAGGCCATCGAGCGAGTGATTGGTGGCTTGGAGAAGAAGTCCCTTGTGCTGTCCCCTGAGGAGAAGCGAACAGTCGCCTACCACGAGGCCGGCCACGCCATCTGCGGCTGGTACTTCCGGTGGGCCGACCCGCTGCTCAAGGTGTCCATCATCCCGCGTGGCCAGGGTGCCTTGGGATACGCCCAGTACCTCCCCGCCGGCGGCGACACCTACCTGATGAACACCAACCAGATGATGGACCGGATGGCAATGACGCTGGGCGGGCGAGTCAGCGAGGAACTGCACTTCGACACCGTCACCAGCGGTGCCAGCGACGACTTCAACAAAGTAACCCGCATGGCCACCGCGATGGTCACCAAGTTCGGCATGTCCCCCAAGCTGGGCTACATCTACTACGAAGAGGACCCGCAGCAGCAGCTCCACAAGCCCTTCTCCGAGCACACTGCCCAAAGCATCGACTCCGAGGTCCGCCGTATCACTAACGAGGCCTACAAGCAATGCCGCGATCTCCTGACCGAGAAAAAGAAGGAGGTCGGCATCGTCGCTGAAGAGCTCCTCTCCAAAGAGGTTCTCGGCCGTGATGACCTCATCCGCCTCCTGGGCCCGCGTGCCTGGCCTGAATCAGGCGAGTTCTCCAAGTACTTCGATGGCAAGGGCGGCAGCACTATCGCTCCTCCCGAGCCTCCCCAGAACCCTGAGGCGACGGAGGGCAAGGATGGCCGCGATGAAACTCCACTCCCGACATAGATTTTGAGGTAGTGATTATTATTTTTCTTTTGTGATTTCTGTACTTATGGATTGCATCTGTTTTTATTGGTTCTTCCTTTTGTTCTCCCCTCCTCTCTCCTCACTTCTTCATTCCCGTCCTCGACACTTTCCATCCGTGTCTACCTTTCACCATGTCGCTCTAAATATGAAGAACTTTTCCTGTCTTGTGTGTTGTTCTTCCCGCCCCTCTCCCCCCTTTTCGATGTTCCACCTCTTGGATATCTATGCAGTGTATAATAGGGAGTTGATGAGAATAAGATTTGATCAAACTTAGTTCCTATAGCGTAATATTGGTGACGGATAAACCTGCGACCTCGGGTGAGCCGCTCTAGAGAATGGTCGACATTCGAGCTACCACTAGAATACTCGCGGTAACAGTCTGGCAAGGGTGCAGCGATGTAACGAGCTTACATTAAAACCGGTTCATAGGTCTCTGTGAATAATTGATGGGCAACTGTAAATCATCTTACGCCATGAAGTTTGAGGCCAAGTTTAGGATATCGTCAAGTCCCTCGGCGCAATCAACCCCTAGAGGCGCTAGCATCTCGGTCTCGTTCGACATCACGTCCGACCATCGGTCATGCCTCTCTTCCCTTGTAGATAGCTCTTGATCCTCCTGGTAAAAGGCTCTGATAATGGCAGGGATGTTCAGTTCATTTGAGCGTGCGTTCACGAGACCCTTGTAGATCATACGTTGACCTTGGGACGAGTTGATGAGTCTATTTTGCGGATGTCCTGTGTCTCGTTCACTAGCAAGCATGGCTCTCAAGAGAGATACACCGCGCTTTGCAATCATATCTGATTCACACCGAGACAGTATCTCAATTCCGTCTTCAATTAGTTGTCGGTGCTCTGAAACCTTGCGTTCCGTAACTGAGTGGTGAAACATATCCAAGCAGAGAATGATCTGATCTAATCAGCTCAAGCATTTGATCGATCCAGATATGGGCACTTACACTCGCCGCGACGCTAAAAGCCTGATGGATCCACAGAACGGGCCCGCCGTCCCGGGTTGCGTCCTTTTGCTCATTGATGATGGTCCTCGAGGCTGCCACACAGGTCTTCCGAGTAAATTCGAACATGGGATTCACAAAGCTCAAACTCAAAAACTTCCGGTGAATCATGATGATCTTATGCGCAGAACTGATGGCCAGGCTTCGTCGTGCCCATGGCACATAGCAGGGCCATGCCGGATCTACTGGAACGTTTTGCAAATAATGCGGCAGATGTTGTGTAGCCAGGTTGCGCAGCCGACGATCATGTTTAAGGACTTCTTCGTACCTAGTGTACATGGTATTGGAAGAGGTCAAGTCGTCATGCAGGTCTGGCATCAAAGCAGCAATGTCGTAGAACAGACGAGAGTAGTTGGTAACGGTAGGTTGGTCTTCCGATAAAGAAAGCATATCATCATTGCAGTTGCGTGGTTTGTCCGTGTTGAAACAAAGGCGATGGATCAGATACGTCTCGGCAAATGGTATTGAAAACCAATCTTGAATGCATAGCTGGCACCAGACGCGTCGACCGATCTCTCGATTAACCAATCCATCGGCTCGCCCATCATTTTCGTCTCCAAGATGATGCAAATCAAGCCCCTGGGCAACGCGGACGGCGGACGCAAGCAATACCGATAACCCATTTGAATATCCCAGCATGTGCGCGGAGATGGTGAGGGTGGCAATCGCTTCCACCGAGTATAGAGAATGGCAGGCCATAAAATCAGCCTGGTGCAAGCATGTTGTCATGGCACGAAGCCAACGCCGGGACAATGTGTCCTGTTCTTGACTGCGAAACCCCCATGATTGTGCAACTGATCGCGGTGCACAGGTCATTGACCCGGTCAAAACCGAGAAGAGAAGAGCAATCCATTGCAGGTCGACACCAGAGCCCTCGATGCGGCCATTATGGTTATGATAAAAATCGTCTAGTTCCTGTAAGAATGTAGCTGTATGGAAAGAACCATGGTACCAAAGCAAGCACTCGCAATGGTATTTGACCAAGAGGCGGACCTGCTGCTGGCTGGGAAGTAGAAGTTGGCACATGGGCACACCAGACACGTTCGGCAATTGAGACATGTCTTCCCAATCATCGTCAGCCGTGACATCTCCCGGGGAACGATGCAGGTTGCTCTCTCGACGAGCGACTGCATCCTGATAATTGGGATCCTTGCGGCGACCCCACGCCAGAAATTCCAGTATTGTGGCAGCATCTTCTACCTCCTCCGGGGGATCGACGGAATGATTTTCAGGCTGTCTCACTGGAACCGGGGTTGGAGATGGAATATTCGCAGACACTGAGCGGGCCACTGAGCGGCTTTCTACCGGATCGTGTGCTGACCCGGGTTCGGTCGCTGAGCGGGTTGCCTCTTTCAGCGCATTCTCGAGCTGCTTGATTCTAGATTGGAGATTATCGATGAGGCCTAGAGCACTGGCAGTCGGGCTGGCCAGGGAGTCAGTCAACTGTGCAACGCTCGACGCTCGCGAGTGCTCTGGGTCGCGCGGCCGAGTACATTGCGTTCCTTTCCTCGTGCAGTTCCTACAGGGCAGGGTCTTGTCGCACTTGACCTTTCGTCGCGTACACTCCACACAGGCGAGGCGTTTTCGGTGAATTCCGGAGCTCATGGTTGACGTCCGTGAGGAAACGTAGGGGAGAAGGGTGCGCAGCCCTTATCTATCTTCGGCCGAGCTGCTATCACCTGCTACGTCTAAACTAGCGATTATGCAACATCGGCTTGAAGGGCCCTCGGCCGAAGACAATGCCCGGGTATTTCTTATATATTCCATGTTGCTTCAGGAGTCTCGCTTGATGAACAATACTCGGAAACAATAATCAAAATGGCTTCCCAAACCCGATATGTCGACCGCGTGATCCCCCAGGTCTCCTTGCGAGATTTTGAAAATCGCATGGATGAAATCACTGCAGCACTGATTCATGCTGCTGAAAACGTGGGGTTTTTTACGCTGGTCGACCATGGACTCTCAAAGGAGGATATCGACACCATGTTCGCAACGTCCAAGAGCTTCTTCGATCTTCCCGATGAAACCAAAGCAACCGTACCCTGGAACTCCAACAACGTCGGCTGGGAAAAGAACTCGCAGATCCGACCCTCAACCGGCCAGCCCGACCGCAAGGAGTCCTACCAGTTGCAATTCGGCGAGAACATGAAGGGATTATGGATAGAAGACGAGCATCTCCCGGGCTTCCAGGCCACCTCAGTCAACTTCATGCACCGTGTGCAGGAGATCTCCGAGCGGTTGATGCGATGCTTTGCGCGTGGGTTGGGATTCCCCGACGACTTCTTTATCGAATGCCATGGGATCACCCGGCCAAACTCCCAAACCACTATGCGACTTCTGCACTACTTTTCCCTGCCCGAGATTTCCGACGGCAAGGAGTATCACCGTGCTGGGGCACATGCCGACTGGGATTTCCTGACGCTACTTTTCCAGAAAGAAGGCCAAAGCGGGTTGGAAATCTGCCCCGGGCGCGAGGTAGTCACCGAGTTTGGAATTGGCGATGAATGGACCAAGGTAGAAGCTAAGACTGGAGAGATCGTGTGCAATATCGGTGACCTACTCATGTCTTGGTCGGACGACCGATTCAAGTCGACCTTTCACCGTGTCAAGGCCCCCTGTGAGCAGGGTGACTTCTTTGGCGATCGATATAGCATCGCCTACTTCAACCAGCCATGCAAGGATTCTCTGATTCAAGGGCCACGCAAGAAGTATCCTATGGTCACAGGCGCCCAGTTTACAGAGAATGCGATGAAGAGGAACTTCGCCGCCCTACAAGAGAAACTCAAGGCTGTCGCGGCTGCATGATTATGTGCCAATATATTGAGTTGGAATATAAGAAGCTAGTTTGATTAACTGTGATGAAAATCGGACTTTTTGATTACCCTAAGTCTTGTTGCAATATTAGGATGAATGTTAATTTTATTGGCCTGCCTTTGGCTGAACTTCATTAATATTTGTGATGCCTGGTATTGATATCACGAAGGAAGCGTGCGCTCTTGAAAGTTAACTGAACTATTGCTCTTCTTCGTGCCGTCCTCTGGGATAACTGCGTTCAAGAAAACACCGATCACCGCGGAAACGATAAATGGGGTCTCCACAATAAGGTTGATGCCCTGCTCGAGCCCCTCGAGTCGCACATTTGATCCGCTGTAGTTCAGAATCTGGCTGAACCAGCTGGGTGACACAATGTCTACAAACCCAATACCCAAGGCTGCAGTCAGAATAAATCTGTTGCGTCTGGTAAACTCCACCAGACCCAATACCCGGATACCGGTGACCGCGATGGTGCTGTATAGAAATACCTGCATGCCACCGAGTACAGATGGCGGCATGGAGCCGAATACTGCACCAAATTTGCCAAAGATTCCCATTAGAACTAGGAAAGCGGCTGCGCACCATCCAGCTCGACGGCTCTAAGACAGAATCAGAGATAAGAATTATCATCAGCAGTCGGGAACTCTTACCGCACACCCAGTAAGTGAGATCACACCATTGTTTCCTGCCTGGCTCACCATGGGCATCCCAGTTCCCAAAGCGCTGATTAGACTCCCGATTCCGTCACACAGTATGCCACCCTGAATTCGGCTGTTAAACTCGGTTCCATCAATGTCAACTCCAGATATTTCTGAAGTGGCCAGAATGTCTGGCATACAACTGACACCCTCACAGATAAACATAATCAGCAGCGGGAGTACAAGCGCTCCATCCACCGATAGTTTGAAGGTTTCAACCCAAAGGAATGTTACCGCTGGAGCTGCGTCGATGTTGTCGCGAGACCAGTATCCTGTCGCCCCCGAGATGATACATCCCATGGCTAGACCAAATATGACCGATGCAGATCGCATGAGGGGAGATCCAAAGAGTTCCACAAAAATAATGGTTACGAACACGCTGAATCCCAAGCCAATAAGTTTTGGGTCGCCCCTAGAAATCAATGGCAAGAAGATCAGCAGGAACGAATGAATAATGGTCGATCGTACTTACCAAGGTAGTGGCTTAGGGGCTGCGATGTCGGGACAGAGAGCATAATAACCTGACCCGCCATCGCAGTTCGAGCTTCCTCCCCAGTTTTCCATACCGCTGTGTATCAAGTAGACCCCCACAAGCAGCAGAAGAGTCCCTGTGACGACCTTCGGAAAAATCCGATTCAGTACCTTAGGTGGTACAAAAGATATCAGGATCTGAATCCAGACTGTGCATAACATTGTGCCGAGCATTGCACCCCAAGCTTCGGGGCACGGAAGTTTAGACCCATCCGACGAGGTAGGGCACGTCCCCTTCGCGTAGCGCATCTCACTGTAGCTGAATGCAATGGCTAGCACATCAAATGTCGGCCCAACAACGGACAAAAGCCCTGTTCCAATGTAGAATGGCGTTTTTGTCAAATGTACTCGGGTCACCTGCAGCGCCGTGGCAATCCCGGTGGTTATGAAGGCCGCCGAGACAAGGTATTGTGATAGTTCTGCGTCGAGGTAGAAGGCGCCGCTTGCAATAGCCAAAGGTGGTGAGACAACAGATCCGATCATAGTCAGTGCATGTTGCAGGCCGAGGATTATCGTTAAAAAAATAGGCACTTCGTCATTGAGTCCGTAGAATGGGGTTTCAAAATCCTTGTATCGCTTGTTGAGTGGCCATATGTTCGGGGTGATCAGATACAGATAATCCTGTCGGTCACCTCATTAGCGACAAAAAACTAGTTTTGATGTAAGGCAGATCTTCTCATACATAATTTCCAATCCAACCTTCCCAGCTGGTGAAGTGGCGGCGGAGATATTGCCATCGGGATTCGGCGATTGGCGCGACCTCGATCACCTCTGATCTTCTGTCTCCAGTATCAAAAGACTCGAGATTTGAGAGGGACGTTTGCTGTTTCTCCGGCGAAGTCCGATCGGTATCCATGGGTAGTGATAGGTCTTCAACGACTTCAATGCTGCAAGTCTGGAAATTGGTAGATATTTCCAAAGAAACGGCAGGCTGATCTACCGCCGATGACCCCAAATATATAGCATTTTATGTCTTTGTCAATTACCATTGTCCGTGATTGTCCGTGATAGCCATGTCGCTTGCACAGTCATATCTTCAAGTGATTGTCATGATAAATGTCACGATAAACAGCCCTGTACAAGGATCGTGGAGAGATAAGACAAGGGACCCACAACAGTTCGGCCGAGGTCTGGGGCAAAGAGACTATGGCGCATTTGGCGAAAAAAAAAATAGCTTTTATTAAACAGCTTACTTCCCTGCCTTCAATTAAATTATTGACACTGTTGCATCTGGTGGCCATGGATTCCACAGAGCCACCCTCGTCCAGTCACTGCAAACTATTCTATGGTGCGACAATTATCACAATCAATGCCAAGCGAGAAGTTATCCGCGATGGATACATTCGTGTTGAGCATGGTCGGATCGCAGCGGTTGGAAAGTGCCCATATTCTCAGCCTCTTCCAGTCAACACGACGGAAATAAACTGTTATGGCAGTATCATCATTCCCGGGCTTATCAATACCCACGCACATCTGGTCCAGTCGCTGCTGCGGGGATTGGCAGAGGATATGCCACTTCATAATTGGCTTTGTGATGCAGTGTGGCCCTTAGAGGCTGTTTTTGATGGCAATGACGGGTTTCATGCAGCCCGCTTGACAATTGCGGAAATGCTCAAAACGGGAACTACATGTTTCCTTGATCCTATGTTGACTTATCGTGCGGGATTTGATCAGGTTTGCGCAGCTGTGGGTGAGATGGGCATCCGAGGGTGTCTTGTAAGGACAAATAAAATTCTATAACATGGTTTCTACTAAGTTCTTGCACAGGGAAAGCTAGTCAAGTTCACAGAGACCAACCGGCAACTGTCTATTTCCGACCCCCGAGATCAAGACTTGATCAACATGTCCATACCAGCGCTTTTAGCCGCCCATAAAAACCATCATCACAACTTTGATGATCGAATCCACGTGTGGGCGGCCGCAGGAACCCCCCGTGGAGCGCCAAAGTCTGCCTATAGTGAATTTGGAACCACATGTTCGGATCATGGCATATCGATTACCATGCATTGTGCCGAATCTCCAAAAGATCTGGATATCTATCGTGACACTTATCACTGCAGCCCAATGGAGTTTATTCGTGATACCAAGCTCTGCCCACAACCCAACCCGTCTTCCGACACATGCAAAGGGGTCACACATCGCTTGGTTTTGGCACATATGGTTAATCTAGACGAGAGGATTGATCTACCACTGCTCTCCTCTACACAGACATCTGTGGCCCATAACCCTACCTCCAACCTGAAATTGGCCTCGGGCGTGGCGCCAATTCCATCTATGTTGGCAAACGAGGATCATATCACGGTCTCTCTGGGGACTGATGGTGCTCCATGTTCCAACCATTATGACATGTTTCAGGAGATGCACCTAGCTTCCATCCTACACAAAGGGGTCAACAGGGATGCCAGTCTTGTGCCTGCTGAAGTTGTACTGGAAATGGCCACTATCAACGGGGCAAAGGCATTGGGTCTCGACAAAGATATCGGAAGTCTTGAAGCAGGCAAGAAGGCCGATTTTGTTGTTGTCGACCCATACGGACAAGGGGGACTCGGAGCGGCACCGTGGAGCAGTAACGCCCCGGAGCATGCAGTGAATCCAGTTACGACCATCGTTCACGGATGTACGGGCCGTGACGTTGATATGACAGTTGTAGGTGGCGAGATTCTGGTGAAAGCGGGAACCCTGGTAGTTGGCGGGAAAGACAAAGAAGCGCAAATTGTGCAGATGGCGCAGACTGCTGTCAAGGGGATTCTTGAGCGTGCCAACCATTATCACGAAGAGGATACAAAGATCGGAGGGAAACTCGCCTCTCCGTGGCACTATATTTAATAGCATTACGTTAATTAAGTGCCCGTCTTAACTTCACTTCGCTGTAAGTAGTTCATTCTCCAATAGTGACATTTGAGGTACGCCTGGGTGGATGTACATATCGAGGGTTGCAACCTAACCCGCCTATAACACTTGCTCCAAACAGATAGAAGCAAATATGATGAAAACTAGACAAAGAAAACTGTGACTCATATTACATTACATATAAATGCTACTTCCATTTTAGTCAGAATTCCTACGTGCAGTACGAGTTCAGTGATCTCCCTGGGACCTCTGTGTGGAGAGAGAATCCCAAAGTACCAGCTTGGTGTTAGGTTTAAATTTAGAAACAGATAAGGTGTCAACCTTGAATTACGCCTAATTTTGACGGCTCTATGCCAGCCGCTACTCACCTGGATTATTGAATAAAGACTGGATTGCAGAAACAGATACCTGACTTGAGTATTAGAGGATGATTCAAATATCCTTTGTCTTCTCTATTGATGCTCTCCTTTCTTCCGTCTAGTTGGTTTGTTCACTGGTTTCAGAATAAACAAAGAGGGTACAAAAAGGTCTCTTCTATTCGCATGACCAGATATCTATGAGGGAAACTTGCTGAGTACATATACAGCCGAGATGACCATGCTATTCTGAAATGAAGTGTTCTCTGCCTTGACAAGTTCTACTGTTACAACACAGAGAAAGCCATGTCAACCACCCGATCTATCAACAATGGACTCACTCTGCCCACACTCAATGATTACGGCAGCATCTTCGACCACTCCCTAGACTCGCCGGTGGAGGAGCCACACGAATGGGAAATCCCCGAGAACGGAGTCGAGCGAAGACGAAGTCAACAGAAGAACGAACAGCCCGATCCGAAAAACAGGAAGAGCGCGGTGGAATGGGTTATCCCAGCGTTGCGCAACTGGTCACTCCCTTCGTTTCTTGGGGACCTAGGTCGAACGCTGATCAACGACGGAGTATACCTCCCGCACCCGGATATAGCACCATCCATCAACGGACATCCGCATCAGCACAGACAGACACCGGCTCCGCTCTCGTGGACGGATCCGTCGGCTCCACACTGGGAGACAGAACAGTGGCTTAAGCGGCTTCCGCTGCAGAACAAGACCAGGTTTTACCAGATAGAGCTCCTCGACGAGCCGCTGATCGGTGCAGAGAACTATCTTTCCTGGGCAGAGAATATGGGCGAGATGCTGGACCAGTGCAATGTCTGGCCGATTGTTGGCGGTGGTCTGGAACCAGTGCCGGCGATGAGCAAGTTTTGTACCCAGTGGAGGCAGGTGAACAATCACGTGTGGATGATAATCACTGCAAATGTGTCGCGGGAGATCCGGCGCGAGCTCTGCGTTAATGGATTGGCGTGGGACGCGCGAGGCACTTGGAGTTATCTCCAGGGGACATGTGGCGGCGACTTGGCCATGACACGGCGATCCATGCAAGGCATACAAGACCTTTTGCACATCAAGTACGACGACTGCTCATCGCTAGATGATTACCTGGGTAGAATGCTAGTCTGCATCCGGGCCATCGAGTGCAACCGCCAAGGGAGAGAAGACAATGTTTGGTTGTGGTGCCAGTTCATTCTGGCAAATCTAGGCCGGGAATGGGATGATTGGGTCTCGGATCTTGTGACAAAAGCCGAAGATGACAGCACCAATGGTGACTTCCTGGACAGCTTCGAGCACCTATATCAACTCCTCGGGGTGGAGGAGACGCGGCGGGTACGCGCTTCGCGCTTCCTGTCGCGGAGTGGTGAGTGACGATGAACGAGACTCTGATTGTCAGTGGTCTGAAAGCCAAAAGTGAGATTGTAAATATCGCAGAGCAAGATCATTTGACATAGTTATATGTTTGATGTCGCAAAAATTGAAAGCTGTCCAAAACCGCCCATCCAAATATAGCATTATATATAGTTTCTTGCCAAAGCAATTCAAAGCATTTCCTGATATATCCAAATTATTTGCTCTTCTTGTCCTTGGCCGCCTGAGCGGCCTTCTTGGCGGCACGCTTGGTCTTGTTCGACTTCACAGACCAACGGGGAATGAATCGGCCAACACGGGCCTGGTATTCGCGGTACTCTGGGTACTTGGCCGCACTGATAGACTCGGTGAGGCGAGTGCTGCCCTGAAAGATGAGAAGGTAGCCCACGACACCCAGACCAGTCCACTGGAGATAGTTCTCAGTGCGGTAGCAGCTCCACAGATACATGGTCACCCAGACAGCCTGTTCGGCGACAAAATTGGGGTGACGCGACAGGGACCAGAGGCCGCTGACCACGAACCCACGCTCGAGGTCCTCGGGGGTGTACTGGTCCTTGTACTTGTCGGAAATGCGCGCGTGGTTCTGGTACTCAAGCTTGGCTTTGTGGAAGTTCCACTGTTGCTGGTCGGCGAAGAATTCAATAATGATAAAGAAAAAGGCTGCGCGGGAGAAGACCAAGTCGGGCAGTTCAAACGACTCGGGGCCCTGGGTATAGGCCGCCACAAGCAAAACGTAGGTTGGCGCGGTGATGAGAACAAGCAGCAACGACTGGGCCGCAGCAATGAAGGTCAGGTTGAAGATCATGAACACAAATTTGTTGTTAACTTTTGCGCGCACGACCTCCCAGCGGTAGTCCTCCGAGCCGATCTTGTAACCTCCTTTGCGCCAGTAGTTAAATGTCAGACGAGCCTGGAAAGATTCGTGTTAGCACAGTTGAACCGGGCACATTTGTTCGAATTCTTACACTCCAAAGTACGCTAATAACAGCGATCGTGTCCACAGTCTGGGTGCGAATTCCAGCCAAGCGCGACCAAGCGGCGAAGTGCACATTGTACACGGCGGGCAAGATGCTCCAGAAGCGATCCACCTGCGAATAGTTGCGGTTGATCTCCGCTGCCACGAAGAACAACGCAGCAAGGCATGCGCCAAGGGCGAGTACGGAGATGAAGGGGTTGGTGGCGAGGTACACAGCCTTCAAGCTATCCAGGTCGCGGCCGGCTTCGCGCAAACTGGCGGGCAGCCATTCCAACTGGGAGATATAAGGAAGAACGGCGAACCTGAACGAGGTGCAGTCTGCCAGAGACTCAACACGAGGCAGCGGGAGATAAGCCATTTTGGTGTCCAAGATGCGCAAGTGGATGGATGATGTTTGCGATGGGCGTTGACGGGGGGATCGCGCTTGTTATGTTTGGATTACCTCATTTCAGGCAGAAAACCGTTGATGCCTCAGGCAGCAACAGGCGCGTCCCTCGTTTTCTTCGCGTCGCACCCCAATCTAACCGCTTGTGGGAAGCATGCAAGGCGATCGCCAGCCCACGACTGTGTAGAAGGCCAGTGGCACACACAATGGTCCCTTGAGTCTGACTGCCGGCCTGCACCATGGCTCGGAAGATCCTCTGCGTGGCAGAGAAGCCCGCCATTGCCCGCGCGGTGGCCACGCATCTGTCCGGTGGCTCGATGCAAACAGTGAGTGCCTCACCTGGAACAATTGGTGGCACAGACTGATGTCAATTGTAGCGGTCTATACGTGGGACACAGTTCGTGAAGAATTATGAGTTTGATTTCAATTTCGGCGGCGCCTGGGGGAACTGCTCCGTCACCATGACCAGCGTGGTGGGCCATCTGACCGGCCTGGATTTCGAGCGCCAGTATAAAGGCTGGACCTCATGTCCTCCAGGATCACTGTTTGAAGCACCTGTTAAAGAAGCGGTCGATAAGGATAAGCTGCCAATCGCAGAGAACATCCGGGACCAAGCGCGTTACTCCAAGGCGTTGTTTATCTGGACCGACTGTGATCGTGAAGGGGAGCATATCGGCTCAGAAGTCCGGCATCAGGCGAAGTCGGGAAATGCTCGCATCGAGGTCAAACGGGCAAAATTCAGCAACACGGAAAGAGCGTGAGTTGGCTTGTCGCGGGAATTAGAGGTGGCGCAAGAGCTGATTTTGGGAATAGTCATGTCCTACGTGCTGCTCGAGAGCCTGTGGAGCTTGACGACCGTCAAGCAAATGCTGTCGCTGCTCGAATTGAGCTGGATCTCCGAATCGGCGCAGCATTCACACGTCTGCAGACCCTCCAGCTACAGACTCTAGTCGCAGTTTTGCAAGAGAAGGTCATTAGCTATGGTAGGATCCCTCGAAACCCCTCTGTGTTTTTTGTCTAACATCTAGTAGGCTCGTGTCAATTCCCGACCCTAGGATTTGTGGTTGACCGGTATCTGAGGGTGAAAAATTTCAAGCCGGAACCTTTCTGGGGCATCAAGGTCATGCTGAAGCGAGACGACATCAAAGTCAACTTCCTCTGGCGACGGGTGCATCTTTTTGATCGGGCAGCTGTCACGATGATGCTTGAGCGATGCCTGGCCGCAAAACAGGCCAAGGTCACAAAAGTGAACCAGAAACCCACGAGCAAATGGAGACCACTGCCTTTGACAACCGTGGACCTACAGATGATGGGTAGTCGATTTCTCCGCCTAGACAGTCAGACTATCATGAAGGTCGCAGAGACACTCTACACCAAGGGATACATCAGCTATCCAAGAACAGAGACGGATCAGTTTGATAAGGCTATTGATCTGAAAAGCTTGGTCGAAAAGCAAGTGCAGGACCAAGGTTGGGGGCAGTACGCTCGAGAGTATGGAGTACTTCCTCTTGTTTTATTTTTCACCTCGACTGACAGACTCGCCTTAGACTACTCGATGGAAAATTTAGAACGCCACGTTGGGGACGTCACAACGACAAGGCCCATCCACCCATCCACCCGGTCTGCTGGGTCTCTCCGAACCAACTACAAGCCAATGAAAAGAAAGTCTACGAATTCGTGGTTCGCCGGTTTCTTGCATGCTGTTCCGACGATGCCAAAGGCCAGACGAGCGAGGTCGAAATCCAATACGGCGAGGAGATGTTCCACGCCAACGGCCTGATCGTGCTGGAAAGGAACTATCTGGACGTGTACGTCTACGACAAATGGGAGAGCAGCCAGCAACTACCAGCCTTCCAGCGAGGCGAGCTCTTCGAACCTACCGAGGCCAACATTTCCGAGGGCAAGACCACAGCCCCGAACTATCTCACCGAGCCCGAGCTCATCGGTTTGATGGATGCCAACGGCATAGGAACGGACGCAACGATGGCGGAACATATCGCCAAAATCAAAGAACGCGAATACGTCGCTACGCACAATCGCGGCGGTGGTCGCAGTTCGGTCCAGGAACTCATCCCTACTCGTCTGGGCATTGCCCTCGTGGAGGGATATGACAATGTGGTCGCGGGGCTTCCGAATAGCGTATCTTTGAGCAAGCCGTTTCTGCGGAAAGAAATGGAATTGCGCATGCTCGAGATATGTGCGGGTACCAAGACTCGTCAGGATGTCGTGCAGGAAAGCTTGGACATGTACCGGGAGGTCTTCATCCATACGCAAAGGCGTATCGATATGTTGAAAGACGCTTGTCGGAAGTATCTTATTGAAGAAGCTGCCTCCTGAGAGTTGTAATGCTTGCTGGCGCGGACTTGCTCGGTTTTGTTGATTGGATGATACCCTTGCTGGCCTTATTCTTATGGGCGTTGAGATAATGTGAGAGTTCAAACAATATTGATTTGTGCAGTCACTCGCCCTACCCTCTCCCCATACAACCCCCCAAGAACAACAGAGAAAGTACTGTCTTGCCCCAACGATGGGCCAGACAGCATATCCCTAACAACCAAGGGAAAACATACATCCTCATGAGTATCCAGCACGACCAGATCGGAGCTAAGTGCGCACCGCCCAGATACTCCTCTCCAATCCCGACGACTTCCTCGACGACATCCCCGTCGAAGGCCCCATTGAGACCCCCGTCGAAGCCTCATCCAACATCCTCGCGTTCATAATCTCCTCCGCAAGAGAAGTAGCAATAGCGGACGCCACGTTTGAAGGGAATGCCCTCAGCAACTCCGCAAGTTCCATCCAGGCCCCCGAATTCTGACCCGCACTCTCCCGGAGCGTCGCCAGACCATCCTGGACATCACGTAGATGATGCCCTATCTCGGAGTCCGGACTGTTGAGTCCATCGGCAACGCTGGCCGCAATTTTGGCCGCGAGCATGTCCTTGTGGGCTAGAAGCTCGTTTCCGACGCCGAAAAGCTGATTGGTGCGTTCTTCCAGGTAGTCGAGGCGTTGGTGGGTTGCATCGAGTGCTATTTTGTGTGACGATTGGAGTTCGGTGAAGAAGATTTGCTGCTCGGTGCGCAGGAGTTGGATCTCTTTGTCATTGGTGTCCGTGCCGCGTTGGATTGTTTCTTTGAGTTGTACTGCGAGGATGATGATCAGGAGGACTAGGATTACGTTGACGTATCCTGCCTCCGCGGAGCAAGTCTCTGGTTTGGAGGGATGCTGTTTCGGTAGATGATATTCGTCGCTGTCGCTTGGGAATTCATCAGAGAGCAACGAAGCGGTAAATAGATCTGTCTTGATGCTCGCTGCTGTATCGGATGCTGAAAACATCGTGATGTTGTTGCTGACCACGAAGTCGGTCATCACTTCCTGACCTAGACTGACATAGTGAGCTAGAGAGTTCGGCAAGAGGTAGGGATGGAACTGATCGAGGGCGTATACTGCGCTCGTCAGTTGAAGGGATCCCAGAGCCCGGTCCAAAAAGGGCCGGCTCGGCTGAATGGCGGTAAACGGGATGGGGCCATAGAGGCCCCAGAGATTGCTGGCAAGGCAGACAAGTCCAAGTATGAGAAGCTCCATGTCGATGAGTAGTGACAGAACTAAAAAGAAAATGACCGTGGTGAGGTGTGTCTACAAAATACAATCCAGGTACCTGCAGCGCCGCAACTATGCTGCTTCTCGTAGGGCAGAGAATGATACGGTGAATATGATGTTTGTGAGTAAATGGGCAGTTCATTGAACCTTTGCGTTATTGTCTGGCGCTCAGAGTTTGCTTCTCCATAATCTAGGGAAAGAAAGGCCGCGTTTGCTTTGTAGAGCTTTGCCATGCCACGTGGGAGCGTGGGAGCATGAGAGCATGCCGCAGATTTGCACTATAGGGTCCTTTATGTGTAACCCTAGTCCTCACTGAGTTTAAATCTCTGGATTTTGCATCAGAATCTGCAATTTCCAGACTGAAAGCTTCGAAGTATTCTTGAGAGACAAGCATAGGTCGATTCTCGGGAAAACCTCCAAATAGCTCCATTCGCAACCATGCAGAAAACCACTATTAGTAAATCCTTGGTCATTGCTTCTAACTACTCCTGAAGGAGGCACTGTTGATTTTTTGTCGAGCGTCATCTATATAACATCATAGGAGTTGGACCTGGACAAACACGATTGGTCAACGCCCCGAAGATGATTCATCTAATGCCAGATGCTCAAGGGGCCAAACACAGTGATTGGAAGACAAAGATCTTCAAAGAAAAAACATGTTTCATTTACAGTCCATGGCTTGGGTCATCACTGAACTAGGGCTGATGAATCGCACTTGCATCCCATACCATTCGAAGGTTACCGGGATCTGGTTCCGTAATAAACGCTTTTTCGGGCGCCATGGATGGCCGCATGAACTCAAGGGCCGATAGCTCACGGAAACTCGTGGCGTGCGACCATCTTGATCGGGAGATTTCCAGGGCGGGGCGGCCGGGGAGCACAGGCCGTTCCCCAATAATAGAAGGCGTTGGAATAACCTTTGAATGACCCCATAACTTGCGGGAGGCGTCAGCCGGTCAAGCCACCGAAGTATGTGGAGGGTGTGCCTTTGTCGCGGCTCTGGTCGGAAAGGGGCCTGAGATGATTACCCTGGATCTCGTGACTGCTGTCACCGTCAGTGGCGCTAGATCCATGTCTCTTTGGCTTGAGTCAAACCCTGTATTAAGGCCTGCCGAGTTATTGGATTCGCGGTGTTTGCACAGATCAAGATGACGTTGCAGTCCAAATCCCACGCCGTGATAGGCGGGCCCGGCGCGGATCGCTTCCCGGATGCTTCGGCCAGGGCTTCGTGGTGCTTCTCAATGCTTGCACTTATTGGCGTCCAATTTGCGAGGTGGCCCACATCGCTCCACCCCCATGGGCATCTCCGCATTTGAGGAAGTGTCCTTTGGCAGGGCCGAGCCACGGATATCGGATCCTTTGGCCACGCTCAGTGGTGAATCACTTAGGGTTGAGCGCAACAAAGCGCCATCGATGACTATCCTGGGTCGCTTAGCCCCTCAGCCAGTGCCGTTAATGATGAAGTAACCTAGTTCGGTGATTTGTGACTAAACGATTGAAACTGCTCCGCATCCTTAAAAAGGTGCTGCTTCCCCACAGCCGACGCCCTTCTGCGATGTTCTTCCTTGGCGTTGCTTATATTGGTTGCCAATTTTTCTGCCAATCCACTGTGCCATTTTCTGTGAACGGAGAACAAGATGAAGGGCGACGGAGAAATCTCGCCCACGACCTCGGACGGGAAGTCCAATGGCAAGGATGACTATCCCCCGAGCTATGAGCATGCGGAGAAGCCCAAGGAGGACTATCAGCGGCCTGACGTGGAGCATATGGGACGCGACCACCTGAATGCTGTCTTTGAGAATCCTCTAGCCGGTATTCCTCGCGAGCAGCTCTTGAGAAATGTCGAGGAGTTTTGCAAGAAGTACCAGCTCGAGGAGTATCGGGAGACTTTCGTAAAGGGCGCCCTGATTTCGCAGGACCCGGCCAATGCGACCAACCTGCCGGAACTGACGGACGAGGAGAGGGAGGCTCTCATCCGGGAGCATACCCATAAGTGGTCGCAGCCCTGGAAGCTGTATTGGCTCGCAGGTGAGTTGGAACGGAATAAGACACAAAATCCTTGACAAGCAGGAAACTAACGTTCTCAAGCCATGTGTTCACTTGCAGCTGCTGTACAGGGTATGGACGAGACGGTCAACAACGGCGCGCAGACCAAATACGCCGCGGTAAGGCTCCTCCAATGCACACGACACTATGTACTAAATGGGACAGCACCTGGGCATCAAAAACAGGCCGCTCATTCTTGGCCTTGTCGTGAGCGCGCCCTATTTGGCTTGTGCGGTTCTCGGCTCCTGGCTTACCGAACCTCTTAATCGATATTTTGCCCGTCGAGGAACAATTTTTATCTCCTGTGTCATTGCCGCTATAGCCTCAATCTGGGAGGGTGTCGCTAACTCCTGGGCCAATCTCTTCGTTGCTCGTTTTGTGCTTGGCCTAGGAATTGGATCCAAGTCAACGACTGTCCCGGTGTATGCAGCGGAATGCTCTCCTGCTCCGATTCGAGGTGCTCTCGTGATGATGTGGCAGATGTGGACTGCTTTTGGCATTATGTTGGGGAACATCATGGGAGTGGCATTTGGAGGACTGGCCCCCGACCTTGGCTGGCGTCTAATGCTTGGCTCTACTGTGGTGCTACCAATTATTGTCTGTGCTCAAGTGTATTACTGTCCTGAGTCTCCGCGTTGGCTCATCCAGCAGGACAAAGTCAACAAGGCCTTCAAGTCGTTCCGAACCCTGCGCCCCACAGATTTACAGGCCGCCAGAGACCTTTATTATGCCTACGTGGGCGTTGAGCTTGAGCGGGAGATCAACAAGGGCAAGAATTTCTTCTCGATGTTCTTTGAGCTCTTTACAATTCCGCGCAACCGCCGTGCGGCCTTGGCTAGCTGGATTGTGATGTTTATGCAGCAGTTCTGCGGTGTGAACATCATTGCTTACTATTCCACCACTATCTTCCAGGTAAGCTGAGCTGTTTCTCGCTCACATTTCTGAGTTGCTCCTAAATCAAACAGAAATCCGGATACAGCGATACCTCTGCCCTCCTTGCATCCATGGGAACGGGTATCCTTAACTGGGTCTTCGCGCTGCCTGCCTTCTTCACGATCGATACATGGGGGCGACGAAATCTGTTGCTTTTCACCTTCCCCTTCCTTGCAATCTGTCTCTTGTGGACCGGCTTCTCCTTCTTCATCGAGCCAGACGACAAATTCAGCCACAAACGGGTTGCGATGGTCACCACAGGCATGTATCTATTCGAGGTGTTCTACTCGCCTGGTGAAGGTCCAGTGCCATTCACCTATTCAGCCGAGGCTTTTCCTTTGCATGTTCGAGAGGTCGGTATGTCATGGGCGACCGCCACGACGTGGTGTTTCAACTTTATCATATCCCTCTCGTGGCCTGCCATGTCAGCCTCTTTCGGATCGACAGGCAGCTTCGGGTGGTATGCAGCCTGGTGCGTCATTGGCTGGTTCCTGGTCCTGCTTTTCGTTCCTGAGACCAAGGGTAAGTCATGTCCATTTCACTGGCTTTCAGAACCTTACTGACTTTGGCCTTCTTTTAGCTCTAACTCTGGAGGAATTGGACCAGGTCTTCTCGGTTTCCACCAGGAAACACGCCTCATACCAGATCAAGAATGCCTGGTGGCACTTCCGTGTCTGGGTACTTCGCCAGAAATTGGAGCCTCTACCCAGCTTCTACAGGGGCTCTGAGCGCATGGCCGAAGTGGGCGATGCAGCATCGGAGAAGTACTGAACTGGATCTGCCTAGCTTCTTCCCGTCCATCACTTCAACGGCGATACCAGAACTCTTGGCCGCCTTTTGCGATATGATACCAAGTTTGTGTTTTTGACATCATTACTCCAGTCGCTTTGGTTTTTTGTCTCGTTTTTCTCTTCTCCGGTTTAATTTTCTGCTTTGCGTTGAACGCAGGATACCCTCCTCATGTAATAGAGTCTTACTGGCTCATGTCATTCTTTTGGGTGGGATATGTCTTTTTTACAGCGCTTTTCTCAAGAGATCTCAGCCTGTTTGTTTAGTGGTAGAAAGGAGACCGCTAATTATACTTTTCAGTCTAGTATATTCTTAAATTGTAGTTCTAGATTCCTCGAGAACTAAGATGACAGACTTGGATTGGAACGTCCGAAAAAGAGAGGAGACGATTTACACAAGCTGGAACTACTAACAGCTTTTGCCATACCACAAAACCTATCCCCCGGCCGACTACTACTCGAGCCTCTTGCTCAGAACGGCACCATACCAGACAGTAGCAATCAGACTGACAAGGTTGATCAAGCTCGACATGCCATGCACGCGCCCAAACTTCTTGTTCAGTGCAATCATCTCCTTGGAGTGCGGCGCGGGGTCATAGCTCCTCTTTCCATCCCGGGTTTCTGCAGTCAAGTAAGCCTCAGCCCTATATTTATATGTTTAAAAAGTAGGGGACAAAAAAAAAACCCACCTTGAGCTTTCCGCTCACGCATCACATTGATCGTCATCGGACGCAGCACAAACAGGTTAATCAGACCTGTGACTGCCACAGTGGCCATGGGCAGAAGGGTCGAGAAGCGGTGCTCGGGAGCCATCAGGCCTGACAGTCCGACAGTCTGACCACCCCGGCTGGCGGTCAGAGCAACGACCACAGGCAGCGCGGTCTGCATGGAAAAATAGATGGGGAAGATGGCTGCTTGCAAGCTGGCGAACTGGGGGCGCGGCAGGGCGCGGAATGCGACTGTGCCACCCACGAAGGACTGGTGAGGCAGTTAGATTGATGATTTGGCTTTTTGAGTTGGGGTGTGGCTTACCTGGTAGAACTGTGTTCCCAGGAGGGTGCCGTAGCTGTGGTGTTGTTAGTGAGCTGTGTTGATAATCAGATAGATAAAATGTGCTGACGGACCTGAGGATATGATAGGGGCGTGGATCGGTCATTTTGTTTTCCTTTTTTCTGGTCCAAAAAATGTCTTCTACTTGTTGTGTTCAGGTCGAGGGTCAAAGAAGTAGAAGGAAGACAAAACCCGGCGTGACGACGAGACGGGAGTTCGGATGGGGTTATGTGCACGTCCCAGGGTGGTGTGAACGGACTATTGCTACGCACCATATCATATATACGCACGCTGGCCAAGTGATGTCATGTGCCGTCGCGTTTGTCCTAACCCCAAAAGGGTAATATCGCGCGTCTGCCTGGACTGTGCCTTTCTCTTTCTCTCTCTCGTTGAGCCTCATCTCTCTCGATCACAATCCATGGCAGAGAAAGAGGCCACCGTGTACATTGTGGACGTGGGGAAGTCTATGGGCGAGAGCCATCATGGCCGCCCAGTGACTGACCTGGACTGGGCGATGCGGTATGTTTGGGACAGGATCACTACGACGGTCAGTTGCCCACACCTGCAGCAGCACCCTCTCCAATACTGATCTATCGTTTAGATTGCCACTGGTCGGAAGACGGCTACGCTGGGGTTGGTCGCTCTGAGGACAGATGGTGCGTGTCTTACTCCTACAGGGGTTCTCTTCTGACGCGCGGATGCCAGATACCGCGAATGATCTCGAAGACGACCCCAATTTCGCGAACATCTCCGTACTTCTGGGTCTCGGTCAGGCCCTGATGCCCGATGTCCGGAAGCTGCGCGAGTCGATCAAACCCAGTCATACTAACAAGGGCGATGGTATGTGATGTTTCCCTTTCTTCGAGACACATATGCTCACGGCCAGCCAGCGGTCTCTTCGATTGTCATCGCCATACAGATGATCATCACCTTCTGCAAGAAGCTCAAGTACAAACGGAAAATTGTGCTTGTGACCAATGGCTCTGGGGCGATGAGCGGTGACGGCCTCGATCAGATCACGAAGAAGATCAAAGAGGATAACATTGACCTCGTAATCATGTAAGTATCCTTACATTTCAACAAAAAGTCGCTGCTAATTTCCTTTAGCGGAGCGGATTTCGATGACCCAGAGTACGGGATAAAGGAGGAAGACAAAGATTCTCGAAAGGTGAATGTGGATCATGGCCAATGCCGGTGATATGATGCTAATGCAGTACTATTACAGGCTGAAAATGAAGCCCTGCTTCGTGAACTTGCGGAAGACTGCGAGGGCGTCTTCGGCACCCTTCAGCAAGCCATCACCGAACTGGACGTTCCTCGTATCAAAGTCACAAAGAGCATGCCATCTTTTAAGGGATTTCTCCAACTCGGCAACTCAAACGATTATGATACGGCCGTGCGAATACCAGTTGAACGGTACTTCCGGACCTATGTCGCCAAGCCACCCTCTGCAAGCTCGTTCGTGCTGCGCTCTGGCGCTGGTGCAGGTCAGGAAGAGTCTGGAAGCTCTGCTACCGTAACAGCTCCTGGAGCCAGTCAATTCCCAGATGAAGAAAACACACTCACCGCTGTGAGAATGTCACGAACATATCAGATCAAAGATGAGTCTGCACCAGGAGGCAAGGGGGATGTCGAGCGAGATGATCTTGCAAAAGGGTACGAGTACGGACGCACGGCGGTACACATCAGTCAGATCGACGAGAACATCACAACCCTGGAGACATTTGCAGGATTGGAGCTTATCGGATTTATCCAGAGCGACAAGGTGGGTTCCATCACGGAGGCCTTTTCTGTCTTTAGTTCTAACCGCTATGCAGTATGACCGCTACCTGCACATGTCCAACACCAACGTGATTATTCCACAGCGGGCAAACGACAAAGCCGCTCTTGCACTATCCTCTTTCATCCACGCGCTTTTCGAGGTTGAATCGTACGCAGTGGCTCGACTGGTAACCAAAGAAGCCAAGCCCCCGCTCATGGTCCTGCTCGCCCCTTCAATCGAGCCAGAATATGAGTGCCTCATTGAAACACAGCTTCCCTTTGCAGAGGATGTCCGATCATATCGATTCCCTCCCTTGGACAAAGTGGTCACCGTCTCCGGCAAGGTAGTTACCGAGCACCGGAATCTCCCAAGCAACAGCTTGCAGGATGCCATGAGCAAATACGTCGAAAGCATGGATCTGAAATACAAAAATGATGACGGGTGGGTTTTCCTTTTTGAGATTTATTCGAAAATCACTTCACTGACACTTAAGAAAAGAGAGCTAGTTGACACACTTCCAATTGAGGACTCTTACTCGCCACTCCTGCACCGCATCGAATCGGCAGTGCGGCACCGCGCTGTATATCCCAAAGATCCCGTTCTTGACCCATCAGACCGATTGACCAAGTTCGCCGAGCCGGCTGAAGAGATGGTGAAAAAGTCGCAGCCATACCTCAAGAAACTGATGGCCGTGGCAGATGTGAAGAAGGGTGAGTCTTGGAATCTGGCGAAACACAACGTCTCTGACTCAGGTATTCAGTTCCTCCAAAAAAAAAAGGCCGCAAACGCCAACGCGAAGCCGAAAAGCCTCTCTCCGGGCTGGATGTCGACGCCCTGCTCAACCAAGAACCTAAACGGGCCAAACTATCTCCCGAGAACGCAATTCCAGAATTCAAACAACTTCTTTCCCGCGCAGACAGCGTCGAGACCATTCTCGATGCCGTAAAACAGATGGCCGGTATTATCGAGAACCTGATCCGGCACAGTCTTGGCGATGCCAACTACAACCGTGTCATCGAGGGTCTTGGGACGATGCGTGATGAGCTCGTTGACTACGAGGAGCCTGCGGCGTACAACGACTTCCTGCGGAAGCTGAAGGAGAAGATGTTGAGTGAGGAGCTAGGTGGGGACCGGAAGGAGTTGTGGTGGCTAATGCGGAGGAATAAGCTGGGTCTGATTGATAAGGAGAGGTCGGAGAGGTCGGAGGTTGAAGCCGACGAGGCCAAAGAGGTGAGTTCCTTCCCTTCCTTCTGTGTACAAGGGTCAGTGCTGATGCTGCACTCTAGTTCTTGTCGTCCTCCGAGTGACCGTGTCTCCTTTCGTCTTCCCCTCTGAATCTGAGTTGAAAGGCATAGATTGTTGGGTTTGCTAGAAGACTGTATCCGTTAGGAATGGAGTACGTAGCTCTGTCTACTACAAGTCCCTGCCGGGCTTGAACAAAATAATGCCATCGTCCAAAAATGTAGAAATGAAGTAACATGCTCGATCTATCGATAGTGGATGCAAAGACAGATACAAGTCTGAGAACCCACAGGGGAATATATTGAACGCCAAGTAAACAAAAATGACTCCGCTAAAGAAAAGAGCCCAAATGAAGCAAAGTGTGTCGTCATCAAATGTCGCTGAGAATGGAATGCTCTCATCAAGAGATCTTCTGGACCCGCTTCTTGCCAACATCGAGCTTGGCTTGCAATCTAACACCGCAGTCAGTATAAGCAAAAAAAAAAAAAAAAAAAAAAATCTAACAAGATGATGAACATACCTCTCAGCATCCTCATCCGCCATCCTCAACATCTCATTCTGCACCTCCAACTCTTCATGAATAGCAATACCGAGCTCCTTCTGCCTTGCCACAATCTTCATCAACTGCTCCACGCTAGTATCCTGATCCTGCATCGTCTGGCGCTGCAACAACAAAACCCCTTCATTATCGAGCTCGCGCGTGCGCTCAGTCTCCTTTCCAAGAACACGACCCGAGCGGGGAGTCCTGCGCCCGCCGGCATCATTGCCCTTCTGCTGCGCACGAAGCAAAGTATCCTTGTCTTTCACGGAAGCAACAGCATGGTCGAGGCGGCTTTTGGTAGCCATCGCATGCAGCAGATCATCCAGACCGTCTTTCTCCTTGCGCGCGTTGATGATCAGGTCCTTGCGCCGACGCAGCTCGCCGTCGCCTAGACCCTCAAAAGATCCGCCACGGCCGAGGTTCTTGAGTCCGTCGTCTAGCGCGGTGAGCATCGTACCCGCGCGCACGAGACTACTCTTCGCTTGTGCAGAGCTCTCGTGTTGCTTCTGGGGGGTTGTCTCTTGGTCTCGGCGAGAGAGCTGCAGTCGTGCTTCGTGGAGGTGGCCCTTCATGTCGCGGTAGTAGTCTAGCCAGAGCGTTGGGTCTGTGATCGGTGCGTTGGCCGCATTTCCAGGGTCGGTGATGGCTGCATGCAGCCGGGTAGAAGTATTTGAAGTACCGTTGCTCGAGGCCGCTGCCGCGCTGGGTAGGTTTAAGAATGCGCGCCATGCGGGCGACGTGCGCCAGCGCCCGTCGGCGGCCTCGTTGATCGCCTTCAGGTATTGCTCCAAGGAACGGCGGCGCTCTTCTCGGAACTGGTCGTTTTTAACTGTGTTCGAGAACCAGGATTTTGATGGGAGAGCCACTGGCGGCGCGGCATTCGTCTGGTTGACTAGCGTGGAGTGCAAGGCGGAGAAGTCGGAGTACCGCTTGGAGACGGTGAAGGAGCGGAGGGGGAGGCGCACGGTGATGTTGTAGACAGTGTGTGGTGGGGATGTGGTTGATAGTGTGGTGCTTGGAATAGCAATCTCAACGGTGGGCGCCATGGAGAAGGAGAACAGGGGAAAAGAAAGCAGCAGAGTCAAGTCGAGGAGGAAACGAGTGACGCAACGGGCGATAAGGGTAGATGGTCATGTGATCATGTCAGGCTGCAGTTAGGGCTGAGGACGCAGATGATCCATACGGAGGAACGAAGCAGCTCTTGTGAATCTTCCTGTTATGGCTCTATTTTGTCGAAAGAGACTAGTCGAGATCGGCTTTTATTGATTCAGAGGTGTTAAGACCCGATCCGCCATTATCCACCTTCCCTTATCAATATAGCGGCATAAACTATTACGACAGTGATACCTCCCACTATTTTTAAGAATTCTGTGAATGACCTGACCCCCAAATTGTCTTTAATCATGTCCATTCATACCTGCATGTGTCGATGAAATTTGAGTTTGACCGAATTGTTTGCACCATTGAATCTCGTACTACCAGGCTGCCTAATATGCCTAGTACCTATCCCAGAGCGGCTGAGCTGGAATCTAAATAGAATCATAAGCTCTAAATAGGGTCCTTAAAAACCTCAAGCTGACCACAGTGGTGTTAAGGTGTTCTCGAGATGAATTGTAGGTGTATAGATAGTACTCTCAACTTCCCTAGCCTATCTACTGACTTTTCAGTAAGCCTCAAACAGTTGCGCCGTTGCGGGGCATCGCAACATCTCACTCCAAGTAGGCCAACTTAGTGGTGCCAAAGAGACTCCGTTTTGACCCCAGCCACAATGGGAGACATAGTCGACTCCACCATCCGTGATCACTTCGAGAGCATGGGAGTTGATGTGACCGACCCGGTTCGACACGTCGAAGTGAAACGGATCATCGCTAACGAAAACGTCGGTACCGACGTACACTTCTTGACTCGGTCTCGGACCGATGAAGAGATACCAATAGCCGTCGTGCTCGTGTACATATGGTGACTCCGTGTTGCCACCGCCGGTGCCAATGGTGGGATCTGTGAATGCAATTTGGCGCTGGCTCCAGTTAACCAGGTCATCACTGGTTCGATAGAGCACAGAATGATGGCCACCCGTCGGCTCACTAGTACCACAATAATAGAGGACCCATTGGTTACCGACTTGAACAACAAATGGATCTCTCGCATCATAGCCATCATGGAACAGAGGACCCTGTGGCCGCCGGGTCCAATGAAACAGGTCCGTTGAAGTAGCCAAGTTGATTGCATACGCTGTGTCATTGCCACCACCACAGTAGAACATGTGGTAAATGCCATCCACATTCAGGACATACGGCGCCCACAAATGAGTCTCACCATAGGAGGGGTCCACATGAAGTGCAAATGCTTGTTTAGTCCACGGGCCGTACAATTCTGGTGCCGTTGCATGAGCGAAAACATGCTCGTCCGTTGGGTTAGCCGGATTTGGGTGCGTAATGCCGAATAGATGCCAGGTTCCGTCTCTGGCGTCTTTTACGAAAGTATGATCGTTGATGTACCATGGTCTGGGCTCTCCGATACTGGGGTCATATACCAGCTGAAATCCGCCCGCAGCTGAGACTCCGAACGGAATAGTACCAGTGTCTTTGACGCACCCAGAAGTCGGAAGGTCGTTTATAGACGCGCTGGCTGGTGATGCATCAACTAGAAAGTGAAGTGTCAGCAACAGAGCAAGAATAATAATCGGCAGAGGCCATGAGTACCTAGATGAGGAGCAGCGCCAGCAATAATGACGGTAATAGAAAGCCGCACAATTTTCATCAAATACATAATGAAAATTTGTCAAGGCATGTAAAAGTATCAAAAAGTGGAAGAACCAGGGAATCACCAGAAGGGTGGGACTTCTCTATATAAGAGGAAGCATCACCTCGCCGCCAGAACCCTGTATCCTACGAGGTAAAAAATACAACCATTCTTTGCACATCTCTTACATCACTATATATCTATATAGCGGCAGTCCCCCGCATGTTATTTATCACGAGGTATCTGATGTACATTCTATGCTTAATTTCCCGACGCTAGCGGGATTTGTGTTGTATCTCCGCGATGACCCCTCAATTCTTTGGTGTACACATTCTAGGCTATTCCCCGGAGATCTCATAAAGCGGCAATGTTTATTGCTCTAACTAGGAGCTCTTCAAGCCTCCAATGCGAGATATATTTCAGGCTTGGGCGGCAACTTGCCGCTTGTGTTCGTCTCAGCTCAAACGAGCATAAGCGCGGCAGATGCCAGCCCAGCACCAACAACTCATCCTCATGTCACAACCACTCATCGTAACTTTTCACCTTGCCATTTCACTGGAGTTTCCCACTCTATGCAGCCTTGTAGGCATCTGGTAAACTGAAGACCTCATTCACTCCACTGCTATCAAACACAAACCCGATATTCGCCCAGTTGGACTATCGTAACTTCTGTCATCTCGACTCTCTACAGGGATCAAGGGTTGAAAAAAATAGATAATGGCGACAAGGGCCTGTGTACTGTGATATAACTAGCAAATACGGGGAGGATCGCGACATGCATGGGCGACTTTTTCTAGATCTAAAGAATAACTAATCTCGGTTATACTATATCAGCACTATGACTTGGAGTAATGTGAAGATAGAATCCATCGGGTGAGATGCGTGGAATAGTAAATGCTTTAAGCTACTGTATTCGTAGGCTAGATCAGACTCTTTAGGACAATTTGATTCTGTGGCGTTTGCACTACTCATCCAAGTGCCGAGTATGTGGTGGCGCTGTCGATCCCAGAATTATACGTCGTACCCACCATTCGGCACACTTCTTAAGGAGCCTAATATCTGCAGAACACTATGCGTATGCATTGATAGTAAATACTGGTGCTATGAAGGATGCCTCGCAACGAGGGGCGGCAAGACTGTTCTTCTTCCAAAAACTTGGTAACAAGAAGCTGATAGTAATGACCCGATCCACCCAAAGGCAGAAATATTGTTAAAATATAGCGTGTGTACTCAATAATCGTATGAATGATGGAGACAATAACGATGTGGATAATAAACAATAAAGTGTGAAGAACGACAATAATAATTTTGAAAGAAGACTTAAAGCAACCCACCCACGGCCTAAGTAAGTACCCAACTTCTACCAGACACTAACTACGAGGCGAGGCGTCTCTTGGCATGTTCGGGAATTTAATTTCCTTTCGGGTGATAGTTAGAGTAGTAGTTCAAAGCGGGGTAGGGTCAGTGTCTGCTCCTTCGTATTCCTTCTCGTGATGCTATTGGAGCATTGCATTTTGACTTTCCGGCGCTAAATCGGTTTCTCCATATTTACCCCATATTATTACCCGACCATGGGGTAATGTCAACCCGAAGCTGTGATGACTCCAATGACCCTGGAAAATAATGCTTGGCTCACTAGTTACCTGCTTGCATAAGAAGCACCCCGACCGCCGCTAGCTAAACCGGCGGACCTTGCCTTTCTTGGTTCTTTCTCATCCCAGGAAAAAAGGGCCACCCCTTATCTCCGTCAAGAATATCGCCTCCACCCCTTTAGCCTCTCACAATCATGTCTTCCACGACTCTTCGGTTACGTGTTAGGCAATTCGTCAAGGAGCGCTCGCTCAAGGCGCCCGACCACCGCCGCACTAGAGCTGCCGAACTAACCCTGCGGGAGTCCATCTACCCCATCTGCATTGTCACCGTCCTATTCTTTCTCTGGGGCTTCAGTTACGGCTTGCTTGACACACTCAATAAACATTTCCAGCGTGTCCTGAACATCACTCAGGCGCGCTCGTCTGGTCTGCAGGCCGCCTACTTTGGGTCTGTTTACCCCTCGCCCTCGCCCCTTGACTTAAACCAAGAGCGAGAACCAGGAAGGGGTAGTAATAAATGCTGACTTTTACTCAAGTGCCTACCCGCTAGCCTCTGTTGGCCATGCCGCCTGGATCCTGCGCCACTATGGCTATCGCGCCGTCTTCATCTGGGGTCTCTGCCTCTACGCTCTGGGAGCACTGATTGCTATTCCCTGCATCAAGGCCAAGTCCTTCGGTGGCTTCTGCGCCTCTATCTTTATTATTGGCAACGGTCTTGGTTCACTAGAGACGGCCGCTAATCCTTTCATCACTGGTACATCTTTCATAGCCATGGAGTTCTATATCCAAGCCTAACATTCAATGCCACAGTTTGCGGCCCGCCAAGGTATTCGGAGATCCGTATCAACATTTCCCAAGCCTTCAATGGTATTGGCACTGTTGTCGCCCCCGTCCTCGGCTCCTACGTTTTCTTTGACTTTAGCGATGAGCGCGCCATCCAGAATGTCCAATGGGTCTACCTTGCCATTGCGGTCTTTGTACTCCTCCTCGCCATTCTGTTCTTTTTCTCTAAGATCCCAGAGATTACTGATGCCGGTGGGTTTCGTCCTAATTGAATCTTAATGAAGATGGATATGCTGACTTTGATTCAACGTGGTCTGCAGATATGGAATTTCAAGCTAGTGAGACACACGTCGGCGCCGAAGATAAGCCTTTTATTCAGCAGTACAAGCTCTTCCACGCTGCCTTTGCCCAGTTCTGCTACACTGGTGCCCAGGTCGCTATTGCCAGCGGCTTCATCAACTACGCCACGTACACCCGCCAGGGTACGAGCAACTCGATGGGGTCGAAGCTCTACGGCGGCGCCCAGGCTTCTTTCGCCATCGGTCGATTCTTCGGATCCTTCATCATGAAATGGGTCCGTCCGCGCTGGTGCTTCCTCATCTTTATCACTGGCGCCATCATCTTCATAGCGCCAGCCATCACGCAGGGCGGAAATATCGGCATATCCCTGCTCTACGTCGTCCTCTTCTTCGAGTCCATTTGCTTCCCCACCATCGTCGCCCTGGGCATGCGCGGCCTTGGCAGGCATACCAAGCGTGGAAGTGGATACATCGTCGGTGGTGTTGTCGGCGGAGCTTGCGTTCCTCCCGCAACATTTGCCGCCGCTGATGCCTATGGCAATGGTATCGCCATGGTCGTACCTCTTGTTTTCTTTGTTGCTGCTTGGACGTACGCGTTGGCTGTCAACTTTCTTCCTAACTACAAGATTGTTGTCGACTCCTTTACTGCAGTTGAGGTCGGACTGCATGGACACACACAGGATAATGTGGGGGATGTTGAAAACACGGCTGCGACTGACAAGGCGCCTGTTGCAGAGCAGGATAATGCGCCTGCTGGGGAACAGGAGAAGGCTGTCGAAACTACTGTTTCGTGAAAGAAAATTTCAATTTGAAAGAGATGTATAAGGTTATCTAGTCAAGAGGATTGGAGACTGCTATGTAATACTTGGACTGCCTGGATAGAGAGAGTCGTTGGAAGATATGGGACCAAGTACAACCTACCTTGCACGAGTTTGCAGAGTCTCTAAATAGAGGGTCGACTGTCCAGGCAGATAAAGATTAATTAGCTGACACGAACCACCATATAAACGCATCCTGCTATGAGCTCGTCGAAAGGGAATGCCCACCCCATCCAGCTTGGAAATTGTACCCTCCAGGGCCCACGCCGGGAATCACAGGACCACGCCTACCGGTCTGTGTATCCTCAGCTGTGGCACCAGCCGCCATTCCATTTCGATCCGGTGGCACTGACCATCCGATCCGTTCCATCCGTTCCATGCGTTCCTGTCCTCGCCGCTCGAGACGCGGCAGGTCCTCCTCCGTTAGAATTTCGCCGCCGTCCTGTTGGTCCCACGCTACCTGCATAACTGCGGCTGCCCAGAAGTCTGCTAGTTTCGCCTCATCGCGCCCATGCGCATAGATCTTCCTCCGCCCGGACGGGGTAGTAGAATCCTCAACCTCGTGGGAGGACCTCCACACTGATTGCACGACCTCGTAGCGTTTCTCGAGCACTATTATCACCGGCCACATCACAATCCACAGCTGTAGGAGAACGCAAAGCCACCAGACGAACGAGTTGTTCCGCAGTCGGTTGATCCAATGCGGCGAGTAGACAGTGACGAATCCGTTCGGAATGGAGGCTTTGATTTCAATTTGACCGCGGTAGTTGAGCGAACGAAGGTACGACCTGAGTTCGGAGCGCATACGCTCAACCTCGAATCCGTTTATCTCTCGTGTGAAGGTAAACCTATATAAGGGTCAGTCTTGTGATTTCATCCATGTCATTCTCTTGACGTACGATTTGACTGCAGCAGGATCGCGACAGAAGCGTTCACACCAGCCCATCAGAGTAGGGGTGCCTTCGTTCGAGCCATCCACGGCCGCACCTAGAAGAGTTTGATCCTCTGAATCCTCGTTCCCATCCTCTAAGTCCGTCGTCTCACGAAGGTCTTTGAGACGGGAGGGTTCCTCCCACTGAAGACAGGGATAAATCCCACCACGAAACGCTTCCTGGCCGTCCCCGTCGCGAACAACGCGAAGTTCGTGCCACTCCCTATTATCCTCGCTGAGATGCAGCAAGGTAGGCGTCAAGTCGAGCGAGAAATTGAAATCCGTCTCGCTGCCCTTGGAACCCTTGATGTGGATATATTGCCGCGGTGGCAGCTGGGCTTGCTGGGCAATAAGGTGGTACAGCCTGCGCGGGCTCTCAGTGAGCGATGACGACAGTGTCACGGTACCGGGCTTCCCATCCCAAACGACATCCCGAGCGCCAGGAATGGAGGTTTCGACTAGGGTTGAGGTTGACGGGTCGATCACATCGTCATACGATGGAGGTCGATCGCCGTGGTGGGCAGACTCGAGAGGAATATCGGAGTTGGACAGTCGACCCATTGGAGTTTCGTCAGATTATATTGCAATGAATCTTGTCTATGGGGATCAGCGTAGACGTACTTGCATCGTCCATATGAACTTGGGAAGTAAGCTCTCCAGAGCCAGGTAAGCACGTGTGAGGCTGAGCCGGTGTCAGTGCAACCAACAGTATAATACCCAGCCTCCCCGGGGCTAGCCAAATCAGGGCTTATCTGGCCGATATTCTCGTTGGCAAACTATATAAAGATCCAAGAAGGGCTTAATTCAGATCTTTAGGAAGCTGGTCTGTTCCTTTACGCAAGCCGATGAAGATAAATACACTGGGCCTCCACGGGGATTATCAGCTACTGGACTATTATCATTGCCGGTGTAGCTCCCATCCTTTTCCTTACAGGCGACTTACTGTGGCTGGCACACGCAAGCAGTGAATAATATAGCAGGCCCGTTCTTAGTGTGTGGGCTGACGCTTAGGATCTGGGCGAATCGGGAGTGTCAACTTCGAGACTCCCCCTATTTTCTGAGCAGGGTGTGTAGGTTTCTTCTTAACATGTATTGGTATTTCCGTTATCTTTGTGGTCGCGACTAACTATTAATGATGAACCATCCTAGTTAGGACTGGCCAATATAAGTCGGTCAAGGGCCACAGTCATGCGGCCCTCGCGGCCTGTAGAGGGTAGGAATAGGCCATCAGGTACCTGTCGCTCCTATGACGAATACTTCTATATTTTTAAACCAAGGATTGGCCCAACACTTAAAAGCAAACAAAGGTAGATTAGGGCGTGAGCAAGCAGGTAATAGATCAAGGATGATTTTAACCAGGATGGTTATCGTGGCGGCCGGATGTTATTTGCACTATTGCCTGCGGGGTTTCCACGTGGGCGCAGTCGACCAGCAAGACTAGGCAGAGCTGAAATGCTGCATCCGCTTAACCCCGCTCACAGTCTCAGCACATATCATCCTGCAGTACTCTCACCTTCCAACTCTTGCATACAAAGTCGACTAGTTGGCTTTCAAATCATAGCTCTCTGTGTCTGTTGATATGGCGTCGCAGCAAATCTCCGGCATCACAGCCACTGACGGTGCCAAAGTTTTTGCAGGGACAAACACTATAAACAATTTCAATATCGGTGGGTAGTCAAAAATGAGACGAATTTACCATAGGACTAACTCCCTATCTTGATAGGGAATGCTCATGATTTTTTACCCTGTGCCTCACATGCTACGTTCAACGCATACAGTCGACAAAACGATCCTTTATGTCTTCCAGGTACAAGGATCGAGGTTCTAGACAGTATTCGAGAGTGGCTGTATGGCGATGACCAGAGGCATATATTTTGGTTAGTAGGTTGGGCTGGGACAGGCAAATCAACTATCGCCAGAACCGTTGCTCGAGAGGTATACAATGATCAACATTGGACGGCCAGCTTTTTCTTCTCCCGAGGTGGCGGAGATAGAAGCTTCGGCGAGAAATTTGTTAGTACACTTGCTCAACAGCTGGCCAACAAGAAACCTGCATTTCGAACTCTTCTTCAAGAAGTTATTTCAGACGATAAGGGTATCGTCCAACGCGCCCTGCCCGACCAATGGAGAGAACTGATCGCTGAGCCGATCTCTCGACTTGACCATTCGTCTTCACAATCTCCTCTTATCATTATAGTTGATGCATTAGACGAGTGTCAGAGCGACGGTGACATCTGGCAGATCTTGCATTTTCTTGCAGATCCGAGTGGGTTCGATCACATCCGGCTCCGAGTCCTCATTACGAGCAGACCGGAATCTCACATCCGTGAGGGCCTCTATCAGTTTCTCGAAAATTCCCGTTATGATCTAGTGCTTCACGATATGTCCGAGTTCACAGTAGACCGCGACATCGCAATTTTTCTCCAACACAGTCTATCGAAACACAGTATAGAGGGTCACGTCATTAAGGAACTTGTCCGAAAATCTGCTGGCCTCTTTATTTGGGCAGCGACCGCCTGCCGTTTCATAATTGCCGGGAAAAAGTTTGCTGTCAAACGACTAGACACCATCCTCCAGGATAGGAATTTTGACTCTGCTCCAGAAAAACACCTTGACAACATTTATCTAACGGTTCTCAAGCAATCTCTTTCACCCGAATACACAGAACGCGAAAAAAGGGAATTATGTGCTTTGCTAAGAAATATCTTAGGGAGTATTGTGGTTCTTCTGTCCCCTCTCTCGGAATGTTCTTTAGGTGGCTTGCTTGCTCTCTCAGAAGATGTAATTCATCAAGGGCTCGAGGACTGCCATTCCATCTTGGACATCCCACATGATAAGACCCAACTACTCAGATTGCATCATCCCTCATTTCGCGACTTTCTTCTTGATAGTAGAAGATGTCAAGATCAAAGCTTCTGGGTTGATGAACAGAAAGCACACTCGGTATTATTTGAACGTTGCGTGGATGTGATCTGCAGCAATCTCAACCAAGATATTTGCGATGTACGAGCACCTGGAACCACTGTGGCCGAAATGCCGACAACCATAGTGAATAAAGTTCTTCTGCCGGAGGTCCAATATGCTTGCCTCTATTGGGTTCAGCATCTATTGAGAGCAAAATTTGAAGCTGGGGCTCAAACCCTTATCCAGAAAGTCCTCCAGATGCATTTTCTCCACTGGATCGAGGCACTTGCCTGGATGCAGAAGATCTCAGAAGCAATCTCATCTATTACTGCTTTGGAAGCGATTATTCAGGGTCATAGCTACTTTCAGGTTAGTAATCATATCTATGGTTAGTTAAAAATAATGTCTGACCAGCCACTGAACCAAATTAGAAAATAGGCGACTCACAGGAACTTCTAAAGCAAGTCCAAGATGCCTCTCGATTTATCCGATACCACAGGGTAGCAATCGAAAGCGGGCCCCTTCAAGTATACAGTTCATCGCTTATCTTCAGCCCAATCGAAAGTCTAACTAGACATTTTTATGAAAAGGAACGGCCAAAGTGGGTTCTGAACGATGGTGCGATCGAAAGTCATTGGAGTCCATGCCTTTACGCACTCGAGGGACATAGTAATCCGCTTAGCTCAATCTCCTGGTCCCAGAATGGAAGCAGACTCGCATCAGCATCAGGTTATGGTACAATCAAGATCTGGGACCCGGCCACTGGACAGTGTACATCAACCCTAGGACATGGAGGTCGGGTTACATCAATTGCCTGGTCGCAGGATGGAAGCCAACTCGCATCAGCATCAGATGATGGTATAGTCAGGATCTGGGACCTAGCCACTGGACAGTGTACATCAACCCTAGGACATGGAGGTCGGGTTACATCAATTGCCTGGTCGCAGGATGGAAGCCGACTCGCATCAGCATCAGATTCTGGTACAGGTTATGGTACAATCAAGGTCTGGGACCCGGTCACCGGACAGTGCACATCAACGCATGAAGAACATAGTGATATACTTAGGTCAATTACCTGGTTACAGGACGGAAGCCGACTCGCAACAACATCAGATGACAAGACTGTCAGAATTTGGGACCCAGCCACTGGGCAGTACACCTTAATGCTCGAGGGACATAGAGGTTGGATTAGCTCAATTTCTCTGTCGCCGGATGGAAGTCGACTAGCATTAGCGTCACGTGCTACACTTAGGATCTGGGAGACATCCACCGGGCAATATAGCTCAACGCTTGAGGGACATAGTACTTGGATTAGCACGATTGCCTGGTCACAGGATGGAAGCCAACTCGCATTAGCATCAGATGATGGTACAGCTAGAATCTGGGACCTGGCCACCAGACAATACACATCAACGCTCCAGGGACATAGAGGCCGAGTTACGTCGATTTCCTGGTTGCAGGATGGGAGCCGTCTAGCATCAGCGTCAACAGATGGTACAGTCAGGATCTGGGACCCATCCACCGAGCAGTGCATCTCAATGCTTCAGGGACATGGTTGTTCGATTAGCTCGATTTCTTTGTCGCAGGATGGGACCCGACTCGTTTCAACATCAGATGGTGTAGTTACAATCGAAGACCCATCCACCGGAAAGTGCACATCAATCCTAGGATATGGACATCGAGTTAAATCAATTGCCTGGTCGCAAGATAGAAGCCGATTCGCGTTAGCATCAGATGATGGTACAGTTAGGATCTGGGACCCAGCCACTAGTCAAAGCAGCTTAGTGATCAAGCGGCATAGTAGTGGCTGGGCTAGCTCAATTGCCTGGTCGCAGGATGGAAGCCAACTCGCATCAGCATCAGATGATGGTATAGTCAGGATCTGGGACCTAGCCACTAGTCAGTGCACATCAGCCCTAGGACACGAAGAACGGGTTATGTCGATTGCCTGGTCGCAGGATGGAAGCCGACTCACATCAGTATCAGATTATGGTACAATCAAGATCTGGGACCTGGCCACCGGACAGTGCACATCGGACCTAGGACATAGAAAGGTTATGTCAATTTCCTGGTCGCAGGATGGAAGCCGATTCGCGTTAGCATCAGATGATGGTACAGTTAGGATCTGGGACCTAGCCACTAGTCAGTGCATCTCAGCGATTGAGGGATATAGTCGTCAAACAAGATCAATTGCCTGGTTGCAGGACGGAAGCCGATTCGCATCAGCATCAGATGATGGCATAGTCAGGATCTGGGACCCATCCATAGGCCAGTGCACCTCAACAATCCAGGGGCATAGTGGTCGCTCGATTTCCTGGTCGCAAGATGGAACCAAACTCGCATTACTTTCAGATGAGAAGACAATCAAGATCTTTGATTTGGCCACTAGGCAAAGCACCTCAACGCTTGAGGGGCATAGTGGTTCGATTAGGTCAATTTCTCTATCGCCGGACGGAAGCCGACTAGCATTCACGTTAAAAGATGATACAGTCAAGATCTGGGACCCATCCACCACACATTGCACCCTAGCACTCCAGGGGCATAGTGGTCGCTCGATTTCCTGGTCGCAGGATGGAAGCCGACTAGCATCAGCATCAGATGATGGTATAGTCAGGATCTGGGACCCATCCGCCGGACTATGCACCTCAACATTCCAGGGACATAGTTGTCGCTCGATTTTCTGGTCCCCGGATGGAAGCCGACTCGCATCAGCATCAGATGATAGTGTAGTCAGGATCTGGGACCCAACCATTGGTCAGTACACCTCAGCAGCGATTGAGGGACATAGTCGTCGGGTTAGCTCGATTTCCTGGTCGCAAGATGGAAGCCGCCTCGCATCCGCCTCAGATGATAAGACAGTTAGGATTTGGAACCCGGCCACTGGACAGTGTATATCAACGCTTAAGGAACATAGTGATTTGGTTAAGTCTGTTGTCTGGTCGCAGGACGGAAGTCGCCTTGCATCCGCGTCAGATGATAAGACAGTTAGGATCTGGGACCCGGCCACCGGGCAGTGCAGATCAACCCTAGGACATGGACGTCGAATTACTTCGATTGCCTGGTCGCAGGATGGCCGACTCGCATCTACGACAGATGATGCTACAGTTAGGATTTGGGACCCAGCCCCCGGACAGTGCATCCTAGCGCTCAAGGCACCTAGTGGTTGGGCTGGCCTAATTACATGGTCGCAGGACGGTAGCCGACTCGCATTTGCGTCATATGATAGGGCAGTCAGAATATGGGATCTGGCCACCCGACAGTGTACCTTAACACTTAGGGAACATAGTCGACCGGTTAGTTCGATTGCCTGGTCTCATGATGGAAGCCGACTCGCATCAGCATCGGATGATGGTTTAGTCAGGATCTGGGACTCAGCAATCGGAAAGTGCACCTTAGCGATCGAGGGACACAGTCGTCGGGTTACCTCGATATCCTGGTCGCAAGATGGAAGCCGCCTCGCATCCGCGTCATATGAGACAGTTAGAATTTGGGACCCGGCCACCGGACAGTGCACATCAACGCTTAGTGTCTCTTCTTCGTGTAGCATTCGATTTGATGAAGACAATTCGAATCTGCTGCATACAGGTGATGGTGCATTTAACCTAGAGTCCTCTGTTTCTGTCACGACCTTTCCTGGTATTTCGCTGCCTTTGCCACAGCAGTTCGGGTATGGCTTCACGGACGACCGTACATGGGTAACCTACCAAGGGAAAAATCTTCTATGGCTTCCCCCCGACTATCGGCCATCTTCAGGTGACGCGTTTGCAGCAAGGCCATTTTCATGGCCTATGTCTGAAGCAAATTTGGCAATCGGTTGTTCCAGCGGTCGTGTATTAATTTTGAGGCTTCCAGAAGACAAAACGGTTTCGTAGCACCCTCACAACTTGTGGCATTTACTTAATACCGTCTTGTTACTTGATACCCTCATATTTATAATTTCTCCCTCTGTATTTTGTATGATCTGACCTTGCATTCTTTAGGCGGTCTCAGTTCTCAGCAAAATTGAGTGTTGTATCGGCAACTCCAAGTTTCGTCGCCTTTCTTTATATGTGCTTGATGGTCAATGCTGCTACAATATATATCATGTGTAACATCGAGGGTAAGCTACTGTACACCATGTATCATAGCGGCTATAAGTGAATCAGAGATAGAAAGAACACACGGCACCTCTGATCCAAAATGGCGTCCGGGGTAGCCATTTTTGGAGATCGATTTACCTTCCCTAGTGTTGTGGTGTAATATATTGCCCAAGATTTAGTCACTCTGCAAATACCGTTAGTCTTCTATTACAACTCTAGATACATGTATTTCGTTAAGTAGTTAGCAGACCTTCTAAATCATAGACGTGACTAGAGCAGCTGTAAAACCAGTAACTAGAATTTTGTTAAGGTGAATCAGCAAAATTCGGCTTGGCATATCCTAGACGGGATATTTATGTAGAAACGGGTAACTAGACCTAGCGTTGTGGTGTAGTAATGGTCTGCATTCGATGATAAGAAAGTGTTCAACAATGTCATGGGTATCTCAGAAAAACATCACAGAAAAGTCACAAACTAAACAGCCCAAACCTCGCGGGAATCCAGCAGATCGCGCTGGCCAAAGTACTCGCCGACCACCGTGATGATCATATCGAGCATTATGCGAACCTGCTTCGCAACATCCTCTACCCCTGTAACTCCCGAATCCCCAGCGGCCAACTCAGAATCCAGATTACCATCCAGCCGAGCCTGTAATCGCGCCTTCGCCACTTCTAGCTCAGCGGACACGTCCGTTGCGGTCTCAACTTCCTCCGTAGTAGTGTCCTGCACCTCGGCCCCTTCTTCCAGAACACCTCCTCCCTCCTCAGTCTCCAAATCAGACGTATCGACGTCTTTGTCTTCACCAGTATCCTGAGCACCTTCCGCCTCCCTGATCTTCGCCAAAATCGTGACTACTCTCTTCCCCAACTCCCGAATCGCACCCACCTCCTCTGTAGCCAGCTGTCCGACCTCACGGCACTTCCCCAGCAGCCCCCAAGCCCAAGCCCCTATGCGGCGAACGCGCTCGGCGCTCCCACCGCGCACGGTCTCGGACATCAGCCGCGCCATGATACCCATCACACCGAGCACGCTGTCCAGATCCATGCATGCTAGCTGTGCCATCTGTGGATCCACTGTGAGCAGCAGCCGGCGCCATTCTTTGCGCGCCGGCACAGCATGGCGCGGGAGGCTGATTGGGTGTGTGTCGTCCAGCGCAGCGATGATTTCCGGTGGTGGGACGCAGCGCAGGGTGGAGCGGAGGAGAAGAAAGCGATGATGGAGGAGGTTGTAGTATGATGCTTGTGCCGGGGGGTAGATTCCCTCCGTTTGAGAGGATGTGTGGTGGTCGGTGTTTGAGTCTGCGGGTGCGATGTATGCTTCATCCTCCCAGAAGCCGGGTGTTTGATGCGCGTGTGGTTTTTGAGAGGATTTGAGTGCACTCGACCCAGATTGGGACTCTGGTGCTACCAAAGTATCTTCTTTCTGAACGGATGCAACGAATAGCGACGGCAACGAGCTAGCTTCGGATCTAGTCACCAAGTCAGTAATTCGGACCGAATCATCGTCACAGACTGAACAAAAGCCTAAAAATGACGCGTGCTAAGCATGATACAAAGTAACATACCGGACCATACGCAAATACTCCAGGCCATCCTCCGCGGGACCGTAGAACAGCTCATCGCGGCCATCGTCCAGTCCCGGAAACGCGCTCTTCTGGCCGTAGATGGGGTGGCTGCGCGGTCGCTCGTGGGGCGTCCCCGAGTCGACCTTGTCGCTGCCATCGTCGTAGGAGATTCGGGCCCGTTTGAAGGGAGGTGGGGACATGGATGGCTCCCTCTTGTCGGACATGGCGAGGATGGAGGAAAGAAGTGGAAAATGTCCGGGAGCTTGGGCCATGTGATCTTGGCAGGCGTTGTATACTGGGGTTACCCACGCCGACCCGATTGCCGTGCTAATTTCTTGATCTCTGTGACGTTCGAAATATTTCTGTCAAGAGGTAAGTATTAGTATTCCCAGGGAAACTCCATACTACCTTTGGCAAGCGTGGTGCGAGTCGCGTGATTCCTGATGCTGGAAATTGTTTGCCATAGTGTCGGAAGCTTGTAGGATATGTTTAGTCTAATATTTCACTTCATCAAGCATAATATTCATGCTGGCATAATTTTGGCCAAAATTTACAGAGCAGAGCATTCAACCGATCAAACCCTATAGATATATCTAAGGTACCAAAAAAAAAAAAGTAAAAAAAAAAGGGCTCAACCGGAGATCGAATCCGGGACCTCCTGCATATGTGACGAGTGACTGCCCAAAGCAGGAATCATACCTCTAGACCATTGAGCCGCGTAATACTGGACAATTAGTCAACAAGACTATTTGTGTAACTGTACTCCTCGCTTCATTCGGCAACACGTATTGGTTAGTTTACACTCATTTAATAAAGAGAACATCTTCAACTTCTGCAAAAATTTTGCGGGCGAGAAATAGGAAGACCACAGGGCTCACGAGATTCCATCACGGGCAGCTTCAATCAGAATGGAGAGACACTCATGAATGCTGCTGCCAAACGTCGTAATGCCCCAAGTTACCTAACGAGCCGAATATTGTGATACATCGTAGTAGTTATAGATTTTCTATATAGACAAGTCATTCAACGAGCGAAGTGAAGGTAATGATTTGGTGGTAGGTACGTATGTACTCAACCCCAACTCGGACCACACAACCGCACAGCTGTGAGTCCTCCCCCTTCTAATCATCATTCATTCTACCTTCCGTATGGAATTCAGTTATTAGAAATAAAAAATAACATGGTAGATAGCCCTTTGTACAGGATTTCCACTCGAAAGGTACAATAATGATGATTAGAAGGGCAATCTATTGATGATTAAAAGAGGGAACACCCATCCCCACGGGGGTTGGGTGTGGTCCAACTTCGTGGGAAATCCTATCGCTAATCTGATATTCCTAGTTATAGGCTAAAGGGTGAAATCTTTTTCACGACCGGCTGGAAATAGCAATACTTTAAAATGCTTTTGATTTTTATTCTTCAAGAGGCAAAGAATATTCATATCTAACAATTTACGGCCGCAGACGCTGCGGGTCGCGAGGGAAGAGCGTGGCCAGGCGAACATTGGGCAGACCCAGGAAAAACATGACGATCCGGTTCAGGCCCAGACCACCACCGGCGTGCGGCGAGCAGCCCTGACGGAAAGCATTGAGGTAGTCCTCGAAGCCCTCCTGATCCGGGTTGAGGCCCTTGGCGCGCATCGACTCCTCCAGCTCCTTGATGTCGTGGATACGCTGCGCACCCGACATGATCTCCTCGCCGCGCATGAAGAAGTCGTACGAGTTGGAAAAGCGCGGGTCCTCCGGGTCGGCCTTGGTGTAAAAGGGCCGCACGGCCATGGGGAACTTGTCCAGCACATAGAAGTCCGTGTCGTACTTTTCGCGGATGATATGGCCCAGCTGCTTCTCCATCGCCGTGCTGAAGTCGTTCTCGAACCGCTCCTGTTCCGACATGTCCACACCCGCCTCCTTCAGCAGGGCCACGCCGTCCATGTAGTTCAGTCGCAGCGCCTTGCCGTCCTTGGGCAGCTTGAAGTCGCCGGCCTTGGGGTACGACTTTTGGATGATCGCAATCTTGTCCGCGTACCGCTCCTTCAGCTGGGAGAGAATGAACACTAGGAGGTCCTCGGCGAACTCCAGAACTTCGTGGTAATGGTGGCGGAAAGTTTTTTCGAAATCGAGACCGGAGAACTGTGGGGCTGGGTTAATGCATTTCTCGAGAACTGGGTGAATTACCATACCTCAGTCAAGTGACGGTGGGTGTTGCTGTCCTCTGCACGGAACACCGGCGCAATCTCAAACACGTTATCCATGTCACCGGCAATACACATCTGCTTGTACAACTGCGGACTCTGCGCCAGGAACGCATTGCGCTTGAAGTACTTGATCTCAAAGACGTTGCTGCCACCCTCCGTAGCGGCACCCACCATCTTAGGGGTGAAGATCCACCGTGAGCCGCTCTTGATCATGTACTCAGCAAACAGCTCCGACACTCCGCTCGAGATCCAAGTGATGGCCTGGCTGGTCTCAGTCTGCAGGTCGAGCACCCGGTTATCGAGGCGGGTCTTGAGGGTGACGATGGGCGCACCCTCAGCGTCGACCTGGCCTTCTTCGGCTCCCTCCGGTGGCGGGCGCTCAGCATCCTTGACCTGCATGGGCAGCATCTGCTGCGCCTCGGAGATCATGAAGACCTTGCGGATGTGGATCTCGAGGTGGCTCAACGTGGCCGACGAGATGGGGATCTCGGGCTTCTTCACAATACCGGTGACCTGGATAATGGAGTTGACGTTCAAACCACCAGTGTACTTGATCATCTGTCTTGAGATGGGCTCCGCAGCCGCAATCACGGCCTGCACCTTCTGGCCCTGCTGGCGCAGCATCAGGAAGGCCAGCTTGGCGCTCTGCACGCGCGCATTGTCCACACGCGCCACCACGGTCACCTCCTTCTCATAGTGATCATCGGTCAGATCGGCGAACCGGGTCGAGGGCAGAACATCCTCCGTCGGGGGGATCGGGCCATAGAGGTGCTTGGCCGTGTCATTGGCATCCTGGGCCGCGGCCTGAGCCTTTTCCTGGGCTGCGCGTGCGGCCGCCTTCTCTGCCTTAGCCTTCTCCTTGGCCGCCTTCTTCAGCGCATTCTTGCTGGCGTTCTTGGAATCGCCGCCCTCCGCGGGAGCTTCTTTGGTCTCTTCGGGCTTGGGACGGTGGGGCAATTCGGAGTCCGCCATGGTGCTGTGGTGAGGACAATTAGGAAGAGGATCAAGCAGGGAAGCGGTATCGATGGCACTCACCTCGGAGTACTCTGGAACAAGGACAATACGGCGCAATGAGTCGTTGTAGCTTGAGTCACGAACGGATCAAGGATCACCCCGCCGAGAGCTTGCCCTAATGGAACCCTAGAGGGGCATCACGTGAAGTGACACCTGAGGCACCATATTAGTATACGAAGTATGTATGGGAGAGTAAAAATGAAGTAGGCCAAAGATGATTTCTATCCTATGTACAATAATCTAATTCAAGTTTTATCATGAGTAAAAAGAAAGTCACCCGGTGCTTTGACCCCTCTCCTTGACCAGGATTGCAAATATCATCACTACTCCATGGAGCGATAAGCTGGAAAGCGAATGGTTCTCTCAACATCCGGAAGCTTCCGCGCCTCTTCATACGCCATATCCGAAATCACAATTCCCATATCCTCGTGATAGAGATCCTCGTCGTCCAGACGTTCTTGCGGAAGAGCAAGGATGTGTCTCCAAAGAAGACGCTCAATCTCTTCCACATGTGAAGAGTCCAGAAAGGTAGGCCGTTGTTGCAGACGCAAGGCGCGAAGGCTGGAGAGATTCGACGTCAGCGCTTCAATCAGCTGTTCTGGGTCGAATATTTCTTCCTCTTCGTGAAAGTCACCTCTGACCTCGAGGACTTTGATAGACAAGGGACCGAGAACTGAAAGTGGCAGTGGCGGGAGAATCAGGAGGCGCTCGAGCAAGCCGCATGGGATTCCAAGGTAAACGAGGTTGGGAAGATAGTAGATGGCAGAGCTGTCGCTGTCCTCACCCTCGAAGAAGCTGACATCAAATAGGGAAAGCGACAAAAGCGAATCCAGCTGTGGCCTGGTCAGGATTTTCTCAAAGACTGACGGCCTGAGATTCCGGCAGTGCTGTAAAACGAGGCTCTCGAGCGCTGGAGGGAAGACGAATGAAGGCATCGCAACTAGTTGAACAACGCCGGTGAGCCATAGACATTTAAGGGAAGACGGCCAAATCCCAGGCGCGTCTTCATCAATGCTAGGGCAAAATGGTAATGGTGGGAGAAATAATGTGTCTAGCTCATGAAGGTGGCTGATGGCCTTTTTCATGGTCATGAATTCGATCTCCCCGTGGATCTGGCAGAGGTCGAGATAGCGGAGTTTGTGGCACTTGGCCAATGCTGGTAGGCTATTCAGCCTAATATTTCAAGTTAGTCAGGGATATGTTGTCAAGTTGGTCCATCTAGAAACGAAACTTACGCAAATGAGACACTTGGAGCTACAAAATACTCCAGATTTTTCTTGACTCGACTCAACAGCCGTGCCGTCAGACTGTTAGAACTGTGATGAACCAAGCCACCCAGGTCTAAGCAGTGCACCAGTGACCCCAGGTCAACCTTTCGCTTTCTCCTAGCTCCCACAGGCGGGCAGACAGTGTTTGTAAACTGGGCAAAGCTGCTTCCTTTCACGAAACATGGCCGATGATAAAGGAAGCCGATAGAAGCGGAGTACCACTGGCGTGACACTAAGCAGCAGCTATGCAGGTCCCGTTGCTTCTCTTTCTGGTCCGGCAGGTATACCGTATCCTCGCCGAAGACAAATTCAACAACGTTGACGACGACTTCCGCTGGGAGATAGACCGACGCAGACATGGCGAGCGCCGGCCATAGCCCGGGCGGGAGATATGGTGGGTGTGGTGCGCGGGTGGGTGATTGAAGATGGCAAAAAGATAAAGCTGCACGATAAGGCCCGGGTGATATCACTCAAACGTTGCCCCTTCCCCTCCTCGTCTCTTCCGCCACTCATTCATTCCCTGGATCACATACCACCACCCTCCCTGGCACAATGAGACAGCCAGTCTGGCAGTCTCTCGGCCTGCTGCAACGCGCATCATCCCATTACCGCGTCCCCATCGGTCGCCGCGCTATCCAAACAGCCAGTTCGCGTATCCCGAACTTCGCCTTTGCGTTCGAGTGAGTAGCGCGGATGTATGCAAACAACTGATACCTGTCCTCGCCAAGCTGACAAAATGATGCAGTATCGATGGCGTTCTCCTCCGATCCTCCAAACCCATCCCCGGCGCTGCGGACTCGTTGGCACTCCTGAAGGAACAGGGCATCCCCTTCATCCTGCTCACCAATGGCGGCGGGAAACACGAAATAGAGCGCGTGGCTGAGATCAGTGACAAGCTTCAAGTTCCACTGGATCCTTCGGTGATTATCCAGAGCCATTCGCCTTTTGCGGAGCTGGTCAAGGGTGTTGACGAGGCGAGCTCGCTGGAGAATAAATGCGTGCTGGTGGTAGGAGGTGATGGCGACAACTGCCGGCGTGTAGCGGAACAGTATGTGAAGTCTTGCCATGCTGCTGCCTCGGCTGGTTGCTGACATAAATCCTTAGATATGGCTTCAAGAATGTGGTGACACCCGGGGATATTTTCACGGCCTATCCATCCGTCTGGCCTTTCTCGAAGAACTTCCAGGATTACTATAACACATTTTCCCGGCCTCTACCGAAGCCAATCGACCCGACAAACCCGAGCAAGGGCCTCAAATTCGATGCCGTATTCGTGTTCAACGACCCGCGCGACTGGGCTCTCGACACGCAGGTTATCATGGACATCTTAATGTCCTCACAGGGATTGATGGGAACGCAATCAGCGATGAACGGCAGAACCGACCTCCCTAATCATGGCTACCAGCAAGACGGCCAACCGCCTCTATACTTCTCGAACCCGGACCTGTGGTGGGCAGCCGCATACCCGCTGCCACGACTGGGGCAAGGTGGATTCCGCGAGGCCCTGGAGGGCGTCTGGGCCGCAACAACAGGTGGACCTAGCAAAGGCATCGAGCTGAAGAAGACCGTGATCGGTAAGCCCTACCAAGGAACATATGAGTTCGCGGAGCGGCAATTGCTTCGAAATCGGGCCGCCATCTTTGGCAACGGCGTGAGCCTTCCGCCGCTGCAGAAGGTGTACATGGTTGGCGATAACCCGGAGTCAGATATTCGGGGCGCCAACTCCTATCGCAGCGATATTGGCAGTAGCTGGCACTCGATCCTCGTGCGGACGGGTGTTTATACGGGCGGCGAGCCCGCCTGGAAGCCGAAGACCATCACGGATAATGTACAGACGGCGGTAGAGTGGGCGCTCAAGTCTTCCAAATGGACTTGACCTGCCCAGGTCTAGTTTTTTGGTGGACTAGATTCCATGAAACACGGCATGCATGGCGCTGATTCGATGGGTATGCGTTTAACATGTTACGCATAGCCTCAGACACCAATCCGATTTGCAGCGCTTTTTATATTATCCTTTGCTTCTGCACAGCCCATACTGCATACGTCTAGAGTCTCGAGAAGTTGTATTAGACCAGTCTAGAGAAGAATCCTACCAAAGGAAACTGGCTTAGCACATGTCCAAATTATTTGCGAGTATTCTCTCATAGCACTCATTACAAGTAAACCGAGTCCAACCACCAATCAGGTCAGTCACATAGGCCAAAGACAGGGTTAAGCTTGCTTAAGAACAGTCACACACACACACACACACACATCCACACACCGCAGACGCAGACAGACGGACAGAACAAGCCCAAATATTTGCTCAAGTCTACTACAATTTGCTATGGAAAGGAAACTCGGGCAGAAAACACAGGCACGGGGGAAGGGGGAAAATAACAGCCCAATGTAGGTAAAATGAAACAAACAGAACACCAAGTAACGAACTTATTTTCTAGGACAACGAAGCAATCACGGCAGCGGCCACGCCCTCCTCTTCTGCGCGCACGGTGATCTTGGTCGTGACGCCGGTCTTGGTGGAGTAGGCCATCTTGACGAGACCGGCCACGCGGCCGCCGGAGACGGTCTTGCCGAAGAGCTTGAGGGTGTGTGTGCTGGTGCTGAGGGCGACGTCGGTGCCCTCGAGCGGTTGCAGGGATAGCGCTGAGATCAATTGTTCTGTAGCGTCTGGATTGGGGAATTAGTATGAGATAATTTACAAGGAGAATGGGAAGGAAACAAAAGAACATACCTGTGATGCTCTTCATGTTGCTGAGCTGCAAAGTCTCGCTCTCCTCCTCGCCGTTGGCACCGGTCTGTTCCCAGACATGGTCGAAGCTGCCTGCGAATGTGGGGATGACATAGTCGCTGCCCGTCAACTCGAGGTCTTCCACTTGATACTCGTCCTCGTAGCCGCTCTCCTCGGGCTCGCCGGTGTTCGGGTCGATCTCTTTGCTGGTGAACTTGAGGTTGTTGGTGAAGGAGGTGACTGGGACACTGTGCTCGCCGCCCAGCTTCTTGAATGTTACGTAGACAACGCCCGGCTCGTTGGGGGCCAGCTTCGGCGCCGGCACGATCAGATCATCCTCCAGCACATCTTCCTCTGCTGGTGTAACCTCTATAGTGGCGTTCTCTAGAACAGTATCCGGCAGGGTGTTCTTGATATCATACTGCAACACGATATGCTCCTTGAAGATATGCTTGATGCAAGTGACGACATATTCCGTTTCGCTCTCGGAGAGCTCGACAGGAAGGGAAGACTTGAGGAGGTTGCCATACGCTTTGAACTCGGGGTATTGCATGAGTTGCTCGGCGTATTTCTGGGTAGCAGCAGCCGTGGTTGCTTCGGCCACGCCACCGGCTTTCTTGGGGGGACCGGCTGACGGAGCTTTGAGAGTAGGAGTGGCGGTGGTGAGCTTCTTGGTCCGCTCTTCGGCCAGAGCCTGCTCTTGGGTGACAACGGGGATGGTGGAGACGTCGAAGGCAGCAGCGAAAGTCTGCTTGTCGGTCGAGGTCACGTACATGACCAGCTGGTGCTCGAAAGTGGACAGGGAGTACATCGAGTCGTTCTTGATGAATGCCCCGGCCATCTCATCCTCTTCGCCCATCAACCGCAGGTTAAGCGCAGCACGATCCCGCACCTCATCGTCCGTGTCATCAAGACAACGAGTGAGAAGCACTTGAACACTCGATTTGACCTCGGGGTCTTTCTGTCCGACACCAAACTTGGCCAGAGCAGTAACAGCCGCCGCGCGGACAATAGCATTCTCCAAAACGACTCGGTTGTAAATATAGCGGATATACTTGGTGGGGTGCGTTGTTTTGGGGCCCTCGACACCCAGAAGGTGAAGGGTTCGGACAGAGAGCTTGGTGAACTCGCAGTCCTCGATAAACTCGCACAGGTGGGCGAGAGCTTCTTCCTTGCTATCGGGGACGAACTTGATGAGATCGAACATGCTCTCCACGACGGTGCGCTTGAACTCGTAGCCACCCTCGTCCCGCAGAATCCCACTCAGGAATGTGAGCATACCCGCCTGCTTGCTCGGGAACTTCAAGCAGAGCGTACGGATGGCCTCAACGATGGTGATCTTGAACTCGTCAGTGATGTCAGCCATGAAGCCCGAGATCTGCTTCATCAGGCGATCGACGCTAGCTTCGTTGCCGGTCTTGAGCAGCGTGGTGATGGCAAAGGTGGCAATGGAGCGATTGGAGTTGGAAATGAGCGTCTCGATATCGGGGTTGCAGACATTGACGACGTTCGGCTTGAACGTGGCAAAGTTGTGAAGGATGCGAATGGCGGCGAATTTCGTGATCGACCGCGGCGAGGACAGGAACAATTGCAGGACGTGGACGGCCTGCGAGGCCTCGGCATCGGTGACATCGCGCATGTCGCAGATGGCCTTGGCTGCCTCGAAGTTGACCATCTCGTGCTTGTGACGGAGCCAGCCATCCAGCATCTGCATCATGGGTTTCCGGAGACTAGGATCTTCCTCCGCCAATTTGGCCGCTAGGCGGACCAGGAGGACCAAAGCCGCCGGACTCTTGACCACACCCGCAGCACCGTACTGCTGGACCATCTTGACGAGCGCCATGCGGTCATGCGCGCGCATCTGATACAGGAGACCGATCGCATGGTATTGGGTCATGAAGTTCGACTGCGAGATGGCGTGGCTCTGCGCGCTGCCCGCGAAGCCTAGGAAACCGTGGCCTTGCTTCGAGGACGAAGCCGCCTCCTGGGTTTCGCTTTGCCATCTCCGGACCACGTCGCGCGCAATGGGAAGGAGGTGATAGGAAGAAACCAAGGCCGCGGAAGAGACAGATGGGGTCTTGTCAACAATGGCGGTCTTGATGAGTCGCTCGATACCCTGCACCGTCGAACCCTTCACACAAAAATGGTCAGCATCCTCATTGCCATACCAGTCATACCAAACCTACATCGATGATACGGCACAGCGCCCTGATAGCATTGGCCCGGTACAACACATCGCTTCCTACCGCGGTATCCTTCATGATGATACTGGTCGACATGATCACATCCTCCGCAGTGCCGGCTAGTTCCTTCAGTATCAGATAGACCATCTGGCGTAGGGACGGGTCCTTATTCTGGAATAGCTTGGAGATGCCGAAGAAGAGGGTGGTGGCTTCATTTGTGGGGAATTGCTCCCCCGTAAAGAGGAGGACGGCGATCTTTGTCAGGAGAGTGCGGCATGTTCGCGGCGAGATGGGCGAGGAATTGAACAGGCGAGCTAGACGAGTGCATCGGTCAGTACGACGTGGGTGGATTGTGTGCCGCGCACGAGGATGCGGGCGCCAGGGGGGACACGATTAGGCGGAATACCATCTTGGAACACGGAGGTGCGATCAAGCTTGATCATGACTTGATCGGCATCCTCGTCTTTCTTCATGTAGCTCATGGTGCCCACAGCTGCTGGGATTGCGCCCGCAGAGTGTCCTTCTCAGTCGCTGGGGGGGGGGAAGGGTTAAGGGAAGGTCGAGGGCAATTGAGTGCGGGTCAAGTGCAGTTCGGTCAAGGGATTTGGGCGGAGCAGGCAACTACAGCATGTTCATCGCTGCCCACGGATAAATATTCAGAGATAATTGAGGTAGAGCGTGTTGGGTGGACCACAGCGTCCGGGCGTTGTTTATGGCAAGAGTGATTAAGTGGCCTTCCGTGTGTTTGCAACCCGAGGCAAACAGTGCAAACAGGTGGAGGTGGCCTGGAGCTGCTTTGGGCACTTACTTTTGACTTCCCCCACAACTCACTGCCCAGTATGCAAGTCGAAGTCAATGAGAACGAAGACACGGAGTGGTATGGACTATGGTAATTCAGTTCGAAAATCAGCGTCTAACTACCGTGGAACTGTGCAGGAACGACATCCTCCGCCAACATGGCATCATCCCCGAGAAGCCCAAGGACCCGGAGCCTCTCATCCAAGAAGCCCTGATCGAAGCAGCGCACAAGGCACACGAGAACCGCCTGGAAGATAAAGATCTCGACGAATTGGATGCTCTCGAAGACGAAGAGGACGAAGCATTCCTGCAGTATTACCGGTAAGTATATTGTATGATATTCCCCAAGCCTACATTCTTGACAAGCTAACCACACCCCCCAAACCAAACAGACAAAAACGTCTGGCCCAACTCTCAACCCTCCAGCAAACCAGCCGCTTCAACCAAGTCTACCCGCTCCAGAAAGTCGACTATGCGCGGGAGGTGACTGAGGCCTCGAACGAGGCCTTTGTCCTGGTGAACCTCACCTCGCAGGGCGGGAATGTTGAGTCGCAGGTCCTGACTGAGCTGTGGCGACAGCTAGCTGTTAAGTTCGGAGATATCAAGTTCTGTGAGATCCGCGCGGACATGTGCATTGAGGGATATCCAGAGCGGAATACGCCGACGATCCTTGTCTATAAGGACACAGAGATTCGGAGACAGCTAGTGACCTTGCGTGAGCTGAAGGGTCCACGCACGAAGATGGAAGGTAAGGTGGTCTTTGTTGTGTTGTGGAGTTCAGTACTGATGCCAGAGACAATAGATATCGAGCGTCTGCTCGTTGATCTTGGCGCCGTGAAAGAAAGTGATGTTCGTCTGAAGAAACATTCTGACGAGGACGACAAGGCGGGCGATGATGACCTCAACATTGAAGATTATGATGATGACTGGGATTGATTTCCAATTTCTGTTTGAATTGACTGGATTGGGGTTGCACAAAAGCTATGAGCATCGACGCACATTATCAGAAAATCAAATCACCGAGTCGACCATGTCCAGCTGGATCAGCGACGGGCCGCTGGCCTTTGGGCATGTGGGTTGACTGACCGGCCTTTCATTTCATCGAGCGGTTGATCCAGCCAGAAAATGGGAGAAATCCGAATGGACCCTTTGTACAATGCAATTACTGAGACATGGAATACCAACAAATCAAACAATGCTTGACAGCTGTAGACGTCTATTTCTACTAGTCAGTAAGGCCATGTTTAAATTCAACCGAAAGTAGATATAACCCATCGCCATCCCACCCATCCATCCATCATTCAAGTCCCAGCGCCAAAATACTCCAAAGAAAGTCATAATATAATCGTAAAAACCACACCAAGCGAGTGCGGAACTTGACAGTGCAGAAGGAGAACTCGATTCCCTCAAATCAGTTCATCCATTCCCGCCGCCACACTCTCCTCAATAGCCTGACGGACCTGACCCTCCTTAAAAGCCGGGCCTTGCCCATCACACTGCGCCATCCCCTTCAACCGATCCGTAACATCACCAATGTCCACCTTCCCCAGCTTAAACAGCTCATGACTCTGAATAAGATCCCATGTGGCACCCGCATCGAGCAATTTCTCCCCCGTAACCTGACAAACAGTGACACGGTGATGCGTTGGTTGCTGCGCACCGTCCGGCATGAGACTGGAGTAAAAGTCCGTGGGGGAATATTTCATCGGCCCCGTCACCGTCGGTTCCGGGGCACGCTGGTCATGCGCGCTGCTGTTACCGGCTGCAGTCTGGGTCTGCTGCGATGTTGCGCGCAGGATCTCGTTCTCCGTGGCGTACTTGGCGAGCTCGCGCTTTAGACGCTCGTTGTCTGCTTGGAGGGCGCTGGATTGTTGTTCGAGGGATGTGACTTTTTCTTCGAGGTCGCGGACATGTCGTTCTTTTCGCTCGCGGAAAGCCCGTTGGCTGGTGTGGTTTGTTAGTCTGTGGGGGAGTTTATTGTTAGGCAATGCTATAACACATACGCAGCTCGGTTCTGGGCCTTGCGCTTGTTCTGCGCGGGGATCATCGACTCCTTCTCCTCGCTGCTGCTCCTGCCCACTGCCATCGCATTCTCATCGCCATCAAGCGAGGCCGAGCCCGCTTGCTGGGTACTGGCTACCTCATTGCTCGACACAGACTGTTTGGTGAACGAGTCTGGCGGAGAGTGTCCCGGTGGCGGGGCAAAGGATGAAGACGAAGCGTCGAAACGGAGAGAAGGGTCGAAAGCCGCGAAATTCTGGTTGTAGTTATTACTCTGGATATATAATCAGATTCCGTTGACCACTCTCTGGGGAAATTCTGCTAGGGACGCACCAGGGAAAACGAGTCCGCGAAGGCCTCGTCGGTCTGCGTCCGGGGCTGTTGGTCGGGGGTGGGCAACCCGTAGAGCGGGAAGGGCTGGGATCGAGGGCCGGTGTAGTAGGAGTAATCCATGAGGCAGTCAATGTGAATAGATCGAGGGTTGGGAAGTTAAAGAGGTGTGCCAGAGTGCGGCGGGGGAAGGTAGCTCGTTTGGGGGGAAAGTTAATTGGGGACGGCAGGATAGTCCGCCGTGTACCTGGTACTTTTTTCTGGGTCGGGACTCCGGCGATCGTCGCATGTACTTGGTACTTCCCCGTTCGTCTCGGATCACGAACACATACTGACAAATTACAAACTGCGAGAGAAGACATCGAATAGCATGCCTGGCCACACCAGAAGTCTAGCCCGTACATGGCCGGCCAGAACGGGCGGCCGCCAAAATGGATGATCTCACCGATGAGTTCCGCGCGGTTCGAGACCCTACGCTTACGAATGCTATTGAACAAAGTGCGGGAGATAACTCAATGATATTAGATGTTGAAAGTAGAAAAGACCACGAAAGTAAGAGCCGAGTTCCACCCAGGTCGGGTTGGAATTAGCCAGACAACCTTCCGTACAGGTTAGCCTGAACCAGGCGACCCCAGGGCCGAGCAGCGCTCACAATGGATGAGAATGAAAACGGGCAATTTCAAGGGGGGCAGAACAAAGCAAAAAGCAAGATGCAGATCGACGCAAAACCACCCCGGAAGCGACCCTAACCATATTCCGTCGCCAACCACCACAACGAAGACTGGCGTTCCCTTCAAACCATATTTCCCGTAGACCCATGTGTATGAATCGCTCTTGCAAGAAGTCGAGGCAAGAAACAACAAAGTCTGTGTGAAATCCGTAAAGAAAGCCATCCCCGAAAGCACCGCTCCATCCGTCGACCTCCTTGTCAGTCTCCCCTCATCCCCACGGCGTCGAAATGCAAAAAAAAAGAGAAACTAGGGCAACAAATATAAAAAGGGAATGGGGAGCAAATTCATGGGTAGTGAAAACAAAGGGGGGTAAAGGATAGGCATCGCATCCGATCATGCGTTCAAGGATCTCCAGTGCAAGCGATCAACGGTCAAAGAGAAAACAATCTGGGACCAGGTTGACGCCGTTTGCATCTCCTTCAGTCTCGCCCTTCGGTTACTTGCAAGATTCGTTGAGTGTGCAATGCCGAAGGATCAAGACGTAAGAATAGCCACAGTATCAAAAAAGGCGTTTCGAGGCTGAAGAATCGGTAATGTCCCGTCAGAGACGAGTATTGAGAACCCGAAAGAGACAAAACAGCCATCAAGGTGCATCGTATGCTCGAGTCGAAAAATACTTCGCAAATTGGCAGTCGAGCAAACGATAAAACGATGACGGGTCGAAACGGTTGATAATCGAAACAGGATCGAAAAAACGGGGATAAAAGGGCTGTATCAGAGATTGCAAAATGGAGATCCAGGGGGTAAAAAAAAGAATTCCGAGAGGTTGAATGCGGCTGGGTCCGTTTTGAGGCGAAGGACATCCACGGGATTCCGGGTTTCTAGGTTGGCAAAGGGTGAGAACATGCAGAGACACATAGCGCCTCGCTGCCATGTTTTACACGATTAGTACCACTGAGCCCCAATCCCATCGTCCCGCTTCGAACGGCCACCAGAAGGTCCATAAGCACCTGAAGCAGCACCCTTCGAAGCAGAACGAAGCCTAACGCCGAAGACTATGCGATTAGTCAGATTCAGAACCAAAAGGGTCCTCCACGCCAGCGTCACGAGAAAACACCAAACGCAGAAGGAGAAAGAAAGAAGGGGTTCCCTACACGGAACCAGGTTTCAAATACTCACATCCTGTCACTCCCTCCCACGGCACGGTTGGTGTCCGGAGTGTTGTCAAGGGTGCCGCGGTCGATCACCTTACGGCGCTGGCCAGAGATGGCACCGGGCTTAGCCGCACCAGAGGCACCGATGGCACCGCCGGGGGCAGCCTGGCGACGCTGCTGGTCTTCCGCGTCCTTATCCTTCTTGGAGTTGGCGTCCACAATCATAGCAGCGTTCTTCTGGTACTTGTAGACGGTCCAGTCGAAAACGTAGTCATACTGGAAAGACTCGCGGACAAAGAGGTCACGGAAGATCTTGCGCAAGTAAGAGTAGTCGGGCTTGTCGTCAAAGCGGAGCGAGCGGGTGTAGTTCAGGTAGATGGCGAACTCGTTGGGGAACCCACGGCAGAGCACTTCAGTAGGGGTAGTCATCTTCTTCTCCATGATGCGGTCGTACTTCTGCTTCTTGGTAGCAGCCTTCAGACCCTGCCACGGAAGAGAGCCACGGCAGAAGTAGAGCATGACATAACCCAGGGACTCCATGTCGTCACGACGAGACTGCTCGACACCGAGGTGAGTGTTGATAGAGGCATAACGAGCGGTACCGGTGAGATTCTTGTTCTCGCGGTAGGGGATGTGGAAGTGAGTCTTTGGGTCGCGGTATTTCTTCGCCAGACCGAAGTCGATCACGTTGACCTGGTTGCCGCGCTTGCCGATGCCCATCAGGAAGTTGTCGGGCTTGATATCACGGTGGATGAATGACTTGGCGTGGATGTACTCGATGCGGGAGATGAGCTGGTCGGCGAGCAGCAAGACGGTCTTGAGCGAAAACTTGCGGTTGCAGAAGTTGAACAGGTCCTCCAAGCTGGGACCCAGCAGGTCGATCACCATGGCATTGTAGTCACATTCGGTACCGAACCAGCGCACAAATGGGATACCGACACCACCAGCGAGGGACTTGTAGACGCGGGCTTCGTATTCCAGCTGGGGGTGCTTGGCCTTGACGCTCTCGAGCTTGATAGCGATCTCCTCACCGGAGATGATGTTGGTGCCTAGACGTTGCATTAGTTCGGATGCCACGGGAGACTTGAATCCACAGAGCACCTACCGAGATAGATGTCACCAAAGCTACCGCTTCCAATCTTGCGGCCGATGCGGTACTTGTTACCGACACGCAGATCCTACCAATGATGTTAGCACAACGCGGTCCAGACGTACGAGGACTGCACGACGGCGAGCCAATCCCAGGAGGGTGCTGTTTGGAGCAAGAATACGGGCACTCACCATGGTCGTCATAGTGAGCGAGAAAAGTGGCACAGCTCAGCCGTGCAGGACGCCTTGAAACTATCGATCTGAATGTCAGTCACGTAGGGCGTAGGGCGTGATGCGAGATTTGAGGGCAAAAGGACGATGAAAAGCTGACGAAGGGTAGTGAAAAGGAAGAAGGCAAGTGAAAGAAAGAGGAAGAGCGTGGAGGGGAGCGTGCAAGGCAGAAGGGGGGTTTCAGCTCAGCCTCTGGGCAGGCAAACCAACCAGGTCATGCTTGTTGGAGGCAGCAAGCCGACCGCCGGATCAGTGGCCGCGCAGGTAGCAAGAATATGCAGAGGACACAGAAACAGAAGTAACGGGATGGGAAGAGGAAGACGGTGTGGGTACCGAGGACTAACCTGGTTGAAAGATCAAAGGTGGTGATGTGATGATGGCGGGAAGCCGACCGTCAGGAGACGAAATCCGCAGGAGGGTTTGGTTAGGAAAGGGGGTGGTGGAGAGCGGACAAAGCGGAAGAGAGCAAGAAAGGATGAAAATCCCAGAAAACCGAAAAACGGATCAAGGACAAAGCCTTGATGAGGGCTGGGGGAGAGCAAAATGCAGGGTGTTGGGAAAGAGAGAGAAGAAGGGAAAGGGGAGCGAGGGTGAGAGTGAGAGAGGGGGGCGAGAGTCGGTGAGCGGCATTTTTGGCTTAGCGAAGTGGCTGGTGACTTGTGAGGTACCGCGGGTACGCGGGGGCCCCCGCAGAAATGGAAGTACCTGCCCGGTCACTCGGAGTGTATGGATACCCTACGATTGGGCTGCAACGTTGCCTACAAGGATTCCACGCATAGATGGAGAGATCTGGAAATGCAGATGGTGGTCAAAATAATCCATCTTCAACAAAAATCACAATGATGATGGCGAATTGCGACACTGGGGGCCATGCAGCCAGCTGACCTCTCCGATCAGGCATTTGCCTCTTCGGCAGTTCCGAGCAGGCTTAGTTACGGAGGCTGCATTTCCTACCGAGGTGTAAAATTGATAGAGCAAGCAGATGATGATTTCGGAATAAAGGTAGTCAGGGAACAGATGTTACTAGTGGTACAGCCAGAGTCCAATGAACATCGGGAAACCGGGGTATAAAAAGAGACAGACAAACAAACGAAAGCAGAGGATTAGACAGAGGAAAGACAGCGCAAGGCGTTAAGGAGAGATGCGGACAGAGGGAGAAACAGGGCCGTCCCTCGGCGTAGATAGAAAATAGTAGAAGAAGAAAAACCACCTTCGTCATACAAAGATCAAGTCTCAAAAAAAAAAAAAAAACAGACAGGAAAGGAATGAACGCGGACGGCAGAACGCTCAGACGGTGGAAGTTCTTTTCCCCCAAATAATAAAAGCATATGGTTCTTCGTAGAAAACGGAGACAATGATTACAGTCTCCTTCAGGCCACGCTTGACGAGTTCTCCGGGATCCCATTATTGTTCACCTTGGTGGACTTGCCGGCCCGCTCCTCCTCATCCAATCTCCTCCGCCATTCAGCGAGGTTCTCGCTCATCATCGCCGGTCCATTACTGTCCTCCTTGGTCGGGGTGCGGTCCATATCCAGCTGGGTGCTCAGGCGGTAGTTGCGGTTGGTGCTTTCCCAGTGGCTGCGTAGGGCATCCAGCTCGTTGGCGAGGGAGTCCAGTGCCATGGAGCCGCGGTTATCAGGGAGGAAGGTGTCGTCTTGCGAAACGTTGCTATCAGCTCGTGCCCGGCCACCACCGGCGGTCATGCTTGATGCATTGCTGTGACTGCGCGAGAGGCCGTTGAGACCCCCGTGCTGAGACTGCCGGCGGTAATGGGTCACAGAGGTTTCAACCTGCTCCAAGAGCATGTTCACCTTTTGCTCGGCGTCGGTGGCACGGCCCTCGAGCATACTGTTTTCGTGCTTGATCTGCTCCAGTTCCGTGCGGCTCTGCTCGGCGGCAGCTAGCAGTTGCTGCTTGACGCGTTCGTGCTCAGCCCGCGACCTTTCCTTCAAGACCTCGGCGGCAGCAAGCTCCTCCT